GGGGCGATTTAATCTTTATAAATCGAGGGGAAGCTGGAGTTACTGGTCTAGATGTCGACATTTTTATATGTGCAGATCTCCTGCAATTGCGACAAAATCGTAAATTCGTTGATGGATTTCTGATTTCTGAACATTTATTAATGGATTAATGTGAAGCTTAAATGGTAAGCCTTGCGGAAAATCGGCCGGGCGGTGAGACACTAAGTGGCAATATATTGAAAGGCTATTTTCGGGGACTGGGGTTATGGTCCCCTATATGAATATCTTGTACTCGAATGGATATTAGATAGGTATGTTGTGTTACAATGTATTCAGGTATTCTCAAACGGTCTCTTCTTTTAGCTATACGCAATACTAGATAACGTGATAGGAGCCAGAGGGCAAAAAGTAGTATATCTTCCAATTTTATACATCCATTTCCTCAGCTAAATAGGTATCTTTGCACTTGACTTTTGTACTTGGTATGAAGTCACAATGTAAAGCCACGGAATGCAACAGGACCAGATTTATAAAAAAAATGCATCTATTACAAATGACATCTACACACTCCCTTTCTATTAGGTTTTAATACAAGTGTATCGAAATGCCATCAAGTCGACTCATCTACCCGAGTTCTTTGCTCAAGGTTATTAACACCCACCACCAAGTCATGCTTATCAGCAGCCATCAATGAACCGAGGCTTATCGGCATTGCATCATTTCCAGAGTCATCTACTCCAACATCGAAGAATGAATCTTTATCTACATTAATGATATCCCTTAAGAATACTATCAAGAAAATGGCAACACAACTAGTGTCACTGCCAGAAGTGGAGCGATTGAGTCCTACTATCATTCGGATCCTTGGTGGGAATCCGGGAAAGGTGAGGAGGTTGAACGAAAGAGCTGGATTGTGCAATGTCAGCTGATATCGAATAGTTTACATTGCAAGGTTACTACAACAGTATGAGGTAGAGAGTTTGATTGTTCTGACGAAGGTTTAGGGACGAATACATATCTCGTGGGAAAAGGAAGCAATCGATTGCTGATTGATACAGGCGACGGTAAGGAAAATTGGATTCAGAATCTGAAAGAGACTTTAGAGAAAGAACAAGCTACAGTTACGTCTTGCATTCTCACGCATTGGTAGGAATTCACTCACTTCAAAGACCGCATCTACAGTCACTAATTCAAAAATTTAGGCATCCTGACCATGTGGGAGGAGTCGGCCACTTATTAAAATACTCGCCAAAGACTGTCATTCACAAGAACAGTCCAGACAAGGGACAAGCAGATATCAAGGATGGCCAGATCTTCGCAACAGAGGGAGCGACGCTCCGTGCAGTTCATTCCCCAGGCCATACACACGATCACATGGCACTGGTACTGGAAGAAGAGAATGTCATGTTCACCGGGGATAACGTGTTGGGGCATGGAACCGCAGTGTTCGAGGACTTGGTGACTTACTTGAACAGTCTTGAAAGAATGAGAGGACTTTTTAGCGGTAAAGCATATCCAGGACACGGTGCAGTGTTGGAAGATGGGCCTAGTAGAATTGGAGAGTACATCCGGCACCGAAAAGAAAGAGAGTCCCAGGTTATCCAAGTGCTGAAGTGCGCAAAGAACAAGCCTGGAGTTACTGTTGCCAGTAATGAGGAAGCGGATGAGTGGACCTCGATGGAGATTGTGAAGATAATATATAAGAATGTACCAGAGAACCTTCATATACCAGCGAATGGTGGCATTGTTCAGATTCTGAATAAGTTGCACTCGGATGACAAAGTGGCCAAGGAGCAAGACAAATGGAAGTTGAAGGCGCGAGCCGCTCTTTGATATTTGTTTGACTCTTTTGCGATGGGGAATAGATACCCTTTAGTTATGAATACACTATTTCTCACCATCTGACTTTCTCCATGTCCAATGTTCGCATTCAAAATTAGCGAAGCAAAAGAACTCGTTACTCAACCCCTTCGCGTGCACCGGAAGGAAAGTCGTAGTTGCAATACCTTGTCTGTTGCATGTAAGCTAAGAGACTACCAGCAAAAAGAACGGATACTACTCACGGTCGATAAAGCTTATTCACAATTTCTCCTACCCGTTCACCTGTACAAACGATAAGCTTCGATGGCGGAGCTTCTTCTTGTCCCCACGACATTAACGATTCGTTTTGACCCCATGATTTTGACAGCCATCGAACGGTTAAAGATGCTAGAACAGTCAGTGTCATATCTTAACTATTATAACCATAAGCTGAGTGACTGTGTACCTTTGGTTTGACACTCCTCGCTCAAAAATGGCGGGTCACAAATAACACGATCGGCACATCCTTTCAAATGCGCTACAGGATCATCATTAGCAATGATTCCACTCCCGTCATCGCCAGGTACTTTGCAACTCACAAGGAAGTTTTAACGGATTATTAAAATCATAGAAGCTGAACTCCGGAAACACGCCAAACCTCTCATCAAACTCCAATAAATGAAGCGTCGGTCTTTTGTCCGCCGCCCACCCTGCCTTCCAGGTATTAACCTCATGACCACACGTTTTTCTCTACTACAAGCGTAACTTACAACAATGTTTTTCAACTGTATGAACACACTTGGAGCCGATACAACAGCAATAACCGTATCAGCAACAGCATCTCTCAGGAGTTCCTGAGCGAGTATTGTGGCTGTCTCATTGGAATACTACCACTTATAAGCACCCAAAGGTCCAGAATCAGATTCGAAAAAACTGACCCAAAATTGCGATTCATTCCAATCCTCGGCGAAAGCATCCATAGTCAAAGGCACGCCATCAGCTTGATCTTCAGCCCGCTGCTTCAAGTCTTCAAATTTCTGTTGATGCGCATCTCGGTCTTTGTAAAACTCTTTCAAGGCATCAAGCGCAGAGCCCGACAAAACGCTATTTTATATCATTAGTGAATCTTCGAGTATTCTTCGGTCACAGTGAGCTCACGGCATATCATCATCTTCAGTGTTCTCCATGGCTGATACTTGAAATTATTTTCAAGAAACGTGATGGTGGAAAATTGTGGACGGGGTTTGGAGGGGTAAAAATGTGGGGCTTGAGTGAGATTTTGAATTTCACTCAAATAAGTTGAAAATTTATTGATGCGCGAAATTTGTTAGGTCTAGAAAAGGGGTTGCTCTTATGTCGTTTAATTTTCAAGCAAAAGTATAATCAGTGGTTTAGAATTGGAATATCACACACAAGAAAAGTTCTCAAATATTCTAGGCATATGTACAATTCGCATGCTATTATGAATACATTCCATATCCAGAACCGGCCTTCTACTGGTCATCAAGGACATGCAAATATTTCTTCTCTTCCCTCTTCTCGCGTTCTGTTGATGGTGGTAGGTCGTAGAATGCTGCACTTCGATATCCCAACTATTTAAAATTAGCATTACTAGCTCGAAACTTTGGTAGTAGATTATGCATACCAGGTAATGGAAAGTAAGACTACTGAGCTCTGCTGGCTCGATTCCAAGGTCTTGGAATGTTTTTGCGGAAGGATCGATCTTTTGATCAATGAATTCTCGCTCAATCTCATCAGCAGAGATGACAGGCCACCAGAGAGCTTTGTTCAGAACTCCAGCGACTGGCTTAAGGATTTTCTTTGGTAAATTGATGTGTCGACGATGGTTGTTGATTTCTTTATCTACCAAAGCAGCAATTTCTGCTGTTGAGTAATTCTTGGGGCCATAAAGCTCATACGTTTGCGATGCAGTACTATCATCTTGAAGCATTTTCTCAAGTGCTTGGCCTACATCGGGTGCCTAGAAGAGATCGTCAATAGGAAGTCATGTAATTAAAGGATTTAAAACATACGTGAACTGGCCAGTAACGCTCTTGCATGTGGTTGGATGTGAGAACGTTGGTGAATCCAGCAAGCTTGTGGAGAAGACGATCCTCAAAACCAAACAATGGAGCAGGTCTCACAATTGTAGTTTCTGGGAATATACTGCGTACAACTTCCTCGCCTCTTGCCTAATAAAGATGCTTGTCAATCATATGAACCGATGTTTGAAAGAGTTGGGTTATATACCTTGGTTCTGTAGAACTCAGAGGGTGAATTAGGGTCTGCGTTGTAGGAAGAGACATGGATGAATCTATCCACGTCGTATTTGGCAACAGCATCGGCAATTCGCTCCGCTCCTTCAACATGTACATCCTCGAGATCGAAGTTCCTGATACTGATAAGCATTTCCTCTACATGATCTTCTTTGGAACATACTTCGTGGGATAGTTGCGTCCAACAAGATTGTAGACAACATCAGAGTGCCTAACACTCTCCTCCAAAGATTGTGTGTTTCTCAAATCGTATTCCTACCCAAAGTAAGTCAAGGTGACCCATATACTCTCTACGCGTTTTCTGCCATACCATGAAAATGACTCTACCCAAATCACCTGAAACCTTCAAATGTCGTTTGGCCATTTCCTCCCGGAAAGGGACAATAACTGTACATCCTTGTCTTGCTAAACCACTCTCACATCAGCCCAAGTTCCTTGAATTATAAGCAAAGATTCGCGTACCGAGTCTGTTCACAATATAACGTCCGAGGAATCCAGTCGCACCGAAAACGGTTGCGGTATGCCCTATAGTATTAAATTAGGATTATGTTGATGGTTGATTTGCAATTTTGGGAGCAGATATACCTCCGAGAGATGATCTGTAGTACAACACATTAGCAAGAAGGTCTGTAGGAGTGCAGAACCAATCTCAAAGTGCTCACCTGCCACCCTGGGTACGAATAATGGGCTTTCCGGTCCTTGTGATAGTGACATCAGACAACTTCCTGCTCAAAGGTACATTTTCAATTCCTCTTTTCGATCGTACGGCAGTCCGCAGACTGTTCAGAGTCGATGGACTGCAGGATTTCTGCATTTTTGCGACTGGGGTACAAATTAATTGAATCGCAGACGCAAAGGCAGTTGGCAGGGTTCAATTTGACTTGATGTTGAAGTTGTAGATTGACCTCGCGGGAGTCCAGCCATGGAGCACACTAGTCTAGATCTGGTTAGGCCCGACCTTGCGCAGCTCTCTCGTTGCCTCGCCTTAATATCAAAACCCCAACCAAACAGCTTCAATTTCTAACATTTACAAACACAAAAAGATACCCAAATAATCCGACTTTAGTTTATTTTGAACGGCGTATAAGTGGATACAGAGCATCCGGACAAAACCAATTATAATTCAATCCACCTCTCATTCAATCATCATGAATGTCGACACAATCCCTGACTTTCTCGGAGAGCAACGTGATGCTGCGCCAGCCGACCTTCAACATCTTTTCTTATCCTTTGAAGATCTCTGGGAGAAGAAGCTGTGGCATCAACTGACAGATACCCTCGTTGAGTTTTTCAATCACAAAGAAAGCGCTTCCCAACGATTACCAATATATAAGACATTCATCCTCACATTCGCCGATAAGATCAATCAGTTGAAGCTTGTTACTCTTGCCTTAAGCGCTGCTTCGCAGTGCAAAGGTAATAAACCACTATTGAGGAGACTGAAACAACTGCTAACTCAATAACAGATGGTTCAGAGCGCCTATCTTTCCTAGAGGCAGTAGCAAAGAAAGTCGACAATCCCAATTCCCAAGATGCGTACGTCTACGCAACAGTGGCTGTAGCTACCGTCAAATTAGAATTGCAAGATCAGGATGGGGCCAGGAAAGATTTAGATAAATCGGAGAAGATATTAGATGGGTTTGACTCCGTGGAGACAATCGTACATGCTGCATTCTACCGGGTTAACGCAGAGTACTATCAATCCAAACTGGAGTTCGCATCATATTACAAAAACGCCCTGCTATACCTAGCTTGTATCGACCTCAACGATCTCACCCCATCTGAGCGCAAAAGCCGAGCCTACGATCTGAGCATCGCAGCTCTTGTATCCGATACTATCTATAACTTTGGTGAACTTCTTCTCCACCCCATCCTCGATACCCTCGTTAAGGACGACGCCTGGCTCCGAGATCTTCTTTTCGCTTTCAACCGTGGTGACCTTGCTGCCTACGATGTCCTCTCCGGTCATATATCCTCTAACCCCCTACTCGCACAACATCGCGATGGACTCAAACAAAAGATTTACCTCGCTGCCCTCACCGAAGCCGTTTTCCGCCGCCCTCCTCATGACCGTGCCATGACCTTCCGCACAATCTCCGAAGAAACTAAAGTTCGCCCGGATGAAATTGAGCATTTAATTATGAAGGCTTTGAGTTTAGGTTTGTTGCGAGGAAGCATCGATCAAGTTGATGAAATCGCACGTATCAACTGGGTACAGCCTAAGGTATTGGACATGGGTCAAATCGAGGGGATGCGTACACGATTAGAAGAATGGGATTCCAGTGTCAACTCACTGGGCAACTGGATCGAGTCGAAGGGTCAGGACGTGTGGGCAGCATGAGGCTCGGCATCATAATTGTGAAACAGAAGGCAAGAATGGCGTCTTAGGCTTCACATCGGACTGTAAAATAGATATTCCCTCTCTTGCATGCATGCCTGCGGCTAGTTGTATTTGCATTACGAAAGAATGAAATGATATATGAGAACAATACCCTTCTATTTTATAATTGCATGTTTACTAATGGTTATGCGTGGCTGCATCCATTCTATCTAGAAATTGAGCAATCGACAAGCCGCCCTATTTCTTTCCCGCCCCATTGGCTACTTCTACTTTCCCTTCTGCCCCATTAGTAACGTTGTTCAAACTCTCCATCTCTTCCTCCTCCGCTCTGGGCTTCCCCCAAAGCAACATCCCACCCACGACCCACGCGGGCCACCAAACGCACCAAACCACAACCTGTGTCGTCATACCTCCAACATCCCATCCGAACGCCGCTTCCACCAAAACATCTCCTACATCCAAACCCCAATATTTCGCACCAGCAAACAATACAGTTGAAGGCGCAAGAACACCTAAAAGAACAACAAGTATAGCAGCGATAATGGGTCTATGACCCAATGGGCGAATGTATGACAACGGGGAGGATAGGATACCGATGAGGATTGAGAGGGAGAAATTGAGGGTAGCAAGAGATGAGAGGTACATGCCTAGGAGAAGGAGAGAGAAGGATTGAATGAGGGATAGTTGGTGAGAGGTAGGGGTGGTGCAATAGGGGGAGTGAAGGAGGGTGGAGAGGGCTAGGGGGAGGAAGGTGTTGAGGATTAGGAAGATGAAGAAGACCACGGGAAGATTCTAAATCGTATGTTAGCCTTAGTTTTTTTCCATTTGTGTTGAGAGAGAGACATACGGCTTTAGAAGTATGGTTAAATATATAGAGAGGAACGAGCCCCAAGAACTGACATCCAGCTACAACAGCGAGAGGAAGTGCAAGCTTGCGTTCGCGCGTTTGAAGATCCTTTTGTGGTATAATGGCTTTCGATCCACTGGCTTCCACAATCACCAATGGAGCTTTCTCTTTCTCCTCTCCCTTTTCTGTCGACAGCACAGACTCTGTCTTGGTGGGACTGGGCCAACCACTTTTCAGCCAAAGGAAAATCGCCATAATAGTGAAATTTGTAGCCACTAACATGGCACTTGGAAGATATGTACCAATACTCACGAAGCGGTTAGCTTGCATAAGTAAATAGAAGAAGAAACTTTGATGGAGATGTTCCAATAAGTTATTCAAACTTCGAAAAGTACTTTCGATTACTCTCCCCATGGCCATTTCATCTTGCCAGCCGTTTCCAAATGGTTGAAGGGTGATCGCATCCACATGATATGGAATGAAACTACTATGAGGTCCAGAAGCATGGCCTAATCCTTGATTCATCATCCCACGCAGCATAGTCTTGAGCCGATCTTGATAGCTATCGCTGTGCTGCCACATTTTTTGAAGTGAGACTCTAATGCCCATTTGACCGCTAGCAATTGAGACTACAGTATTGAAGAGATCGAGGTTAGGAAGTTGTCCGTTGATTCCATCGTAGACAATGTGAATCGATTCAAAGCGGTGATCGAAAGGATAGTCAATGACAACAGCTCCTTGAAGAGCTCCGCTTTTGACGGGCAATGAATCAATAGCGGGCGACTCGTGTGTATCATGATAGGCATCAACCCATGCCTGAGGACCAGCTTTGCTATCTGCTGTAATTAGGAATATAATATCCTTTGACCACAAAGACCACCGATTGAAATATCTCGCCAAAGTAAGAACTAAAGCAACACCACTTCGATTCAACTCCCCATCAATATTCCTCCAAGCCCCTACCAACACAATTGCTTCCGTGGCATCACCTCGTGGTGCGTGTAAGATCGCATACACATTCTCTCCTCTGTAAACTTCACCCGCGGATTTGTATTCATACTTTTGTCTGGCAACCTTGAGTCCTGTAGCCTTGAAGAATTCCTCAAGCTTATCGTTAACTCTGCATAGCAAAGTCAGCTATATTCTCCAATCTCTTCCACAATTCCGCACATACTCAACATTACTGCTCTCCCCCAAAGCATCAACCTCCCTCTTGTATCCACGAAAAATGTTCTGATCACTTCCCGCGAAATATGTATGGACTTGGCCTGGCAACAGTGCATTCTCCGAAACATAAGTATTTCTCGAATAATCATTTAATGGCAAAAGTAACAGCCATGCAACACCAACGGCTATGCAAAGAAAGGATAGATATGGTGGTAATTTTCGAACCGGCGCATATCGCAAGACGGTAGATGCTTTTTGTTGTTAGAATAATTGATTACAATGAAGCAGAAAACTTACATAGTAGCCCCATGGCTATAAGAAGTCCTCACAAAATCAGGAACGTTGATTTCGCTCACATTGAGAGCTTGAAGCTTGGGTGGGTTGTCAGCCTTGTCAAAATGCTAGGAATTGAGGCGAGGTTCCGAAGACGCGAGATCAGGAGCCTACGCGACAGATCTTGGATTTCCCGTACATGGAAGTTCACGATAGCACAAGGCAATTAAGCTACATTTATTTCATTAAGTTCACACAGATCCTGGAATAAATGAATAAAGTTGTCCGCAATCTGGCGGACATTAAATAGCTTCATCTAGTTATATAGTTGTCATTAAAAAGCTTACAATTATAAATTTATCCATACTTCCTTAAGCTACCAGCGGTTTTTCAACCACTGATGTTAAAGTAGAAACCGAAGTCGTGTGTCATATGCCATTTCCACCGTTTTTACTTCATAACATGATCGCTCCCAGAACATCCGAACTCCGTATCATGCGTAGTCTTCGTACAGAGAGAAGGGAAATAATTGACTGATAAGTACAGTATTCTAAGGTCCCAATCGCTGTGCCTGGCCAGGGAATCCTAGCGCAATATTTGTTTCCGGTGAGATAATAGGATTGTTAGTAGTAGGTAATAATCCATATCTTCCATAGGTTTTTTGGTCAACCGAAACGTAATGTGGCAATCGTCCCAAGAGATTCATTTTGCCCTCAATCCATCTAAGAATCTTCTCTGGTGGAGCCAAGAATTTGAGATAGCCCAGGCCCCCTATAAAAGTTAGCTAGCGGACCCAACCATTAGATAGAAGAGCACTAACATCCGTAACCAAAAACAAGCCCGCAAAGATGCCCAAGGAAGCTAGTGTGTGGTATCAAGAATGATATGAATAGTGTAAGGATAATTGGTGTAGTCCATGTTGGAATATGGACTGTTCCCAATACAAAGTTTGGGTTTGTTTTATATGTCTTGATCGCCTCCATTGCAAGTAGAGTAAATACCCAAATGCTAGATTCTTTATTAGCAAGACTTCTTGGGCTGAACAGGAAGGATATTTTTCTCACCTGGCACCCATCACTCCTGTGTTCATGTGGAAGATTCCCCTTTCCACGAATGTATATATTAACGCAGGAATCGTCGACAAAGCTATAACAGCAATTAGCTCTAGTTCTCTCACATCTAGCGTATCGAGGAACACCTACGGCCCATGAACAATGCCAACGTAGTCAATGTCCCATATTCTGCCTCAAATCTCTCCAATAATGGGGTTAGAGCAATAGTGTTCATTATCATATGTAGGAACCCCATGTGTATCAATGGGAAGGTATTCGTGCGGTACACTATAGCGATAACGCCATGTTAGCTTTACGGTCCACGAGAATCATTTGCGTGTTGTATAGAGATGGTAGATTTACTTGACTGTAACCCAATTTCATTCGGGTACAAGCCACCCCATTTCTGGAGGTCCCAAGCTGACTGCAGACTAACAAGCCATAATATGAATATGATTGCTATTATACACCTCGTGAATAAAGGTAAACGGAGGATGTATGATCGTAGACGAGTTGCGCCAAATTGGGGTAAAGTAATCGCCATCGTGGATGTTGCGGAATTCCGATTGCGTCGCCTTTAGGAAAGATTTATGGGAGGTTCTGAATATCCAACGACTTAGGTATCACTTCTTGAAGGCTTGAAAGGGTCCTGCAGCATCGTTCGAAAATCGATGCGCTGAGTGTTATGTTGAGAAATTCAGCATCTCTCGAAATTGTCATGTACTTTTCGCTAACCTTACCGCGAGGCTGAGCTTCCACGCGCCTTGTCAAAGCATGGACTTTTACCTGCTTGGGGACAACCAAATGGCTGAATGCTTCTTACACAGTAAACACTCAAAGAGCCATTTTACTATTACCTTTTTTTTACACAATTTTATAGGAGATTCTTTCAACCTTGAGCACTGTACTGATATATTCTTTTCGGGAATAAGGGGGAAAGACAAGGTTGATAGAGATTCATACAACCAGGAGAACGAATCTCCATTATAAAGAGCCGACTTTGAAGAAGTCTTCAATTACAATGAACGAACCTACAAGTGATAGTAACCTTGCTTGGTTGATTTGAGCTGTTCTTAATATTACATTGGCCCAAGATTATCGCAGTTCTCGGTCAACTCAGATATCCAAACGTTCATTGTGAGATTGCATTTGTTCCCGGTGAGCTGTGGATACTCATGTATGGGCTCACCAGAAGTATTGTCCATTTGTTCTCAATAACCCCTCCCCAAGTCGTTCGAGATACGGCGTTAGTTGTTAATTGAGTATTTTTTTTAGTAGACTGTACAAAATACAAGGCTTGATCTCTGTGTCTATACATACATACCCCTTCTTCGTACTCGCTAGTTGAAATAAAACCATTTATTACTATAGATGCTTTAATCAATGCGCTTAAATAGTCATTAATCCGATGACTTCGTTCTCCGTAGATTCTTTCAAGAACTATAGCATCCAAGAGTACAAAATACATTGGGTGATGCCTATTCGTGTCAATGAACATCTAATCGCCTCAAAAAATCGATTATCAAATCCAAGACTCCAAAGGATTATATATAGTACATCAGTCTTGAGAATGCTTAAGTCAAGCCAGGCTCCCAGAGAATCTACATCTCATAATATAGCAATATTCCACCCTATAATACCCAGTAGTGTTGTCGAAGTACGCACTACAGAACACGATCGTTGCAGTCAACGATATTCTCTTACACCACACCCTACTACACACCTTCAACATAACTAGCGAATCTCATTGAGAAGCTCAAACAGTAGCTAGAATTGCTAACCACAAACTCATCCAAAATCTACCTAAAACAAACAAAGAATACTCTCCACATACACAACAACATAATCATCCAGAATCCAGACCAGGGTTCCAAGGGAGGCGAAAAGGGATGAAATTGTATGGGTTTACGAGATAAATAGGAAGCTAAGCTATTGAGTAGAATCCGAACACCATAACAGAGCAGATCCGGATAAATCCATATTGGCTGCAAGGCGTGTCGTATTTTTGCTGTGTCGGTCAGGTGTTGCTGAAGATACCCGTCGCTGACGTCGTTGAAACTGGTTTATATGTTACAGCTACATATTCAAATTCATCATATACAATACATTCATAGTTCTAATACGATTTAAAAGATTAAAGAGACTACAACTTGAATAGTACACTCTCATCCTTAAACCCTATTTCTTCATGATTTAATTGCTAGCATCTATAAAGGAAATTCCAAATCATATATCACAACGATCCTACAACAAGTGAAGTATTATTTCATCTCCATCTCCATCAGAATGATTCCCGAATCACCAAACAATAAACAACACTAACCATGAAATCCTGAAACTTATTCACAAAACCACGTCTACCAAACATCTATACTTTCCTCACACCAGCCCCTCCACTTCTCCCATTTCATACAGTCTAATCTCTACCGATAGAAGGAAATATACAACACACAGCCGTAAACACCGCGAAGCAAAGCATTAAGACCACTAATCGAAATTACGAAATGACCTTCTTGTTAACACTAGTCATCTTCACATTCTTAACCCTCTGTTATTACTTCCTTCACAGACATTACCTTCACCGACAACTCTAAAAATTGAAACCCAAAGCGCCTACATCAACCCCAGAGAACCAAAGAACGGGTAATGATACAACAAAGTGGTATGCAGAGAACATCTCTCCATACATAAAACTCGTTAGAAAATGATATTAAACACCAAACAAAAAGTGTTCACCTAGTAAGCAATTCCGCAACGGAGAAGATTAATTCCTAGGGTTTGGTATCAAAAGATATCAATGTCTATGAGAAGGAGATGATACATTTACCGCAAATTTGATTAATCACAAACGCTATTCTACTATTCTACTAATCGGAGATTAATTGAATAAACTCTTCCAAGGAGTCTAGATCAGATACATTCACCAGTACTATAAAAATGAACAAGGAACTAGACCATTCAAACACACTCACAACGAACTGCAAAGCTCACTGAAAGATATAGAAACCCACTCTCCAATTCTCAATCTTGATTACTGGCTACACCATAAAAGAGCCTCGACGATTATATAGATTATTAAAGTACCAATTGAATTGCACATAGTGTCCCTCACCGAGACGTAACTAGGTATATACCGAACTTGAAGTACAGGATATGTGATTCTTATATAGCTAGGAACAAATGAGTAGATCAATTGAAAGCAGCTAGATAGATACACAAATAAAAAATCCATACCACCCACCCAATCACCAATACCAATACCAATAACCACAATCAGTGTATCACCATTCCAACCCCCATACAGTCGATTTATTATTACAAGCAAATCTTGATCTCATTATAAATCTATAGATCTATACATCCATCACTTCCCTCAAATTCGAGTTCTTTACAATCAATACCCAATACCCACAATCCTCATCCTCATCCTCTCATCTCAACTCATCTCATCTCGATATACACCTTAAGAACCAGGTACACATCCATAATTCTATACCGAGTCTCTAGTAAGATCAAACTGCCCTATCAATATCAATTTCAATATCAATACCAATATATCCATTCATCCAACCCCCCTACCCCATTCTATATTAAATCTCGCTTGCACTGTGTGATGAATGCGAGGTAGGTATGTAGATTTAGAACCATCAATGTCATAGACCAGAGATGAGATGTCGAATATCGATAGGTACTTCAAAGAATAATCAACAGTGAAGGGAAGACCGAAGCTACTGTAGTAGAGGTTCAATACCTAAAGACACAGAATGCATTCCTAGAATACGGCGTTTAATCCGCATGGCTAGCTTAACCATGCCAGCAGGCACCTCATGTTCTCCTCATAGATTCAGACATTCAAAAAGAACAAGTTTTCTTCCATTTCACAATCATTCGATAAAAATCCATAGCGCAAAACGTTGATTATCATAGCATTTTCCCATCTGGGAATTTCATACATTTTAACATAAAAAAGGAGGCCTAATGTACGAGAATAAACTGTAAAAGCAGAAACTAAAAAAAAGTGGCCCACTGTGATGAACAAAATACAGTAGCAGACCAGAGCAACCCATTAGCTCCGAAAGCCCAGAAAAATTTAATTCTCGTAAACCACCGCCCAACACCACAACCGCACCCAAATGTTATTTTAATGATTTATGCATTCATCTTTGCCATTGTGTTCAAGGCGCTTCCGTTCTTGAACCATTCAATTTGTGGAGCGTTGAAGGTGTGTGCGAGCTTGATGTCGAATGACTCGCCGGACTTGGGGTGAACTCTGAGGGTCATTGGCTTGCCAACAGCGATCTCAGTGCACAAAAGGTCGACCTAAAGAGAAATTAAATTAGCTTGACGGTTCATTGTAGGATGCTTGTTCGATTTTCATACCTTGTCATATGGATCGATCTTATCATAGTCATCTGGGTTGATGAAAGTCAAAGGAAGCATTCCTTGCTTCTTCAAGTTGGTCTCGTGAATACGGGCGAAAGACTTGGTAATGATGGCAAGACCTCCAAGATGTCTTGGCTCAAGAGCAGCGTGTTCTCTTGAACTTCCCTCACCGTAGTTCCAGTCACCAATAACAACCCATCTGATACCCTTCTTCTTGTAATCTCTGGCAGTAGCTGGGACGGCATCGAATTCACCAGTGGTGAAGTTCTTGACCTTGTTGGCCTCACCGTTAGCACTGTTAATGGCACCAATCAACATGTTGTTGGAGATGTTGTCCAAATGTCCACGGTACTTGAGCCAAGGACCAGCCATAGAGATGTGATCAGTGGTGGTCTTTCCCTTGGCCTTGATCAAGATTGGCATATCCAAAGCATCCTTTCCATCCCATGCGTTGAATGGCTCGAGGAGTTGAAGACGGTCACTGGTTGGGGAAACGGCAACATTGACTGAAGCACGCTCAGCAGGTGGTGCTTGGTAGGTATCTTGTCCTGGGTCATATCCCCTTGATGGCAATCCATCACCAGTGGGTGGGGACAACTTGAATTCCTTTCCATCCTTACCCTTCAAGGTATCGGTAAGAGGGTTGAAGTGGAGGGAACCAGCGATAGTCATAGCGACTACGAGATCTGGGGACGCGACGAAGGAGTGAGTAGCTGGGTTGGCATCGTTACGTCCAGTGAAATTACGGTTGTAGGACGAGATAATGGAGTTAGCAACTCCTTTGGGTACGTCACGCCTGTCCCATTGCCCTAGATGAAGATGTAAGTAACGTTGAAGGAGAGATGAGGCAAGTAAAGGTGAAGTGAAATAGATCTGGAAGGGTATCCCTCATAAAGTATTTCAAAGTCCAATCTATCTCAACAATTGAAAACATTTCAAATACACCAATCAATTTCAACAATTGAAATGCTACTTGAAGCGAGAATTGCCAATTACGCTCTCAGCATAGCATTTCAATGTTCAAATTGTGGTTGAGAATTGCATGGTCGGATCGTTTAGGCAAAAAAGGGGAAAGGGAAAAAAGGGGTACTAACCGATACATGGACCACATGCGTTAGCCAAAACCATACCTCCGAAGTCCTGATAACAAAGTTAGAATAATGTTATTTTGATGCTTCTGTGTACAGAATTACTAACCTCGAAAGTCTTCAATTGACCATCACGCTCGATAGTAGCACGAATTTGTTCGGAACCAGGAGTAACAGTGAAGAGAGCCTTTGCCTTAACACCATGAGCCATGGCATCTTCAGCGATAGAAGCAGCACGAGACATATCCTCGTAAGAGGAGTTTGTGCAAGAACCAATAAGTCCGACCTTCAATTCCTCAGGCCAGTTGTTAGCCTTGACGGCCTCACTGAACTTGGAGATTGGGGTAGCAAGATCTGGGGTGAATGGTCCGTTGATGTGTGGCTCGAGCTCAGAAAGGTTGATCTCAATCAATTGATCGTATTGTGCACCTTCATCCTCTCTGAGTTCCTTGGCGTATGTGCGAGCAAAGTCTCCAATTTCGGTACGCTTGGTAGCAGCGAGGTAATCGTACATACGGTCGTTGAATGGGAAGAGAGAAGTGGTTGCACCAATTTCAGCACCCTGTAGATATAGTTAGTGACAAGCCAGAAAGATGACATGTGAATGTTCGAAAGGAATTGAGAAGATGAAAATATTTGAAATTAGGAGATGAGAAAATAAACATACCATGTTACAGATCGTACCCATACCAGTAGCAGAGATAGTCTCGGTACCTGGACCGAAGTATTCGACAATAGCACCAGTTCCACCCTTGACAGTCAAGATACCAGCAACCTTAAGGATAATATCCTTTGGAGTAGCCCAGCCGGAGAGTTGACCAGTGAGCTTAACACCAATAACCTTTGGTGCCTTCAACTCCCAAGGAAGGTTGGCCATGACATCGACAGCATCAGCTCCACCTACACCAATAGCGCACATTCCGAGACCACCAGCGTTTGGTGTGTGGGAATCGGTACCGATGAGGAGACCACCTGGGAAAGCGTAGTTCTCGAGGAGAATTTGATGAATGATACCAGAACCTGGCTTCCAGAAACCAATATTGTATTTTGCGCACGAAGTAGAAAGGAAATCGTAGACTTCCTTGTTGATATCAATAGCCCGAGTAAGATCCTTAGCACCTCCAACTTGTGCCTCAATCAAATGATCACAGTGGACGGTGGTAGGGTTTGCGACGGAAGGCATGCCAGCGGACATGAATTGCAAGATAGCCATTTGAGCCGTGGCATCTTGACAAGCCACTCTGTCGGGTCTAAGTTTGAGGTATGATACACCACGCTCAATCTCTTGACCGTGAGGATCATCCAAATGGGAGTAGAGAATCTTCTCAGCGTAGGCCAAAGGACGGTTTAATCTTTGACGAACAATTGAGAGGTTCTCGGACATCTTCTTGTAGTTGATGAAGTTGTTCTTTTCGTGGATATTTTGTCTCACTTGTTTATCAAGCGGGGAATCACCAACAGTGGCCATTGTGCGAATGCCCATGCCGGTGAATGCTCGCCGCTGCGCAGCAGCGAGAACCTGTCTTGTTGCCAACATTATGAGAGACGTTGGTAAGGTAAAAGAGGAGGGGAGAGAGGAAGGTTGTAGGTTGGAAAGATTATTATACAACTCGAAGTTGTAAAATAGTGGGAGGAAGAAACTTGGACAACCGAAGCTTGGGGGCCGCGGGTTATCTGCAAGCTTTGACCAGAGAGAGCGGACCAATCAGAGATGAGGTATTATGTATTTTATATAAAACTATGTTACGTTTTATCCAATGAAATATAAATATAAGAGTGAGATAATCAATCTGATGGATTGGATGGTATGGATGGTATCGTATCGTATGGTATGATATTGTATGATATTGTATGTATTAAAAAGTTTGAATTGAAATTATCACATCAACCTCATAGCAAACAGGAGGGAACCGAATATAAATTTATTTTCCAATTTCCTACTCTACCTACGTCTGCTCTCGTCCCTCTCGTCCCTCTCGTCCCTCTCCTCCCCTCGTCCATGAACTGGAAGCCCTTTGTTTGCGGCTATTCGTATTTCAAATGCGAATTTTTCGTAGGTCTGCAGGTCGATAAGTGGATAAAATTTTCAGATTCATCACCAATCAGATTTCACTGCCCGCATCCATTTATCCACATTCTCATTTGCGTGTGAATCTGGCTTCACTGTGATTGTCCGTCTAACGGGTCCGGTGCGATGCGAAGGCGGACTTCTACTCCGATCATGTGCTGTGCATACAGGACCTCCCCGAGGCTGAGTTTGTTCTTCAAAAGTTGGGAATTATTTTCATATGAATACTGCCTAGGTAGGTAGTTCGTATGTATATGCTAGGTATGCTACATATATTTCTATCCACAATGTCCACTTGAAAGTACCTAAAATACTAGGCATTCAGTCAGCTAGTTTGGACATTTCCGCTATCTGGAAATCTCGAATGTGTTTAATAAACTTGAAGCTTTTCAATCGACATAATCATACCAACACCAAGTGTCACCAACCCATATAAATATCATGGAACATCGAATACAATCAATCTCGATGGCATTTGCATGTAGGACAAATCCTACGTACTTCCGCCGGGACAGATGGAGCGGAGCTTTCCCAAACTGTTCACAACTTCCGCACTCTCTTCCCGATCTAACCGTGAAACCTCGGACAGATGCACCACGTTGGATTGGCTCTCTAAAGTGGATCCCTAAATAGTGGGACGGGTAAAAGTTTCCCCGTAATTTCCAAAAAAATTAAAGCCTAGAGCAAATTTTTTAGTAGGTAATTCAAGATTGCGGAGTTTGCGACTGTCAACCATTGCCCGATACATCGAGATTTCCATTTCCAGTAAAACTCCAATCAAAAGTCAATGAAATAAAGATATCACGATATTGATACTACTTACTACTAATACATCACAATGGGTATTCCTCAAAAATCAACAAAGACTAAGACCAGAAGAAGATTGAGGTAAGTTCAATTGCTTGTTAGATATTGGAAAAATTTGTGCGCACAACTAATATTTCTCGCAACAGAGATCTCGATCAAATTTCTGCCGATATTCGTTCCCCAAAACATCTTGCGCAACATAAAAACTCAAAAGCCGCAGAAGATTTGCCAGGCTTAGGAAAATGGTATTGCATTGAGTGCGCAAAATGGTATGAATCGGAGAATAGTATGCTATCGCATCTCAAGGGCAAACCTCACAAGAGAAGGTAGGTTCTGCAATCACAGGAGAAAGTTTGTATAGCAAGATATTAATTTGATACAACAGAGTCAAGGCATTGAAGGAAGGACCATATACACAAAGAGATGCTGAAGCAGCTATTGGCCAAGGCCCTGCAGATAATGGCAAGAGAAATAAAGCTCTAGATGTAGAGGTAGAGATGGAAAACTCCGGATTTATCGACGACCAGGAAACCTGAGCACAGATATCATTGCCCCTCGACATGGAGTAATCATAGAAAGGGTTTATCAAAGCTTAGTTTATCGTGGCTACTACAAAATCTATGGCGGGGTATCATGGTGGAGAAGGGACTTTTTAAATGTGTATTTCCGTCTCATCTTACACCCCGACCTCGACCTCTTGCAAGACCGCTTGCTCTACCGCCACGTCCACCACGCGGAACGGGAATACCTCTACCAGATGAGCCAGAGCCACCCGAAGATCCACCTCGGCGAGAAGAGCCTGCTATTCTTGATGGCGCAGGGGTTGTGAATTTCGGGGTTCCTCTCGAGGAGGTTGGAGGAGGATTATCAACGAAGGAGGTATCCGTGGTCCTAGAGAAATCAATGAGCCATGAACTATGAACCATGAACCATAGCAGCGAATAATATGTTGCTTACAAAAATGTTGTTTCGCCATCAATTTCACCACGAAATCTTTCTGAATTTGTTGATTTGCCTGTTGCACGTATCGGTAGCTTTTTCATTGTCTATTGATCTGTTATACTGACCTAATTGCTCCTCCTGTTCTTGTGCTCGACGAAATGAATCTGGGATAGGTGCCTAGTAACCTGATCAACCAATGCCAAAAAAAATAGGCCAATCCAAGTAAACAAACCTCGGGAAAATCGACGCAAAAAGCATTCATATTCAATCCATAAAGAAAACTGGCAAAGTTCTCACTAAACCTCGCCAAACTCTCATGCATCAATTGTAAATGCATAAAATTGGCTTCTAAATCTGCCATCGAATCAGACAATTCCGCAAACGCAGGTTCAAATGCTTCCAGAGGTGCGCTCGAATAACCACCAGTACTTTTTCTCGCCGATTCGCGAAGAGAAGAACGGGAGGATGGACGGAGAGGAGTGGTTGGACGAGACAGCGGGTTTCGAGAGGCGGAGTGGGATCTTTTGACGCTGCTGTGGCCGTCGTTGAGGGGGGTGGTGGAGGACATTGTGATGGTGATGGTGGTGGTGGTTATGATTGTGATGGTAATGGTGGTTGTAGATGTAGATGTACTGGTATTGTTGTTTTGTTTATGAGGGGAAGCCTTGATACAAATTCTGGGCTCACGACCTTATCGTCAGTACCCAATCAGTGCGCAAACCACAGTTATCGCATAGCCCTGGAGGTACTAAATATTCAATGCTAGGTATGTATATGTATGTACGTACCATGTATCTGTACAACATACAACAACATACAACATCAACATCAACGTACAACATACAACATACAACATACAACACAATCTAGGGTTGATATCTTTTGACCAAGAGCGGTGAAAATTAATGCCTGAAACTTTCCAACTTATCTACCTACTAGGTAGGTACCAGTAGATCTCATTCTTGCATTAAAAGAACCACACCAACCACGGATGTTAGAGATACATTTTTACCCCGCTACTATTAGTACACGCACCCTCGCACCTACATTTTTATGTCGTGTGCACGAGTTTTTTTTGGCACAGAGGCACACACAACATCTTGAACAGAGCGCCGCACAATGACGAACTTTTTATGAACTGCAGAACGGGTATGGAAAAAAAAAGGAAATTGGGTTGAAGCACTTCTGATGATCCGCGGCTTCTTCGGATTAGAAGATGTTTCCGTTGCTCGTGAATCGTATTTTAATTTCCTGTCGCTTTGAGTTTGGATACTAAAAGAATGGGTAAAGGGAATGATTTGCTTAGCATTTATAATATTGTGGGAGAGGTACCTACTCATTTTATCGTGGTATACAATAAGCCCATACATAACTTGACCTCATCTCGTAACAAGCTTGCTTTTCTGGTGACATAGATTCGAGAGGCCTATATATCAAGGCTTGAGTCCCCTCACTTCCAGCCTCAACCCCTCCTTCATCTTGACTCTCTCATTCAAGAATTGAAAATAATCGACCATACATCTTTTCCATGAAAATATCAGCTGGAGTAACCGGTGGTTTTGTGCATCATTATACTCAGTATTCATTCTCTATATCTACTACATTAATACGTCGAAATCATAACCGCGGGGGTCTTATTCAATCTTTTGGTAGGATACAAGCATTTGCGCCCCTTCGTCGCAACTATTCTGAAATCCATTCAAGCACTTTGAAGATCAAGGGATTGAATCCGGCAAAGCGCGCAACTTTACTTCCTAACTCCGCTTGGAAAAGGTCGAGCGCTACAACTTCTATCTATAATCGAAGCACATCCTCATTGTCACTCGACTGCCTTGAAAAGCGCAATACTTCTTGTGAAACACCTTTGCGAACGCTTGTGCAAAGCAGCTTAGGAAATTGGGCTACCGTCTTAATCCTTACATTCATTAGCAGCGCATTTCTCTATACTTCAACATACAGTCAGCCAAAGACACATACACTCCAACCACGACAGGTGCAAATTGATCCCGAGCAAGAATATTACGAATATTACAAAATGACGGGCGAAACACTCCCAGGTCGACCTGGCACATTGACAGCACATGAAGAAGAGAAATTACGAGAATTCTGGGTTGCCACCTTACAAGTCTTCGGCGTACTTGATCCCCAAGCAGATACCAACGGCACCAGTGGCGATTCGGAAGTGAGCAATGGTGTTGCAAAATCGGATACCTCGGCTCCCGAGAAACCTAAGAAGAAGAGATTCTCGGCCCTGCGCAGGAAAAATAAGGATGATGATGCTGCATCCACAAAATCTACAAGCGCTGCTTCGCGTATCTCGAATGCTTCGGATGCGGATGATAAATATGGGCAAACCAAGGAATTTCACGATGCTTTGGCTAGTCTGCCACCGGCCTCAATTCGTGCGACATTCTGGAGTATGGTGAAATATGATCATCCGGATGCGCTTCTATTGAGGTTCTTGAGAGCGAGAAAATGGGATGTGGATAAGGCATTGGTCATGATGATTTCTACCATGAGATGGAGAGCTTCGGATATGCATGTTGATGATGATATCATGAAAAATGGAGAATTGGCTGCTGTCGAAGATGAGGAGTCGACTAATGCTGAAAAGAAGAGACATGCAGAAGGATTCCTTACGCAGATGCGCTCGGGAAAGAGTTTCTTGCATGGTTTAGACAAGTACGTATTCTGGGTTTTCCATCTACTTCTTAATTCGAACATTATCTTACCCTTGATCGATACACACATATTTAGATCATTGCTAATATGAAATTCTTACAGAGCCGGAAGACCAATGTGCTTTGTGAGAGCTCGCTTACACAAACAAGGAGAGCAGTCAGAAGAAAGTTTGGAAAGATATACGGTTTTCATTATAGAATCGGCTAGGATGCTATTGGAACCACCAGTAGATACTGCTGTAAGACTTCACTTTCCATGTTGAGTTTACTCGGTATAATAAGTACTGACAACATGATAGTGTGTAGTATTCGATATGACTGGATTTTCACTGGCCAATATGGTAATTGAACCCCCTACCACTTCCTTTGCACCGAAATTTGCTAATTTCATAATAGGATTATGGGCCTGTCAAATTCATGATCAAATGCTTCGAAGCCAACTACCCCGAAAGTTTGGGCGTAGTCCTAGTTCACAGAGCACCATGGGTCTTCCAAGGTACACCTTCATTTCTACCCCTCCAAGAACCCCTTCACTAACTTCCCCAGGTATCTGGAAAATAATACGTGGCTGGCTAGACCCCGTCGTCGCATCTAAAGTCCAATTCACAAATAACGTTGAAGAGATGTCCGAATTCGTTCCTCGTTCTCAAATCCTCGCCGAACTCGGCGGCGACGAGAACTGGGAATACAAATTCGTAGAACCAGTTCCCGGCGAAAACGACTTGATGAAAGATACAGCAACCCGAGATAAGCTCTTGAAAGAAAGAGAAAATATCGTGGATGCGTATGAGAAAGCTACACTGGAGTGGATCAACTCGGAAGGAAAGACACCCGAAATTAAGACTAGGAGGACAGAATTGGCAAAGGAGCTCAGAGATGATTATTGGAAATTGGATCCCTATGTTAGGGCAAAGAGTTTGTATGATCGAACGGGCGTCATTAATCCAGGGGGGAAATTGGATTTTTACCCAAAGGCTAAGGGGGAAACGGCTCCTGCGGCTACTCCGGCGGTGGAAACTTCGGCTGACGATATTGATTAGATTGGGGTTGTGAGGAAGAAAGAGAAGAAGAGGGAGAGAAGGGGAATAGGAAAGGCTATAGGAACAGGAAGATATATAATGAGAATAAGAGCGAGAATCAGAATCAGAATAAGAGCAGAAGAATAAAATAAGAAAGAAATATCTGGATATCGAGTATGCAATTTAATCAGGTCAGGTCTTGGTTCTTCGATTGATTTGTGGAGCAATCAGCAAGTTCGAGAATGGTGAGGGATGCATGGGATTTTATTGGATATATGTATATGTGTGTACATGTTTGTATATGTAATAGAGATTGTATAGGTAGGTTTGAAAATTTCTTTTTGTAAGCTATAAGCTGGGTTCTATAAGCTAGGTTCTATATATGTATGTATGTATGTATGTATGTATGTATGTATGTATATACATATATATATACATCTTACTAAGTACATATACATACATGCTTTCTATCACTGAAACTTTGTTTTTGAACTACCACCACACACCTCTCTGGTTCCCTAGATATATCGATTGATCTGTATTGGGTGGATGGGAGGGAGAGGGAGGGAGAGGAGATGGAGGGGACAAGGGAGATGAGATGTTATGTTGTGTTATGGGCTACTTGTGTAAATACTAGATAGGTAGATAGATAGGTAGGTAGGTAGGTAGGTAGGTAGGTAGGTGGGTAGATATCTTGTACTTGCACTGGGTTATGCTTTATGGGATCTGGGCTGGGCTGGGCTGGACTGGGATTTTAAGGTTAAGATGAGATGGGATGAGGTAGGTATACTGGATAGATGGTGAGGGGAATGGAAGTTACTTTTTGAGAGGTGTGATTTATCATATCTTGTATCTTTTCAATCTCTTCTCATTTATTTCATTCATCATTCAGCATTCATCATTGATCAATCAGTAAATCACCTAGCCAAACCAAACCAAAGCTATCATCTTCCTGCACCCTACATACAATACACCCCGAGGTTCTTATAAATAGATAAAAAATACCTCTGGAATAAAACTGTTCTTCCTCTCTCCAATAACTCATTGGAAAGTATTGATTCTTAACGCCTGCTTCGCTTCTTTGCTTGCTTGCTCGCTTCTAAATACAACGGATATTTATAGTTATTTACATCTTTGATTTTATCTCTGCAAAGAGAGCTTTTAGTTTGTCCATGTCTGTTTTTTGTTGCGGCCAGCCGATGGACATGCCTTCTTCGGTGGAGGGTTTGGGAATCTGTGGAGGAGGGGGAGGAGGTTAGTTTGGGATGGGATGGGGTGGGAAATTGGGTATTGTGAGGATGACAGAGGAGAGGGGACGAACCATATGGAAATGTACCTAGAGAAGCTGTTAGTTATTGTAGTCTATGATGGCATTGGTAAGGGAGAGAGATCTAGGGGGTATGAGGGGAATAAGATGAGAAACATACGTGATCAACTTCCTGATGCGCAATACGTCCGTTATTCTGTAGCACATTGTAATTTTCCGCACCGGTTGCTACGACGAGTTTCTTTACTACGGGCTAGGTAGAGGTATTGTGTTAGTATTTGTTTTATTCTTGAGAATTGCTTATCTGGTATAATTCCATTGTAAAATATGTGCGTAGATGTGATATTCGTTTTTTCGAGTATGATGTCCAGGAAATGCGAAGAGAGGATGAGAAGGAAGGAAAATAGATAGGTACCAGAATCTCCTCTAACTGATCATCGGGAATATCGACCAATTTCTCGCCGTGATGTTTGGGAATTACGAGCTAGATATTGATCGATGTGTTAGTTTTGTTCTATCTGTATATCTCATCCACCCTCCATTCATTCATTCATCCATCCATAATCGGGAAACCTCGGAATAGCTTCACCCGCAGAAACACAAGTATACAAGCTTCGATACGATAACACGAATACAAGAAAATACTCACAGCGTGACCCTTGGACAAAGGATTAATATCCAAAAACGCAAGCACCTTTTCCGATTCGTAGAGTTTGAAAGAGGGAATATCTCCTACGAATGGACCACCAGGTTAGCCTTTGCATCGAGCGTTGGAATTGCGCTGAGATGTGACAGAGATGAGAAACTTGCCTTTGATTATCTTGCAGAAGATACATGCTGCTTGAGATGCCATTTTGAGTGATAGTATGTGAGTTTATTTGAACGTGAGGTCTGGGCTTGTGATTGTAATTGAAATTGTGTAGTGAAGTGGAATAATGAAATCGCAATTCAGGTCTTCGTTACCTACTTTTGAACGCGGGGTCGTTCTCACATTCCTGAAGCTCCATTGAGCTCTCCTCTCATACCTTGATTTCCGGATATTACCCGAGTCATTCAATCCACTCGTCCACTTTTCAATATATGAGCAATATAGTTTTGAAACCAGATTACATCATCAACAAATCACGCAAACTAGTATGATGGGCATGTTGCCAGAGTGGTTAATGGGTAAGACTTGAATGGATAATTCGGTTATCTTATGGTTTCGGCCTCGTAGGTTCAAATCCTGCACATGTCGTTTGCTTTTTGACTCTTTTGGTGATTTTTTGGTTGATGGGTAGTGTCTTGGGAAAGAGGTCGTTGGTACCTGGGTGGAGGAGAACATTTTTTGGCTTTGGACCAGAGATGTGCATCCATCAGATCGGCAGCATAATTTTCCTGGTGAAAATTACCCTCATCCTGTTGAATCGTCACCAAACTACCTAGTACTTTCTTTCCTGCAATACCATTTTGTTCTTGTTCCAAGTCGGGAACGATTCCTTCGTGGACGATCTATCTACTCGAATGACTGGTATGTCCTTTGTAAACACATCTCTAGTAGCACGACTAGTATCTTTCTTATGCGAGTGATCCTATAGCATTTATTTTCTCTTTGAGTCATTCTTCTCTTGAATTATTTTATTTCTACTCCATGTATATCTTCTAGGTATCTATCTATCCTTAAGTGTCAACTTCAAGCATTTGTATTCTAAGTGGCCCTACTTTATACATATATTCCTAGATATCATCTCATATACACTCATGATCACCTAGTAAGTATCATTTCGTAACCTTATTGAACCATGGCAAACCAAACACAGGATAGTACTATGCTCGTAATGACTAGAAAGCCTTCTCTCAAGAAGCGATTTGCGTGTTCAAGTATACGCCTCCGCTACCTCGAAATCCCACACATAGAGATTTGACGTAAATTTTATATCTCCAAGTTCCACGCCCTGTGTGCAGAGTATGCATTCTATATCGTAATTCCATAATATAATTACATTCGAAATACGAAGTCGAATTCTCTAAAACAATCAATATAGCTCTCGCGTTGTATCGTCATCACGCGAGCCTTCGTTTGCACTTATAGATGGCAACTTCCCCCCTTTTTGTCAAGTTTCCTCGGTTCCTCGCTACGCTTTATCGAAAAAGCCACTATTAGACTACGAATAATAATAATGTCTTCACTTTTGGGCTTGTTACCTTCGGTTACCTTCGATGATTACTTTAAAATTATTTCTCCTTTTGCACATAGCCTGGATATTTTACGTCTAAGCGAGGTAGGATGTATACAACAAATACCTCCATCATATAGCAACTTTCTGCTTTTCTCAAAAACTATTGAAATAGGATTGTAGATGAAGCTTTCCAGGATTCAAAATCATATATATTTGAGTTCTTTAGCCTGGTGTCATCCTGAAAACACTGAGTAAAATAGGGATGCCTTTTGAGCGGCAAAAAAGGATGAGTGGCAGCACCACTTTGTCAACACAGAGAGACGCTCTCCCGCAGTCAAACACAGCAAAAGAGTTGATCACTGGCGGTTTCGAACCGCCGACCTTGGCGTGCCAAACCTAGCTGAATGAACAGAACAGATATTAGCACCACGCTCTAACCAACTGAGCTAAGCGACCAGATTAGGTTATTGGTTGGGAGAGCACAACGTAGAAGCGTATATACATAAAACAATTGTGGTGCGGGCTGAAAAATGACTGTGGATGGAGGGAATGGCGGGAGGAGAGTATGAGTGGATGGAGGGGGTATGGTGGATGTGCTTAGTGGGGATTTAGCGATAGTAATAGCGGGAACGAATCATGAGGCAGGGCTAGGGTTTGTGCGCGGGCGTAAGGACGGAGTGGGTAGTGGATAGTGGATAGCGGAGGGATGGTGGGGCGGAGTGGTGGGCCTTGAGTGTAAAAGTGCGGCTAATGGAATTGGTGGAGATCATGGACTGGGGTGGAGGGTTACGAGACTCAGGGGGACGTTGAGCCTCTGGAGAATTGTAACTTTAGGTTATGAAAACTTGCATGTTTTCTTAAGCATCTTGATACTAGATCACGAAGTTTTGAATGCACATTGAAAATCTAGCTGGGCATTTGAGAGTTCATTGCACATATGTAACACATTTCTCATAAGATAAACACTAACCGTGAAACAGAATAAGACGCCCTAAACAACGTCTTGAAAGGAACTCGTGGGATATATAGTGTGTATGCTTCATCATTCATGCATTAATCTATCTAGGTATCTCTTACAAACGGGAACCAACAGAACTATCTTCCTTAATCTCGACCAATAATTTACCTATAGATTGTCAGTAAAAGGGTGTACAAGTACTGAGATAGGATGAGAACTTACCAGTATTAACACCTTGATACAATTCCATTAAAGCTTTTTCGGCAACACCAAGTCCACCCTTGATAATAGTCTCCTTTCTTTGGAGTTTGCCCTCTGCCAACCATTGAGACATCTCTTTACGGGCTTCAGCGTACTTGGATGCGTAATCGAAGACGATGAAACCTTGAAGACGAATTCTCATTGCGATGATCATTGAGAAGTTCTAACTTTGGTTAGCAAAGTGCGGCAAGCAATATTTGGAGAGAGTATGACATACCTTTGGTCCAACTGGAGTATCCGAGTTATATTGACTGATAGCACCACACATAACGAAAGTTGAGAATGGCTTCGCTCTGCTGAGAGCAAGTTCCAAAATCTCTCCTCCGACATTGTCAAAGAATACATCGATGAAGTTTGGTGTAGCAGCCTTGAACTTAGATGGGAAATCCTTATCCTTGTAGTTCAAAGCATCATCACAACCCAATTCCTTCAACCATTGTACTTTGTCATCACTTCCAGCAAGACCCAAAACCTTGGCTCCCTTAAGCTTAGCAATTTGACAAACAACACTTCCAGTAGCACCAGCGGCACCAGATACTACAACGAAATCTCCAGCCTTGATTTTTCCAACTTCCAGAATTCCGAAGTAGGCGGTAAGACCAGTCATTCCAAGAACACCAAGGGCATCGGTGAGCTTGCCGTTGGGTGGAAGATCAATAGGTGTGAGGTCTTTGGAAGCCATGATAGCTATTTCTTTCCATCCTGTAATGCCGGATGCGTAGTCACCGACATTGAATTTTGATGATTTGCTGGCGATGACCTTTCCAATGGAAACACCACGCATAACCTCACCAATTTGTACAGGTGGAACGTATGATCTTCTGTCTATTCCATCATTCAATGTCAGCATTTATCACGTGTGGAAGCGGGGTGTGTCAATAATGTTTCCCTCCACATCATTCACATCACTGGCTAATAGGGTAATAGAGGCAAGAAAATAACAGTCGGTACGTACCATTCAACCAACCTCTCATGGCCGGGTCCAATGAAAGATATAACACTTCAACCAAGACTTGATCATCTTTGAGATCTGCCTCCGTTACCATTGGATTCTCCTTCTTCTCGAAAGTCTCTCCTGGAACAATTTGTCCAGTAGGACGCTTTGCTAAAACCACCGATTGATATGTTGATTGAGCCATTATGTTCTTTGAACGTTTGATCTTTTGACCGTCCATTTTGATATTCCGTCTGCAGTCAGTCTCTTATATATGCGCGAATCGTTGCTTTTTCGTCCGAGATAGGCTTCCGAACAGATTTGTATCTCTTTCCGTTTCTAGATCAAACGCTTGACGTGATGTGGGCTTACTGCAATGCGGACCGATCCAATGCAATCAAAAATCTATAATAAACACTACACCGCAACCAAGGTCATCCAGGTACTGTCTCACGTCGTAATTCGATGCCTCTTCTCCTGTATCAATAGATTTCTCCGAAGCAATCGCGCTGCAATATTCACTCAAATCCACAAAAGTCTCAAGGCGCTTTTTCCAAACTTGCGTATGTCTTCCGATGCAGTTGTTCTCAAACCTTCAAACATTGCTGCGTTTGATGACAAAATGGTTCAAATACTCAAGGTTCACCAATAACCGTGAGCCGAGGCAGGCTCGCGGACGATCTTCTTGCCTCACCGAAATGGCTTTGCTTCCTATTTGGGTTACCATGCCGAAAGTACCGACATGCCGTTCTAGGATTTTCCCGAAAGCAAAAACTTATCCCTATTCTTATAAGGCTCAGCAGCATGGAGGTCGGCATGAACGACACCAAGACCTCTCTAGAAGGATATTGGGTACTTGAGAATGATCTATATCCTTTAAACCCTTTCATCAGAATATCCTTATAATTTGAGATCTCAGGATTACTTGTGCCATTATTAGACCGTCAGAATCATCAGGATTGTCGTCATCATCTAACAGTTTATTGATATCTTAATTGATTTCCACCAAAGATATCACGAAAATGTTACCTGATTGGGACCAATCGGAATCAAATTATGGTTGGGTCAGAATTAATCGAGTGTCTCTAAATAAGACTACAAAAACCGGTATCCTTACCGAGAGTTTTTGCTGTATGTCATCGGAGACGAACCGAAAGAAGATGCAGATGCGCGATTCCTAGATGTGTGCATTGACATCGGAGAATCGTATCGAAAAAGGATATTCCATTAGGATCAAGATGCACGGAGACGGCCAATGTTGAGACAACCGAGTGGACTATGAAGCAAAGGCACTTCGGCGCGAGCAACCGTATACGGTCGCAATCGCGTTGTTGAGAACTCTTTTTCTAGGTATCAAAATCAAAGCTCATAAACGAAGCAAGTTCATAGGCATTGTGATTTGTAGGGCTCGGTTTGAGACGGGCTTGAGCTATTTTGAAATTTGTTGATCTCGGGGCTTTTCTCTGCACAGGTAAAGTGGCTCTTAAAGTTTCCGTTTCCGTACGGGCATACTACTTTATCAGGTACACTACGTCCGAAAATTCTTCAACAGAGGAAAGATTTTGCCTTTTTGTTCGTTTTGAGACACACGAGTCGTGCATGACCGACCGGGTCGACCGACGTAAGTTTCGGACGCAAGTCACAGATTGTTTACGGAAAGGGGTAGTCAACGCCGTGCCGCACGTTATTACGATTCTCCTGCGTGTTGCATATAAAAACGTGTAGTTTTTTGCATAATGCTACATGCGGGCTGCGATGTCACGACAAGCAACGTTTATGCGGAAGATGGGAGTCGGCGCGGGTATACTTCTCCATGGAATCTTGTGGAGTTATGGGTGTCCGAGCCCCGCTACACTATAAGGATAGGATGGCCCCTCATTTAGGGCCGTAGGATTCAGGTATTGTTCTGACAAATTCACCGCTCGATCAACTTATCTTGTTCCACTATTTCAGGGTCTTTTGAGCCTTATCGATTTTGTGTCAACAGACGACGTTCAGTCCAAAGTGACGTTTACCTTATTCCTTGACCGATATCCCATATCCTGAAACCCTAGCCTGCCACCCTTTGTCGCTTTAGAGGTCGTCTGATATCTTTGAGTGGGTTATTAAGTGCCGTTGTTATGTTGATTGCTCGGTATATACGAATATACACGGTGTATAGTGGATATGATTGAAAACATGGCTTGACCTTATGTTACGATGTACACTGAGTATTGATAGATGCCTGACTTGACGATCCCTTGTTTCGTGTGAGCCTTAGAGCGGCCGATTCACAGTAGGTTAGTACATCAATTATACACATATGTGATTGTAGAATAGAATTTCTGCGAATATTTTTATTTTATATACAAACAACGGTGCCCAAGTATATACACCCTTTATCCTCTCTCTCCTCCTGTTTCAGGTGACCCTTATTCTCTCACTTCTCCTCGCTCCCCATGTATATTTATGCGGGGCAGCCAGTTGCTGGGTAGTTACAGGTGCTGTTCTTTGCGCCTCCTGTGATCTTGACACCAGAGAACTTGATATTGCTACAGCTTCCTTCACCACAAAGCACATAGTAATTTCTAGCACTGGCTGCAGCTGTTCCAACCACATTTTCAAATAAAACGTTCTCAATCTTGACACCGTTAGTTGGCTCTCCTGTTGGACCTCCGTTAAGATAATCTTGTTGTACATCGATTCCATAAGTATCAATATTGGTGAGCTTGATGTTGCTGTATGTGATGTTGGAGATGAAACCGGTGGTTCCAGAATTTGACTTGATGCGAGCTCCGTTGCTGGAATTGACTAATTCGCTGTTCTTGAACTGAAAATATATGAGTAAGTAAATTTTTCAATATCGAAGTAAATATAACTTACTGTGATATTTGTAACATTGTTGTTACTCTTTCCACCAACAGATCCGATGGAGAGACCATGACCACCTGAGCAATATAACCCATCGATGGTGATGTTGTTCCCGCTCGTGACGGCTACACAATCATCCTGGTTGAAAACTTTTGTATTCTTGATGATTGTGTTGCTGGATGAGCTGACATCAAATCCATCTGAATTATGTGCTGCGGCCAATGTACCACTTGCTGCATTTGGCGCGTCTCCTGCTGTGTTGTTGAGGACCAAATTTTGAATGGTCAGTCCGACAGCACCGGTAATAGTGAAAAGATGGACGGGCCAGTTTTGAATGTAGAGATTCTCAATGACGGAATTTCCGATCAATTTCGAGGCTGCGATGAAATGGTTTGGTCTAAATTCATTTTTAGCTGCATGGTCATTGAATTGACGTGGAGGCATACTTTGGCACACCACCGTTTGAACCAAGACCATCCCAATAAGCCTGGCCATTACCATCGATAATTGCATCGGGCTTAGCGGTAACAGTGATTCCAGAACCGCCCAGCTTGATTGGCTCGAAGCTGCTTTCATTGGTGAATCCAAATGTTGTTTTTCCAGCAAAGGTGATTGTTGTACCAGCCTTAACTTTGGTAAGGTCAATACTGCTACCTGATGGTGCAAATACGTTGTTCAAAACAATGGCGGTAGAGGACGCAACACAAGGAGCGATTTGGGAATACACCGAAGCAGTACAAGCTGTCTGGGCAGTGCAAGCACCTGACAAGGTGAGGGCTAAAAGCCCAGAGATCTGAGAGTTCTTATGCATGATGAAACGATCAAGTAGAATGGATGGGAGTCAAACTTGGCAATGTGTGCTCTTGGGGATATCCGCCTTTATGAAGTCCTAGAGGCCAAGCATAGCAATCTCCCGAAATCGTATTCTTTTCATGTGAACAATCGCCGAATAATGAGCGAAATGAATTTGTCATGGGCCGGAATAACTACGTACATTGGGTTTCCGCAAATCAATATAAACTCAGGCAGGAAGGTTGGAAGGATCATCCACAATTTGCCAGAAAACGGCAGCTCATAGGCACCAGATGATGTTGAACACACCGGTACTAGATATTATCTCCACAATCTTCAGACGGAAATTAATCTGTAGTCATGGGGATTTCCCCATGTTTCAACTCCATATCCCCAGATTTCAGCTTGGCAGCGGGTCGGCACTTCCCTCGTGTTGACAAGTTTGAATTTTCCACGAATGGTGAAGTTTACCAGAGAAGCTTTATTTGAATCACCAATTTAAGTAGGTTTTAATCAGTCCCTTAAATCTTCCATTTAGCATGAATCTAGAACGTATCTATGCTTTCTGGTTGGAGGCCAAGATTTGTCCGCGATGATCATCACGTGCTTGAAACCACACTAAAACCTACTTATCCACCACCAGTCTTGTTGAATCTCATATAAAGTCTTGCAAGCCACTCGCCAAGGCGGAGGAATCGACATACTAGTCAGTTTGTTCATTGGGAAGGTGACTGGAAGGCTGCAACGCTATACAGAACAGGATTGTGTTACTGAGTCTCGTGCCAGATTATGTGACTTCACAATGAAAGATTTGTACGTTGGATGGTTCAATGTCCGATTTTCGTCATAATGATGATATCAAGGAGCAAGCTTCTTGAAGCGCTGGATGCGCTACAATCACCTACGCCTAGCCCAATTGATTCGGACTGGACAAACAGACGGAGAATTTGAAATGATCCGAGCTTATCATTTGACCGACAGTAAAAGCTTCTTATAACACAGAGAACGTAGATGTATTATCTTGGCAGCGACGAGAAAAGGGGCAAAAGAATTCTTGGCTATCGGGAATAAGGAGATTAAGGGATATCCGAAGTGGTGAGATCACGTGTATGGCAGAAGCTCCCGAACTTCCGCCAGAATATCGACAATGTTCAGCAAAGAGATTTCCCTTTGCAAAAACTCTGCCATATGAAGGAATGCATAATTTGGTAATGATTGGTAAAGCAAAGAGCGTTACTACCTTGCAATGGTGCGAGACGGGTCTGATCATGAGCCTCTCCCGGCTACATTGACATACAGAGCACATATACAATGATCACGAAATATGTGCTTGTAAGATTGCAGCATTCTCGATCCAGTCATAAGAGGATTAAGTTGAATAGGATGACGCTCTTTTTCACATCAAACGAAGTTCGAAGTTCTACGGCATATCCGGGGTGTTATTTATTTGACTCACCAATATTCCTTGTCAAAATGTGGTCTGACATTTGGGGGCTAAAGGGTGATTGCACGAAAAAGTAACATCCATCACATGCAGGATGGCAGCCATGCATCAAAGCAAGTCGAATTGCAACATGATTTTTTCAATTGGCCATCAGGAACGAGTGCTATACGGGCCCCTCCTTCTGCCTCAATGATCTTCCCTCTGTTGTTGCGCCCATCTTCGGATGCTTCTGCAAAAATGGTCATATGATCCGTCTTATCATTTCCGATATCGAATCAAATGTTATCATCATGTCGGTCGCAAGGGTTACTGTCCTCCATGCAAATTCGCGCTGAATCCTTGCATGATGGCTGTGTGCATCCTACCCACTGTTGGAAAGCAAGGTTTGAAGCAATTGATATAAGGGCTCGCCCTCTCTGAACATGCTCTTTACACTTAAGGGCGACCGTTCTCTGTGAAAATCACCTTTTTCATTTCTGTCTTATAATTGTTCGGTTCAATGATGACCGCCTTTGAGGCATTGAGCTGTTCATGCAGCTACGACCAATCGCACGCAACAATTGATCGCGACGAAGGATTCAGACGAACCAAGAGGTCTGATTGGCTCTAGACTAAGGGCACTATACGATACTCTTATGAATTAAAGAAGAGCCTGTGAGGGCGTGCCAAGCGAATTCATTAAGAGAATTTGTACAGTGCCAGCGAAATCGCCCTTTTCAAAGTCACTCCCCGTGACTTGATACTATCAAGGATTGGGACGCGTTTACAATGATATTTTTGGCAAGCGACAGAGGCTACCGGTGATTGATTGGTGTGCTGTACTGAGAGCGTGAGGTAAGTAATGAAATGAGTGAGGTAGGTTGGATAGGTAAATTGCAGACTCCTAGTCTTTCTCCGTTATCCGATAATCACCACCCCTCTTAAATAGACAATCATTTCATTTACCTTCAACAAGCTCTACTATTCAATCAAAAGTAGCTTGCATGATTGATTGTTATAAAAACCCGAGTCGCTGTTCTTGTCAATACTATAGATTTACTTACCTCCTTTTTCAATCAACAAAAGTGTATGTTCATCATCAACCCCTTCATCCATTTGCCAATGACTCTCAGAGACTAACTTCGCTGCCTAGCTGCCTCAATCAGAATGTCAAGCTCTTTCCAAACATCGATTTCTGACCTCGCAGGCATCCACGTGCCGTCGAAAAATGTATGCGAGTGGATTTTCCAAGGCGATACAATTTCTATGAATCAATACTTTGGTGACATCGCCGAAGACCTTGCTCCAGACTTGGTCAATGAACTCTCTACGAGTTGCAACTTTGCGACAGTGAATATCGACCAACACAAAAAAATTGTGAATACATCGGCACGGTCTTCCTTTGACCATCGTCTATCCGACAGTACTTGTGCTGCTAGCTCGTATGCAGATACGGAAACTTCCATGAGACCGCAATATACTAGCCCATCCTCCGAATCAATTTCACAGTCCTCGATCATTATCCTGACTCCAACTACCTCCGTTGATGATAATGGGGATAACAACATCCCCGTAAGCCAAAATGACTCGATCGGGTTGCAGCACCAATCTGCATACTCCAGTTTCCCAACCTATACCAGTAGCTCGACACCTCTCCACACTTGGGTTGGAACCCCCGAAGTTCACGAGCAGATGGCCTTCAATCTATCAGACCCTAAAACTCATCTGGCCACACAAAAGAAAGGCAAGAAATTAGCTGGCAAATAGGTACAAAATCAAAGTGATGATTTATATAAAAGGAAGGATGCGAAGATCATCATTTAGCCGGTGGACTGGTTTGGGAAAGCCTTTGTTTATGATTTTGCCATTAGATGTTAATTAGGGAGTACTGCCGGCGCAATGATGTCAATGTGACTATGAATGCCATGTTCATGAGATAGGCATTTGAGACTGCTGGCAGCTGTTATTTAAGAACGGGGACAAAGAATTGATTGTCACATATTGCTCTTTTATTCACTTCATTTCACAGAAAGCACTAGGGCTTCTTTTTAGTTAGACGGTTTTTACATGGACTTTGGGTACAAATTTAAGATCTCTACACTCTTACGTTGGATTAGATGTCTGTCTTTCGAAAATACATGTTTGCCATTAAAGTTTAAGCTTAAGCTTGAAGTTCCACACTCCACGTTCTTCCCCACTGCTAGTAAGTTCTAACATTGCTAGTGAAGGGAGTACCCGCTCTTAGTTTAATTCTCCACTTCAGCACTTTCTCGTTATCTTTCGCACTTCCCTACTTATAATTTCTTGACCTCATATCTCTGTTTAATTGAGTCGTATTTTCTGTTTCATAACTCGATCTATTATCCTTCCTCGTATTTCTTTGTTGATAGATGAAAACTGATACTAACGGAGAATACCCAGAGCAAGCCGAAGCTTCGTGTAATGTGTGTTTGTGATTGACCCAAGGAGCCAAGGGAGAGAAAGATTTTGAACCATAGTTCGGAGTAAGATGATTGCATTTTTCCAGACGGCTTACGAAACCCGGTTCAGGCATTAACAATCCATGTAGTCTGTGTCAATGCACCCAAATCGCGATAATACTATCCATCAAAATGGTGTTGATGGTATACAAAATGAGGGGAGTTGTAGCTGGCGAATCTTCGTACCGGCTTTCTGGTTATACTGCAGCTTTGCGATTGCGGGGAACTCGACCCGTTTGAATTCAACGACCAATGTGGGCTTTGAAATAGGCAATGACTATAGAGATAGTATACTCCACTCATTTGACCAAGAACATTCTAGAACAAGACATATACAATTCTGTTTATTATTTCCCAAACACCAAAACAGCATATTGAAATGTCTGGTTCGAATACGCCCTTCTCGTCGCCCTCAGCGCACCTACAAACGCTAGCCCTTCCCTTCCTTGCGAAAGAGCAAAAAGCCATAATTTTGGCTTGGTAATTAAGGACCACGATATATCCCTAACATGGTTATCAGCCAATTAACGAATTAAAGTCAAACAGTCACTTACCATGTCCTCGACACCTTTTCACTGATCTCGAGTGGTTCAACCAAGAGACTTAGCCCCTTCATCCCAGCTAAGCGTACAAATACTTCTTGACCGATGAGTGGAGGAAGCATCATGCCATCTTGAAATCACCAAGATTAGTATCAAACTCATTCGAAATTTCTAAAGATGTCTTACTTTCAATAGCTGTCAAGTCATCATTTTGTTGCCTAGTCTTTAGACCGTTGTTCATACATGAATCAACTGCAAACCAATCCGCAAGCACCAGCTTTCCTCCAATATCCAACAGCTTTGCTACGTCACTGACGAACTTTCTCTTATCTGGAAGATGACTTATTGCATCCGAAATCCATACACAGTCAAACGTTTTCGTCGTTTCATTCCTAAAAGTTTCTTCTATCATCTCAGCGTCTAGAGCCATGAATTTCACTCTTCCTTTTCCCAGCCTAATGAAACCATCTTCATCCTCATCTCCGCCATCTGCCTCTCCTATACTCACTCGCCTTGCAATCCTTATCTCTGCATCACTTAATGCGATTCCCATCACCTCACAACCCAGTTCTCGTGCTAGATATCGAGATGTACCACCGAGTCCACATCCGACATCCAGTACTTTACTTCCCGGTTCGAGGTTCGACTGGCGAACCAAGAGTTCTATTTGTTGTATTTGAGCAACTTCTTTTGTATCAGTGGGAGTGAGGAAGTATCCGTGGTGGATATGTTCGCCCCTGTTTCTGTGAGTCTGAATGAATCTTGGAAGGATTACAAAGGTATAAACATCAAAGGCAACATAAGGAGACTTACCAAAGAGAATAATAGTATTCAGCGCAAACGTCGTAATGATAAATGATCCTATCTTTCAATAATTTGGACGGTTCTTCGGGGTGTCTTTCGCCCACATTCCGAGTTAATTCACCACTCATCTTCACTTATAGAGATGCTTGAATTTTTACACGCAATTTTGAGCAGAGCTCTAGTAGTTGAATCAATTTTACTAATCTCCGTGTGGTAACTATGTAACTTGTTATGTTGCTCACTCAGAGCAGGCTGCATGAGGCGCTTAGATGTTACTCTAGGATGCGTTCCTTTTGACCTCATGAATCCTCAGCGGTAAGAATATCGCAAAACTCATCCATAAGCGCCTCGAGAGGCAAGAAACCTCGTCTAAACAGACTAGATGGCCATACGAATAGTTATTTGTACATGCATCATTTAATTGAGTATCTTTTTAAAATTGTTCTATCAATGCGAACATGGAAAGTTATTACCAAAGTGGTATACTTCTGTAATTAACTGAAATTCTCGGGTTACTGCTCAGTGAGCTCTATAGGAGTTTGTATACCAAATTAGCGTCCTTGCGTTTTTGAAGAATGGGGTCGAGCCGAAGGATGCGAACCGCCGACCACATAGATCGTCGTCTTGCGCGGTAAAATATCCAACATGTGGTCCTTGCGCAATACCTTCTCATTTCAGTCGTCTTCATAGGAGATGCATACTAGAGTACCATTCTTTAGGTTGTGCTCCGATTCAGGCTGGGGAAGTCCCTTGCAGGAATCGTTCTAGGGCCACAAACAGACACAATCCGCTTCCATCGAGCTTCATATTCTTGAACACCTTTGAAGAGTTACTTTTATGTCGATTGAAACTTTTACTTAGGTGATTTAGAATATCCGTATCTTGCGTAGTCTTTGCATTACTTTCGGCCATCATTTCATATCAATTGCAACGGTGTGCAATCAATTACCGCTCCTATAACACGATTCGGTCGACGGAATGATGATTCGTAGGCGGGAAGGGCCCAGTAACCTTTCCTATCATCAACCAAGGGGCCGAATTACCAGTTGATTGAGGCTTCAATCCGACCTATAAGTTGGATGTGTACATAATTTCGCTCCCGCCAAAATGTTGGGATGGTGTAAAAAGTCCTGTACCGCCAAGTTCTGAATGAGTACAAGTCATCTTCGGCCCTTCATTTTGAAGCAACATTCTTTCATTATTCTCTATTTACTTTTTTCAAAAAGAATTATTTTCTTAAATTTGTTGAAAAACGTCTGAAGTCATGTCTTATTACGCAAATTGTCTGAAAGTTTCAGACGAATGCCCTGTCTCGGCGACACCATTTGGATACGCACCATCACTTCCAGCTAACGCTACTTTGCTGGCCATTTTCTGCATCGTTACGATCGCACAGTTGATACAAGGCTTCAGGTATCAGACTTGGGGATTCACAGCTACGTTCATACTGGGGAGTTTGTGCGAAGTATTTGGGTATGCTGGGAGAGTAATGATGGCATCTAGTCCCTGGAGTCATGTTGGGTAAGATTTTCATCCGTTGAATCCATTCATATGAGACTAACAATTATTCAGATTCACTCTCCAAAATCTCTTCCTCACAGTTGGCCCCCTATTCTTCCTCAACGGAGTATTCCTCTGCTACACAAACATAATCGAAACCTACAGCATCACCCTCTCCCGCATCAATCCCGCCACCTACCCTCTCATCTCGACCTCCGTCACACTTCTCCCTTTTATTCTCCTCACCTCCGGGTCTCTCCTTCAAAGCACTTCTGCAGTCGGCTTTACTCCACCCTTCTATCTCTCTACCGGCTCCCACATCGTCATCGCAGGCTTGAGCTTTCAATTACTTTCGATGATTTGTTTTGGTGTTTTGCATGCAGATTATAAGATCCAAGTTCGTGCCTATCACGAACAATTAAATGCGTATGCAGAAAACACGCGCGCCTCGAGACGGTTTATGTATTTCTATATTGCACTTCCAACAACATTTTTGGCAGTCGGCATCAGTGCTATTTACAGAATGGCTGTTTTGGGGCAAGGATGGGGAATGAGCTTTATGAAGAATGAGATTGGATTCATTTGTTTGGAGGGAATGTAAGTTTATTGTTCTAATTTTTATGGTGTGAGGACTGTACTGACTACTTCGTAGAACTGTGGCGATTGCGGGTTATGCATTGTCAATTGTTCATCCGGGTTATGTGTTCAGACCAACGGAGTACATTAATCACAAGAGTGCAGAGATGATTAGTGATGATAAATTGGAAGAGGCTTGGAATTGAGGGTGATGAAATCGGAAGTGAGTAGTCTCTCTATAAATAGTTGAGTTGTTGGCTGTACTGCGACTTTGGAGACTCACCGATTGTTATGGCGCTTATCCTATGAAGGTGCGGCCTTTGAAAGACCACAGAGATATTTAAGCAAGTGGAGGATGGCGTTATGGGCCTGGTTTTTTTATCGTTGGTTCTACGCCGAAGTTGATTGTATGAACATGAAGTAGAATTAGAGGAATTTTTTACTTATAAAGATTGTTTAATGCTTGCTTTATTGAGGCACCGAGGATATGGTGAAGAGGCCACTTCAAGTGAGTCGAGACATTTGGGGGCCATTGAAATGATCAAGCTTCAAAATAGAAGCTGGATTAAATTTATCGTCGCTCGCATCTTTTGAAAATCTTAACTGATTATTCAGGAAACTTATTCAAATATGGAAAACGAAGGATATCCATATATCCTAAGATAGATCGTATTATTTGTGCCAAGATTCGTGATCGCTGTAACTATCATTTTGGTATATTGTATTTGTATAGGATCCCGGAACAGATCCATTCACTAACAGGCCTTGAAATTCTTTCGTCGTCGCCTTACCGACCACTCCAGCAACTCAAGTGGCAAGTGTTGTATTGCGAAGCTCCCACCGTGTGCCTTCCAATGTGTTCTATTGCAGAACTAACTTCGAGCGAGGGATTATCTACACTATAATATTTGTAAAGATTCCTGCACTTCTCATGGCTCTATAGTAGTTCTAATGCTCTGATTTTCATCTTTTCAATGGGACATCTTTGGGTTACGAGAAACAGACCTGTTACTAAACGTCATCTACCCATTTGAAAGCTTAGTTCCCGTTTTTCGGCTCCAGAATATCGACTCCAAACTCAAGTAGTAAAGCGCATAGAGCTGTTATATGATGCTCATGAACTGTGATCTGTGGGAGACCAAGACGCAGACAGATTTGTTTGATCATCAACGCTGTTGCAATTTGGTAAGTGATGATGATCGAGAACTTGAACTGCTAGATTAGAAAATGTAAGTAAATGCTCTCGACCATCTATCAGTAGCTGCTATATAGGCCAAGACATCTTCTGAGTATATCGTTGGCTTTGTATTTGGGCATCGACGATCAACTTCGGTCGGATGATCTCGTTCTCCTGGGCATTGGTAATTGCAATCTGTATACCAATTTAAGACACGTCGATTGAGAAATTCAAAGTAGAGGGGCGCTTGTTTGAGGGAGCTGAACTCTACGGGCATGTTCTCGAGGAACAAAGTATCCTCGAGATACTGTAGTGATCCATGAGATGCGAAGGGTAGCTGAGATGGCATGAATAACAAGAAGCCTTGCTGCCTTATTTCCCCTGCTCTTTCTGGATCTGTACGTAAAGGGGCATTAAAGGCTTAGCATATCATAGGCATCGATGACATCTCACCAATCATGACATTGGAACTGTGTAAGCCTGGGTGCACGTCATATTTCCTTGATTGCCGATTTGGTGTTCCTCTCGACAACATATTTGTGTACTTAAAAGCGGGCACTAGATTGTTGTAAAAGGAGCATTGGATCTGGAGATACCAGATAAGGCAATGAAAAAAAAACAGATATAGTTAACATGATGGACAGAGTACCGGTGGGATGTTGAGGCATGCGGCGCGGTATTATGTGATGGCAGGGCTGGAAGTGTGATGAGCACGGACCACTATAAAGGGGATCTAGTGCATTATGCATCTGTGTAAGATATTAAAATGATACAAGACCAACCTCGGACCACCGAGCACGAATACTCATTAGAGGAAATATTTGATAAAACAAGGTCACTCAGCACATACATGTACAGGTGTGGTCTATATCAATGGTCACTATTACAAGAAGATATTTGGCGGCATTACATTCTGGTCTCCAATCCTAGGCTTCCCTCAAAAAATATCATTTATCCAAGACTCAAATCTCAAACCTCAAATCTCAAACCTCAAACTTCAATGTTCTTGATACACTTTCTCGCGTAGTGTTAAAGAAAACGAGATACTAAAGGCTTTATAATGACGCAAACGGGTACTTTCTCATGGATCAGTGAACGACCTCATGTATCACACCCGATCGCTCCGATTCAGAAGCCCCACTCAAATTATCGCCCTCGAAAATCGCATACTAAATCTAGGAACGGCTGCAATAATTGCAGGAAGCGCAGAATAAAGGTGTGTAGTTCCCTGCTATATCGTCCGTATTTTGCCTGATAAAAGAGATAGTGTGATGAAGCAAAACCAAGCTGTGGACAATGTTCAGACCGACTACTCGGGGCAGTTCAGTGTGAATACCTTGTCCTACAAAAGCCAGTCATGAGAGGACAATTACCGTCGGAACAACAGATATCGACCGGACAGATTTGTAGGCCATCGGTCAGAGACCAAATCATTTCGTACCTGGAAAAGTCAGAAGTTCCGTGCTCGCACTTCAGAGACCCCATCTACAAGCCAGGTGATGCTTCTGAATTATTGGACCATTTCACTGAAGTCACTACTCCTTGGGTTGGATCTCAATCGTTTCAACATATCATCCAGCAGCATGGGCTAAGTATTTCTCTCAAAGCCCCTTACTTAATGCATGCCATTCTTGCCTTTTCGGCAAGCCATCTTCATTATTTACACCCAAAAGAGAAAAAATATGGCATTGCTTTCACGTTGCATTACTCTAAATCTTTATCGTCCTACTCATCAGAGCTTCGAACGAGCTTGAATGCCAAAAATGCAGATGCAATCATCGCATCGTCTTACCTTCACACGATGCTGACCTTTATAAATATCCAGCCAGATTCCAATATCGACACTGACGGAAGCGGGCGGCTTACTTGGCTACGTGCTATGCGAGGGGTATCAATCTTGTGGGATACGAGCGATATGAATTGTCATCTCCAAGACAGTATCTTGTTAGATATGAAACACGATCCCAAATTCTTGAACGAGGGGCCTTGCAATCATGACAAGCCGGACGACGTAAATCCGTGGGCACTAGGAGCATCTAGAGCGCTTCATAGGCTATTTGAAGGGGAACAGGATTCAAAAGTGTTCAAGGATTCTTATGAGGGGCCCTTGAGGCACTTATGTCAACTGATACGACTTGGAACTGGCCAAGATACGATCTGCACGTTCATGTCGTTCGTGGGTGAACTCCCTGATTCCTTTGTGCAATTACTAGATCAGAAGGATCCCAGAGCTTTGTTGATTTTATGTTATTGGAGTGCCCTATTGAGCCAAATAGACTATTGGTGGGTCATAGACCCTGCAACTGCTGTGTGTAGTAGGCTTTGTGCATATTTGGATAGGATACACGATGAGAGAATACGTAGCCTACTACATTATCCAGCCAATCAATGTGGTTATACGATGGATAGTGCATATCTAAACATCGTCGACGCGCCTCCAAAAATGGACTACCACAGCATCAGTTTTTAGAAAGGCTTTTCACCTGCAATACGGAATTTGTGTTTCCAACATTCCGAATCACTAGGATACTATCGGAAAAGAAGGGTTTCTGATCTCTTACATTCTTCTCATGTAACAAATTTTATTGAAGTATTATATCTACATCTCCGAATCTACCGAAACAACCAATCCATTCTCCAGAGACCCACCCCTTTCCGAATAATGAATTTCTCCAAATTTCTCCATTGAAAACCTGGTTTCTGTACAAGATAGGCTATTGGAAAAAGGGTCGCTATTCAGAATTAGAAAAAGGAAACTCAATTTTCCCCTCAGAGGATCAATCCCGCGTCGAAGTACAAGAAATTCAATGCCTTAAAAGAATGGAAACATTGGAGCAATAGAGATGAAAGAGATTAGGTGAAGCTATGTAGAACGGCACTTAATCTTGTAAGTTCATATGATTCATTCTCAAAATTTCGTACTTTTACCCAGACTTTCTTTGGTGTGCCCCTTGAGAAACTCCTCCACGGTAGTAGGCTCCACTTCCGGGCAACGACTATTATCTGTATCACCCAATAATGTCTGGCCGTTAGACATCCAGTATTGGCCATACAAGCCAATCCAAGCAAATCCGTTCCTTGGATTTTCTTTGAAAACAGAAGTCATATTGTCATGAAGATCTTGGAGTGAGCCAAGTCGCTGGATATTTGGTTCAACTCCATAGGCTTCCTGGTATAGATGAGCTAATTCCTTGATGCTCTTTGAGTCTCCTCGATCTGCAAAAGATTATCAGTAAGACTTTGAACTCAAAATAATGAAATATAAACTCCATGGTCTTACATTTTACAGCCCCGACAGCTTTTGGATCCATAGAAATTGCGGCTACAAATTTCGCAGTATCTTTCATGGCAGTCATTTCCAACTTTTCATCACCTGTCCCATAATATCGAAACTTGCCCTCCTCAGCATTGACAAAACCAAGCAGAGGGCTCCATACGAATTCCATGAATGCTCCGTTGAGGACATGAACACCCCTAATATTTTCTGTTTGTTCTTTCTCTTCAAGATATCGATGAATGTGTTTCGATGGATCTTTGGCGGGATAATCGCCGAGTTCAAGAGGCCGATAGTCAAAAGTATAATCGGAGGCAATGTAGCGAGAAACTTTCTCTGCAATACATGCATCAATAAGAATTTTTTGGCCATCGATCATGAGCTTGCTGTCGCCAAGATAACAACAGATGCATACAGATGTACCGGCTAGAGCAGCGCGAATGGTAGAGATGTCTGTGGAACTGGCCTCGAAAAGTCTAACGCGAGGATTCAAGCGTATGTTTTCGTCGACCTTACTAGCTGAGCGGCAAATACCATGGATTATTGCATCCGGGTGGTCTTGAAGGATAAAGCTGGTGATCAAGCGAGCCATTCTGCCTGTGAAGCCAGCAATCGCTACTATCGTGGTGGAAGACATTTTGTGAGGAAGAAAATCAGATGAAGGTCTTGAAGATGGTTTGTTCAGATGTTGTGACTGGGTATTGGATTGAGTCTACACATCGAGCTGTAGCCTACCTTTATATAGATTTACATGTAGTACTCTAGAAAGAATTCTAGACATTAACAGCAATCTCTCCGTACGAGGAGGATTTATCATACAGGCATGTCAACGAATAAAATGTCGACATGATGGCCATTGCCTTCCAACATCATAAACAACATGACGATAGACGTCAGCAAAGCATGACCGACCGACTTCGAATACGTTCCGCATCCGCACTAGCGCGATCTTACAGAGTGTGGCTAGGTACTTGTTGACTTTCTCCACACATTACCGGTACACCACTACATATCCCAGGTACTACAAGAAAGAGTAAGGTGAAGTGATGATAAATCATGTCAACGGTGCCACAGGTGCGGAGACGGACATGATATAAGATCTGTGCCAAAGATAACAGTAAAGCAATTGAATACATTCTGCATATGGCTTAGTTTATCTTTAACCTTATACATGCGCTAGCCAAAAATAAAGCGTGTTCGCTTCGTCTTGCTTTGAATCTTTGACGCACTGTGCACATGTAGATCATGAGGAAATGGTGGATCTAAGATTCTATTTTAAAATCTAGTTCTTTTCTTTTTTGTTTTCTTTTTCCTTTTTATCTTTCATCAATGGTTTGTTTGCTTCCACGCAATGCTACTGTATAAACCTACTAGATCTTCGGCAAAGCATACTCTTCCTATTTTGGAATAGGTTATAAATGTACGATTGGGTGGATTGTGAAAATGCATAAAACATTGAACATTTCTGTTGATCTTTCCATCTGGAATCGAGAGATGAGATATAACCTTAACCTTAATTCAAAAGGGTTTAGCGTAGGATCGATCGCAAGAGTTTATCCGGTAGCATGTTGCCATCTCGCGCCTTCGCTCCTCTAGTTACTTGCGAGTTTGGAGATTGGTAATCCTGGGCTCATCAACATGTATTTCATCGCATATGTAGTGATACCCAACCACTAGTAATTAGCTTTCAAGCTGCTGGTTGAACTGTTCAAAAGCTTTCCAATTTCTCGATTACTCGTAGGTCAATATTTAATTCATCTTTCTTGATCGGATTCGAAACGGTTTTTATTTTTCTTTGTGTCCTAGTTTCAATCATCGCGACATTCAAGAATTCCCCCAATTGAAGACATTTATCTTACCGAAGTCCCCACGACAAGATGTCAAGCTTCGTCGCCGTTGCAGGTGCAGCAGGTAATCTGGGCTCTCAAATTGCCCTTGATCTACGCAGGAGAAATGTAGCTGTCAAAGCTCTTGTACGTCCCGGCACCGCAGCATCCCGCACCCAAAAATTACAAGACGCTGGTGTCAATATAGTAGAAGTCGACATGAACGATGTTCCAGCTATCCTGAAAGCCGTCTCAGGTGCCACAACAGTCGTCTCAGCACTTCAGGGCCTTAGAGAAGTTATGCTAGGTGTTCAGGGAAGACTCCTCGAAGCTTCTGTTGCTGCGGATGTACAGCGATTCATTCCATCCGATTTTGCATTGGATTTCACAAAGTGCACGCCAGGATCCAACAGAAATCTTGATCTTCGTCGTGAGTTTCACACCAAGCTTGATGCATCGGGAATTCGCTGGACAAGTGTGTTGAATGGTGGCTTTATGGAACTTCTCACAACTGGTCAAATGCCAGTCATCAACGATAAATGGCACCGAATTTTCTATTTTGGAAGCGTGGATCAAAAACTAGATTACACGATGATTCCAGACGTAGCTGCTTACACAGCTGCTGTAGCTGCGGATCCAAACCCAACCCCAAAATTCTTACGTATTGCGGGTAGCTCGGTCAATGCAAATGATTTGGCTGCTGTTGTCACTAAGGTTCGTGGTGAGGAGTATAAGCCAATGTGGACAGGAAGTATTGGATTTCTTCGGGTGTTTATTTCGATCCTAAAGTTCGTGATCGGGGGAGAGGAAACGCAGGTATTCCCTCCTTGGCAGGGGATGCAGTATGTGGAAAATATGGTCTCTGGAAAGGGAAAATTGGATCCCATTGATAATGATAGGTATCCGGATTTAAAGTGGACGACTATCGAGAAAGCTTTAGCAGAAGCGGATGCGGAAAAAAAGAAGAGCAAGTCGCTTTAGAAGAAGATGACATGAGTGGGGAAAGGGGACTGCTTAATGATATTTGCATGTTCTAGTATCGGGCTTTGTTTGTGGCTTGCGACATCCATGTAATATTTCTCCTTACCTAGTAATACAATACAAATTTGCAACTGTACAAATCTATCAGAGCTGTGTATCAGATGTCGGTCCGACAAGCCAGACTACTTTCTATGGTTACAGACTATTATCCTAGACTTATGAGAAATTTCTAACGCCATTGAAGAAAAAGTTCATTTGAAGCGAATTTCCAAGCTGCGCCTGTTTTGCTTGTATGCATGGTACATAAAATATCAATTTCTACATGTTTCGTGAAGATGCGAAGTGGTATGCATTCATAATTCAGCACCAGTATATATTTGCGGTCTGGGAATCGGAAAAGGCCAATCAATCAAGTTGGAAGATATTATTAGGATCATTCATGTCATCAGAAGAGTATGCCAGTGTACTTTACGTTCACAAGCGAAGTTTGGTATCCAAAGCTTAACTGTTCTATTTGTCATGGAAGAGTTGATGAGGAAACTTGGGAACCGAAGAACTCAAGGCATAGGTTTGGTAGGATATTTGGCTTGGGATGAGCATAATCTACAAGTATTCCCTCATTCGTGCTGCTATTTTGGCCAAACCTTGAGGCTTCTGATTGTTTTAAATTGCAACCATAAGGTTTCCATTCCATCACACCCGCTCCCAATGTCCTCGCTCGACCCTTGAGCAGAGATCCTTCAGTCTTTGTGCCGCCCATTCGAAGTCTGCCATTTCAAGATATATTTGACCACTAATACTCGCCCATAAACCCCCTGAATAACACTTGGTAATGATCATTGTATCATATTCCTTGATTGACGTTTCTTCGATCCACTTAGCAATGTGAGGGGCATCTGAGGAACTTATTGAGAAGTGCTCAGTCTCGAATACAGCAGAAACTTCGACGGAAGTCTGCACAATCCGTAAAGGCAAACGGACATTGACGAAACAAGACTTGTTTATGGAACCTGAATTATTCTCCAAAATTTCTGTGTGGAGAATTTCCGCCATTCTTTGACCTCCTGTCAACGCGATAGTTTGACAATAATTGCGGATTTTTTCTTCTCCTCCACAGACTACTTGTCGAAATCTCAATGCTTCAGGAATGCAGATGTATGGGGTGGGGTCAATTGTTGAGACTTTTTGAAATATTTCAACAAAGTAGTTTGGTTTGGGAGAATCTTTAGCCAACTGAAAAGATTTAGATGTAGGGAGCGTGGTTCGTATGAGTTCCTGGTTTCGGACCGGTACATGTAATACAGCGCATCCACGAGGAACATAAAGCCACCTATTCAGGGTCAATTATATGTAAATGATACTTTACTGGAGTTTGAGTCATACTTGTAGCAATTACTGACGAAAAAGTCTGGTCCAACCTGTCCTAAGTGCGAGAGATCAATGTGCCCGATTCCATGTGCACCATCGATGAGACTTAATACACCTAGATCTTTACATACTTTCACCATCCCTTCCCAGGGAAATGTTACGCCTGGTAAAGTTAACACCGTATCAAAAATGGTTACCCTGATATTCCTTCCATTGCCGCGCAATTGTTCAACAGCACCTGAGAATTTGGAGATAATATCCTCATCTTCGATAGGATAATCAAGTTCAACACGAAACATTTCCAGCCCAACATGCGACGTCTCACATATAGATTGAAGAGTCTTCTCACATGCCCCATAGATAGTGCTGAAATAAATTACTACATCACCCGTCTCATACACGAGATTTCTCAGAACAGTATTGATGCCCGTAGTAGCGTTTGGCACGAACACGACTTCGTCCGCTTCCACCCCAAGAAGAGGTGCAATGGCGCGGCGAGACTTTCCTAGAAGTTCAGGGTAGATGTATCGCAAAAATGTGTCTGGGTATGATTCTATCTCGTCTTGCAACATGCGCTGATGGTCGCGCACACTTTTTGGAAATGCTCCAAATGAGCCATGGTTCAGTGGGTGATATTGTTTGTTGAAGCTAAAGTGCTTCTCTCGTGTTTTTCTCCCGAATTCTTCCGTTGCACTCATTCTTGCAACTGGATGCATTCTAATCATTATTTAATTGATCCAGAAGGCAGATGCAAACTATATGTAGGTCTCGGTAATAGTGATTGGCTGTTCCGCCATCCGTTTATATGAGACGTCCAGGATGATGAGTTGAATGCTTATTGGTTCCGCACGCGCCTCGGAAATATTGGAGGTTTCCAAATTAATTACTATTGGGTATTGTTTCTGTAGGAGGTAGCTTTCTTTCTCAATCTGGATTAAGATACCGGTATGATTGCATAAATACCGAGGCGATTTCTAAAAGATACATATCATGGCCCCCAAATCAAAGCCTCGCCATCTGGTCGTTGCATAGATAGTCCGAACCCCGATTCAGACCACATTGCAACCCTATGAAACCGATGTAACTGTAAGATAATGTACCTTGTTATCCGTGAAGAGATAATGGTTTCAATGAAATCGATCTGCATCACTTGAAATCTTTTCTTTCTTGACATGACCCAAAGGACGAGTCAAACGGAATTTCGATATGGATCCACTATCAGTAACTGCGAGCGTGATAGCTGTTGCTACGCTCGCAGGACAGATTGGGTCAGCCTTATCAGAACTGCGAGCGCTTTGCAAGCAATTGCCTGGTAGGCTCCACGCACTAAGCAACGAAATATCCGACATTGAAGTAGTTCTCTATCAGGTCGGTAAAGTCGTTGAAGAACGATCGAGATCCTCTATTCAGATCTCACGAATAGACACGATATCCATTCCGAACATTTTGCAGAGGGCGGAGCTGAAATTGAAGGAGTTAAAGACAATCATCGACCGTCTCACTGCATTAACAACCAATAATGAAGCCATTATTTTCCAAATACGCCTTTGGCAAAAAGAACAACCCAAGATACAAAGTCTACAGGAAGAGATAAGAGAAATTAAATCTAGCTTCAATGTTATTCTCGGGGCTTCTAACTCGTATGCATAAATTCCTTCGTGACATCTTGAAGCCACAATGGGCAGATAGAAACACAAGCTAATCTGGATCCCAGGCGGGAGATGATGCGTGTCCGTCTCGATCTCGAGACGTTGTCTACAATCACCAAACAAACTGCTCAAGCACAAAGCACTTCCTGGGAAGATTTTCTTCGCGACATAACCTCCCACCATGAGAATGTTGAGGAGACAATCAATCACACATATCAACAAGTTGACGAGAGGATTGGTCGAGTTGAGGAAATGCTGAAGACTCAGTCAACTCAGATCCAAAACAGTCAATTTCTTCAAGTTGGCCCTTCTTACAATATGGGTCCTCCAGCATCTCGACGACGTTTATCTAGATCAGTCAGCAAAGAGAGACCGCCAAAGATGCCCAATCGTCCCGAAGCCGTGGGCGTTCGGCTCACCCAATACGCGAGAATTTGTCGTGCGGGCTGTATATGTGCATGTCACTCCCAAACAAAATCTAGTACACCTGAATTCATAGATCGCGTTCTCGGTCAACTCTTCGTCGGATATACTGGAATGCCTCTTCTTAGTCAGAAATGCAATACTGCCACATGCGAGAAATCACAATCTCCTCATATGAGCTTCGAATATTGGTTTCCCTTGGGCTTTTGTTGGTCTCAGATAATTCGTCTCCAGTTGGGATACCAACCGAATGTTGGACCACAAATGTCTCTAACCACCCTGAGGCGAGTTCCAGACTCTGCCCAGTGTGTCAATTTTGCTTTGGAAGGTAACATTGAAGGACTGAAAAATCTTTTCATGAGCGGAATGGCATCACCCCGTGATGTTAGCACTACTCGGGGATATTCTTTACTTCGCGTGAGCTGAAACCACCTGTAACATCTGTTACTATTACTAATTCGCAGATATAGTGGGCATTGTATGGCCAACAGTACGAGACTTGTAAGTTCTTATTATCTGCAGGCGCAGACGCCGATTACAAGTATGTTATTTCATTCGTTAGTCCCCAAGAGCTTAGACTAATCTTCTATTATAGGCCAATTTCTCTCAATGATAAATGCCCTAGTGACAAGGCTTGTGATGTTATTCTTCGTGGTGGAATATCCGAGAGGATCATTGAGATTCTAAGACTGCTGGGTACTAGTAGTGATTTTGTGGAGAACCAAAATTTCGCCGCCATTCACAAGATCGTTCTGAGATTGTCAATGAAAGATTTGGAAGAAGAGATTCTACGAAATCCCAGTCAAGTTGATGTTCCTGATGCAATGGGCCGAACTGCGCTTGAATGGGCAGCAGCTCGAGGAGATGAACGCTCGGTGATAACATTATTGAGTTATGGCGCCGATCCCAACAACATAGACCACAAACTAAACACACCCCTTACGATAGCATCGAACCAGAATCATACCGTGTGTGTTAGACTACTTCTCGAAGCTGGAGCGTATCCGGATCCTGTACTTCCAAACAGTATCAAATTCGGCAGTCCTTTGAATTGCGCGGAGCGAAATGCTTCAGATCCTTTGCTACTTAAAACTCTACTCGATTTCAATGCAGACATTGAAGCTAGCAATTTTGATGGCGTTACGCCACTACTGCAAGCCGCCCGTGGTAATAGCGCCAGTCACGCGATGCTACTATTAGAATATGGAGCTAACATAAATGTAACGTCAAAAGCTGGACGTACACCACTTACGACTGCCATAATACATAATAATCATAATGTCCTCCAATTACTGCTCGATCGCTGGTATGAATATAGTGAATGTCCTCGCTTAAAGGGACCCCATCTTCCTGAACTCGTGGCTCAATATGTAGATTTGGATACTATATCCATTCTTGCTTCTACCAACCACCTGAGATCAAATTTGACCAAAACTACGCGCTTGGGGATTTCGCCACCAGGTTACGAGAGAGATCTAGAGTTACGAATAAATTACTGACTGCTTTTGAAGATCCACTAAACGTTGTTAATCAGGGTGCAGCAGAGCACAGAAGTATAGAGAGTGCCATGGAATCGGGATTACTAGTACACGGAGAGTTCGACGAAGAAGACTCCGATGAATGTTATGAAGATGCACAGGAAGTTTTGACGACCATGTCGCCTGATTTTGGATGTTCTTTTATCAGATTGGCAAAGAGAGCTACTATCTGATAATCTGTGTTTTCGATTTGCATTCACTTAAAATCATTTGAGAAAGAATCTGGATGAACTGTTAGAGAATGACCTGATTTCTGGCGTCCCTTAAAATGCACGGTATTGTTCTGGAACGGAAGTTTTGGCAAGAAAAGAGAACCATGTGTCAAAAAGAACAATTGTAGGGAAACACTACAGTTATCAAGGAGTAGGTATCTTTAGTTATTTTTATACCTATTTCTAGCAATTGTAGACATTCCTCTACGAATGAATTAATACAATTTAATAATAATTCGAGAGTGTCTGCTTTCAACTTCCAAGCACCCTTGCCATTGAACATCAAACCTGTATCAGGAAATTCTCCCCCTTCCTCTTTATCTCCTTGACTACTAGCGAAGTGGCATAAGTTTGTTCAAAATCCAGCTACTACCCTCTCTCAACCATCATAAACATGTCCATCACATCCCCACCAACAACAATCCCTCTCCATCATCTCGATCGAAAATGCCTCTCCGTATCTAACTTATCTTCCTCTGACGCGCACCCAATAGTATTATCTCCCAGCCTCCATGTATCTCCAATACTCTCCCTCACACATGCCTCAATATCTCCCATCAATTCATTCACAACTTCTTCCTCCAACGGAACCGTCCTCCTCTTCCCATCCGCCCCAAACAAAATCATCCCATGCGCATACAACATAGTCTGAACCGCTTTAATACTAATATTATCCCACGAATACAAACCGCCCGGTTCCGTATGCGGAATATTATGAATCGCTACACGCGGAGGCGTCGAATACGTCGTCCGAATAACAACACTATGTGCATCCGGTCCATGAAGCGGTCGCGGTTCCATCTTTGTTCCGTCGGGATTCAAACATTCGAGAGCGGCAGATATGGTATAGCGCACATTGTATACGAGATCGCCGGGACGATAAACTTCATATGGGGCGATCAGCGGCATGGCCGAATTCGACGCCATGAGATGTCTATGCCGTTGGATTCTCATCTCCTTGAGGTTTTGGGGTGCCCCGTCGGCTTCTCCCTCACCGAACCTTTGGTATATGTTGGGAAAGTAGGCTCCTTCGTCTCTTTGCCAGTCGTAAGTTACGGTGGGCAAGTGTTGAAGATCGGTTAGAACGGTTTTGCGGTGGATGAGCTGTTGGTAGAGTTTTTCTCGGCGGCTGACGGGGGCTGTCCCGTTGACATATATAGGGATGGGCATATCGTATTCCGGCTGCTGTTGAGGAAAAATCAATCTTTCTCTTCGTTGCGTTGCGTTAAGTCAAATCGAGATACTGAGGGATGGGGATCCAAAATTGGGGTTGCTAGCATTGATTGTGTATAGGAAGTTATTTGAAATTTTTACGTATCATTTTGCTCACGCCGGTCGCTCGCTGCTGAGATTCTCAGCAAAGAGATGACGGCAGGAGCGCAGGAGCGTTCATTAAGGGGAAAGTGCCTTCATCAGCACTTGCTCTTTCTATTCCAAATCCATATTTTCTCAAGAAATGAACCATCATCCACAATGAAAGATAAAAGGAGCATTGCAAAAACTTCATCAAAAACTGAGGTATTCCAAACAAGCAGTCGAAGTGTTGAAGTTTTCATGAATACCGTTCCCGATACCGCTTCTGAATTAAATCACTTGACGTATTTCTACCAGATGAGGACTTGGTTTTTTCCGAGTTCTTCATCATTATACCTCAACTTCGTTACCCATGCCACCCTCTCAAATCATTCCCATTCCCAAGTACTTCCTACCTTAAAACCTCCACCGCTCTACAGCTCTACAGCACACCCCATACTACCCCCTACTTTCCCTCTTTTCACCTTCAAATCTCCACCAACAATCAAAATTCAGCATCCAAAGCCCCAAAAAACTCCAGAACTCCATCAGTAACACTCACAACAACGATCAAATATCAACAACAAGTTCCCCAAACGCCACGATCGACGTTATCATGCTTGACGCGGTGATTTCTCGTGAATACTGAAATACAAATCTTCATAGCTACCAGAAAGTCGCTTTTCAATTGTTGAGTTTGGTGGATGAAATCGATTGATTATTTTATGATGTTGAGTATTTGGGTTGGAAAATTGGATGGGAATGATGATGGTAGGTAATAGGCGACTTCGTATTTGAAGAAAAAGATTGCGAGATATGGAATTGGGTGATGGGTACCTAGTCTGTGAGGAAAGTCTCTTGTAGCTTATATTCTTTGTGACTTGGTCGCTTAGACGATGGCGATGGCTTATTTAATTTTCCCAAATGCTGATTATATCATTCTATCCGAAAATTTCCTGATTCAGGGCTTTACGCGAGGAAGAGTTAAAGTCCCGTGATAAATATATACATACCTATATACACATCATACATACACAATGATCTGTGCCACTACAACCACTTTTCTCTCAATTCCCCTATACATCTAACCCCCCTTTGTACCCTGGCTCATACAAAAGTTTTCACTCAGCACCCACTATCCGCCCCTCACAAAGCTTCGTCGACCTTTTTCTGAGCAGCTTCCTCTGCTTCATTATCCCCCTTTTCACATAACAACCAAGCGACTCTCGTCTGGTTGAATTCGAATCGATTCATACATTCATCGATTCTTCTCCATAGGTCTTCGCCTACTACTTTGCTGCCTTTTGAGTTGTGGAAGTTGTTACGTTTCCATTTGTACTGTGGATTTGTTAGTTTTGACCTGTGAAGTGCCTTATGGGTTGGTTTGAAGGGTTGGGGAGGGAGGTATGTAGGGAAGGCTTGACGTATGGCCTTGATCAATGCAACCAATGTACCTAGCCGGATATGACGACCTCAATTTCCCCTCCCCATCCCGTACCTTCACACAAAATGGAAGAAAATAAACCTACAATATGTTCCGTTATCCCATACCACAAATTCGTACTACTGGTAACACCTACCACCAATCCTCCCGCGGCAATCTCTCCACTAACATCCTCAAACCCCTTAACTCTCATCTTACATTCCAACTCCACAAACTCCAATGCCTCACATGCAGCCGCCAATTCGGCAATCTTCTGCATCTCTACTTTACTTCCCGTCTCCTTGACTTTACCCGTAGTATTATACCTAGATTTCGGTCCAAAATGCACCGAATACGCTGCTCTATACTTTTCCTCCGTATCTCTGGACCCCGAAGAGGAAGAAGCGGAAGGGAATCCAAAACCGAGATCCAAAGTCTGAAGAGCATCACGTTTCACGGGAGCCACGGCCCCGGCAACACTGAAAACCAACGTCCTCGGATGCCCCACAAAATAGCCCTCTTTCAACATTTTCAACCTCGAGATTTGCAATTCTCCTTCAGGCTCGTAGAAGAATAGACGAGGAATCACGCGATTTTCATGCAGGTACAATTCGGTGTCACTTTCTAGATCGAATTTTCGGGGGTGCAGAATCGGATTCTCGGATGTGGATGCGTGGGCAAGAGAGGGATCGGTGGTGGCAGGCGTGGTAATCTTGTATTCTGTAGCTGAGGTTGTGGGAGGTTGAAAGATAGGTACGGTTGGGAGAAAGTCTGACATTGTGATGCACGTGGATGATTGGAGGCTTATGTGACGATAGGGGTGAATGGACTTGGCTAGATTTTCGTAGCAGGACTTTGAGTATGTTGTCTTATAATTGGAATTGAAATCGTATTGAGATTAATAATGATATATTTCGAGCAATAGATTAAGTATATGAAGGTGAAATTGAAATTCCAAGTAAGTTGGTGAATGAATGATAATTAAAGAATGATGAATTATGTTGTCCCCTTCTCTTCCGAAGTCACGTTTCAAGCCAAACTGTGTTGGGCTTAGCTTCAACCTTACGCCACATTAATATCCCAGCCACAATCAAAGGTCCCAGGCCTCCAGGGCTCCGAGCCACGAAGTATATTTCAAACTCGACGAAGAGAGATCAAAAGTAAAATGGATATAGTGTCCCAGTAAAGATACGAGTTATGCTATAAATGCTATTTCACAATCATCAACTATATGCAACCAACTTAAGCTAAATCAGCATGCAAGTTTTCCCTCATACCGTTCATCCATACATGCAATTATATCCCATACCAATGCCATACCGTACCGTACCGTACCATACCGACAACTTCCGAATTATATCATAAATCGTTACATCTTGAGCACCTAGCTATTCCAAGTGTTCTCTCATCTAAAATCTTAAGTTCAAACAGTTCTCTTTTCCAAAAGTAATCTTCCAACAGGACCTTCCTTCCTAACAACCATTCCATTCATATCTCCGACACCCCTTTCATAAACCTTAGTTCCCCTAACCCATGTCTCCTTCACTCTTCCCTTCATAGTCTTCCCGGTATACGGACTAACTTTGTTTCTGAAAAGCAATTCTTCTCTGCCTACGAGCCACTCGTGATCATCTTCAAAGATACAAAAATCCGCATCTAACCCTGGTCTCAACGCCCCTTTACGATGTTGAAGTCCGACTTGCTTGGCCGTATTCACAGCGCATAACCTCACGATATCAAGGATATCGATAGAGGAAGAAGATGAAGCGCGAGAAGGAGATGTGGCTTCTGTCCAGAGAATTGGAAGACCGAGTCCAACCGAAGAGATACCTCCCCAAGAGGCGAAAAAATCGCCTTTCTCTTTAGCTTCTTGATCTTTTAACAATGCGCCATTCACTCCTTTAGCATCGTCACGCATGGCGCCACAGCCATGGGATAAATGCTCGGGTAGAAGTTTGAGCTCAGGAGTACATGGGCTGTGATCGCTAACGACAGTTTTTATGACGGATTCTGGGTGTGAGAGTTCGTTCCAGAGGCCATCACGGTTGGCTGAAGAACGAATTGGTGGACAGCACTTGTGACGGGTGTCACCTTCGGATACATCTTCAGATGCAAGAGCGAGGTAGTGGAAACAGGTCTCCGCGGTAATGTTTATGCCAGATGAACGAGCAGCGCGGAGGAGAGGGATAGCTTCAATGGCGGAAAGGTGCACAATGTGAAGATGGAGAGAAGGAGCGAGATGGGCAAGCGAGAGAATTTGATCAATCGCGTATGTTTCGAAGGATGGAGGGCGGGAGGATAGGAATGTATCGTATGTCGTCAGAGGACCTGATGGTTGGAGAGGTGGAAGGGATATTTGGACGTCATCGCCTACGGAGGCTGTTATTGGTGGGATCATTTCCGCATGGAACATGAGAGTTGTAGAAGAATCTTTGAGTGTCTTGAGAACGAGGGCTATATCATCGGAAGAAACGGCAGGGAATTCGTCGACCTATTACTTTTGTTAGTTACTGCAACTATAATCGATGAAGAGGTACATACGCCACTTTCTATGAGGAAGCCCTTAAACCCCCTGACACCCGCTTCAACAAGCGGAAGCAACTCCTCGGCGTTACCAGGTATAATTCCACCATAAAATCCAACATCAACCCAGCATTGACCTTGCGCAGCCTTAATCTTTTCTTTTAATCCATTCACGGTTGTAGTTGGTGGAATAGCATTCAATGGCATATCAATGACTGTTGTGACACCACCTGATGCAGCAGCTTTGGTACCGGTATTAAAACCTTCCCATTCGGTTCGACCCGGCTCGTTGAGATGAACATGTGCATCGACTAATCCCGGCAGGATCAAATGAGGAGTGTGGTCGACGTAAATTGTGTTTGGTGGAAAACTGGAGGGTGGGAGAACGGTAGGTAAGATGGATATAATCTTGCCGGTTGAGGGTGAGATTGTAATGGTTGCAGGCGAGACAATGAGGTTGTCATTCTCGTCAAAGATGACTGCTCTCGAAGAGACGAGGACTGTAGGTTGTAATGGAGAATCGTGGGGTGGTGTAGCCGAAGGAGTTGGGTAAGGGTATGTTGTAGTCATATTGAAGACTTTTGTGATGCGATAATGGAAAATAAAGTATGAAGAGGCTCTTTAGAACAAATTGAGGATATATTGAGGTATGATTCGAAAGAATATCCACTGGGTTAACTCTTATCGTGGGGGATAAGAGGTGTGATAGATAAGAAAAGATTCGAGAATGATTGGAATGACTGATAAGAGAAATGAAGGGGGGAACTTTCTTTGTTCAAGTGAATTTCTAGAATTTGAAGAACCTTTTCAAAACTGGGGAAAGGGAAGATGGAGATATAAGGAAATTTGATTAACGTAAATAGAAAGGACCCATGAGCCTATCCATGGATGTGCATTGTGTGTTGTGTTCTCGTGATATTTTGCTTTGCTGGATTATGAAAATTGATTGATTATGTAACATCCACGCACCTACCTACCTAGCTACATGGGTTGGCTTGTCCGTTGCATCGTCTGAAGGTACTAAGAGCCAAGGCGAATCCCGATGCCGGATCGGACTTAAGTTTAGCCTATCGTTGAGGGTATTAGCTGATACATAACGAACTGCACCAACTCGATCATTACTCGATCATTACTCGATGAAAACTCATAATCGTTGACGAGTAATACCAAGTCCAATATATATGCCTATGTGGCTTTGAGCATTCATCAATGCCGTACGAATCATTGGCTTGACACATTGTTGGGAATCTTCTCACGCATTGCTATGCGATGAGATGACAACGCCAAAAACCTACGTCTCAAGCTGAAATCGACTTTGTCTTTGAATTGAGAAAAATGCAAAGCATCGAGATGGCATGGGACGGGACGTAATAAGTTGCGTTTGAAATAACCATCATGAACTCAGAATTGATTGTTCCATGGATCTTGCCTCGGCTGGATGAAATACTTGGACAGCTTCGAAGATTGGATCCGCTCACTACAGCGTACCAAGGAGTGTGAAGAAGGGTCGAAATTACACACCACGAGTATCCTCAAGTGTACTTTTTTCAATCAACGCTGTTCACCGCAGCCATCACAAAACAAGTAAGTGAAGAGCTAATTGAAAATGAGTGAGGGAAAATGGATTGTAGAGAAAGAGACGTTATTTTCAAGAAGATGTACGAGTCGCCATATACCACTTCAATCACGTATGATAGCCGGGGGCAATTGCAATCCAAAATTTGTTCTTGCCGCGTGAAAATTGAACGCGGTTTGACGACTGAACTGCGAGAAATGATGAGATCATCGCCAACACCACCAATTACCCAAACGACTCACTCTCGTGATACATTACACCAAGTCAATGAAATCAAGAAATATCGATTTTTTTTTCCCCTAAGTTCCTTGATATTCTCGTTATGTGTGATTTCAAGTCTATTATTGACCCTTTTCGATTTCGTTTGGTTTCTCGTCGTCAAAAAATATCTACCATGAAGCTTGATCAAATATCCATCACCGAGATATTGGATGGTTTAAAGAAAGGATGTTTCTCAAGTGAACAGCTTATTAGGGCTCGTTGATGCCCATAATGACTTCTTTGTCGTATCACTAACGGTAATGAAGACTTACATCAAACGTATGGAGCAAGTCAATTCAATTGTCTGTGTTGTCAGTGAGATCAATCGAAAGGCCATTGACGTTGCTAGAGAAAAGGATGAAGAACGGTCTCGTGGCTTGGCTCAAGGAAGTCTTCATGGAGTACCGTTCTTGATCAAGAACTTGTTCTTCACGACAGACGGCCTCAAGACCACTTGTAAGTTTAAATTGGTTGAAATTAAGCATATTCTCACCTCATGAAGTTGGCTGCACCGGACTCATCGAAGCTACCCCAAGTATTGAAGCAACAACAATTCTTAAACTTCGTGAACAAGGTGCAATCATATTGGGAGTTGCAAATGGCTCACAATGGGCCAATAATCGATGTACTCCTGGTTGGTCTGCTGTAGGTGGTCAGTGTTTGGGTGTCTATCATAAAGATCAACACCCCAAAGGTTCATCATCCGGTAGTGCTGTTGGAACTGCTTTGGGACTTTGCGCTGCTGCTCTAGGGTCCGAGGTCAGTGATTTCTCATCTACGTTCGAAATACGTGAATCAGATGTGAAATGCGTGAACTGAACGTGGAAACCGTAGACCTCTGGTAGCGTCATATTACCTGCGCAGAGATCTGCTGTTGTAGGAATGAAACCGACGGTAGGAATGACTTCGAGATATGGAATGTATATTTCGAGTGATATTCAGGATACTGTAGGGATATTGACGAGGAGCGTAAAGGATGCAGCACTCGTGTTGACTGTGATCGCAGGTAAGTGTTTGGACCAAGTCCCTTTGCCTAGCTGAGATAAAGGAGGTGAAGATGAGCAGGATCCTATCACCATTTTCGATCCTCGAGATTCGACATTTTGCCGGAAGCCAAATAAAATCAGAGATTTTACTAAAGCGTGTAACTCTCGCACGTTAGATGGTGTGCGAATTGCAGTGAGATGTGCTACTGTGCAGTTTGCAGCTCGAATACTGACACTATAAGATACCCCGCCATATCTTCAAACACGTTGATCCCACCACCATCCATCTTTTCGAAAACGCACTCGATACATTGAGATCCTTAGGAGCCACCATTGTAGATCCGACTTCATATTCAACGTTCGATACCGATAGATCTTCATGTACAGGTGACGAATATGATATCGCTCTGAAAGTAGATATATACCACAGTACTTTTACGATGTCCCATCCGTACAACCACATATGCTAATCATTCCCTAAAGATATCAAAAAGACCCTCTCTTACTTTTCCCACAATCCTCATTCTCTATACACACTCTCCGATGTAATCGACTACACAAACGCCACTCCCGCCAAAGAAGCTATAAAACGTGGTCTCGGACACTTTGAATCAGCTCTCGAAGTCGGCGAAAAGTATGCTAGGGATAGCGAAGAATACAGAAATTCTATGGCGGAAAGAAATTATGTGGGAAGACAAATACCTAAATTACTAGATAAATTCGACTGCGATATGATAGTCCTACCCACAAATGTGGCAGTGGAACCAGCGGATGTAGGAGGTTGTCCGGTGGTGAGTGTACCAATGGGATTTTATCCTCCGGAAACGGAGATTGTGAGACAGAATGGAATGGTGGAGGTGGGACCGGGGATTCCGTGAGTTTTTTGACGTTTTTTTGGGAGGTATTTTGTTCTCTCTGAGAGTCTGATGGTATGGTTTGAACAGGGGAAAATGAAACTAACGATTGGTGATAGACTTGGAATATCTTTCGTAGGAAGAAGATGGGATGATGAGAAGTTGATCGGGGTGGCGTATGCGTATGAACAGGCTACGAGGTGGAGAGAAAGGGGAAGGATGGTGGTGAGGTGTGATGTTGAGGTATGCGATATGGTAGTGCGGGCTCATAAATAGTTTTCAAACTTCCAGATTCTTAGTGGGATTTAAAGTTAAAGTTTGGTTGTTTGGAATTATATTAGGGAAGGGCTTTTGTTATCTCCTTGTCGGAGTGGAGATGAACGGAGATGGTTATTAATAGATCTTGGGGTTTAACATAGAGTCGTCTAGTACGAGATGATTCACACGGAAGCGGAGTAACTTGCTATTGCTCTGCCAGACTCAATAATAAGACCGTAGAAAACGAGAAATTCACTTTCAAACAAATATTTTCTGCATGTTCTCCGCTGGTATCAATCTCTTGAAGGCTATAAAGTCATCGTATTCGCCTCTTTTCTGCTGCAACGACTTGAAAGATGATTTCACAAGTTTTCCATAGGTCTGCAACCTAGCGCTCCTGTTCAATAACTCAATTCGGTCTTTGCAACGCTTAGAAATTGTGTGATATCCGTATGGATAGGAATGATAAATGTATGGTAGGATTTTAGGTGGTGATGGGGTTTGGATATTTTGATGATGAGAAGGATGAGAAGAATGCGAAATACAATGGTGGTGGATATTTCTCGGTGGATAATGAATAGGTGGAATAAATAAGAAAGGAAGGAAGGTTTGACAGTAAAAAGGGGAAAATAAACCAAGGGGTGGATAGGGAATAAGGGGGGTTCTTTTACTTTTTGGTGAGGTACTTGACTTCGATATCTTGAGAGCAACATAGGAAGGGGTTGGTGTGTGAAATCTTACTGCGTCAATTCTCTATGGTTTGATTCCCGGTATTGAAGAGGAGAAAGAGGGAGGAGAGGGGGGTTTATATATCTAGGTATTTCTCACTAACCGATATATTTCTTTTTGGGTTTCAAAACCTTGAATCATACCTACACTTGAGCTATCTCCTAGGTATTTCTTAATATATTATTTTCGAACCAAGAACAATTGATCGATCGATGGGTAGCTGGGTATACGGAGTCTATTTCATTCTATTCTATTTCATTCCATTCTCTCTCTCCTCTTACCCGGTCCTCTTCACCCATATTCCCATTTTTCTCTTTGATTTCCTTCCTTTCCTTATGGCACTTTCTCATTAATAGAATTTCTCTTTGTGCTCTGGTATGTTCCAAGGTATTCGCTATCTACTATTTACTACCTACCCAGCTAAACCTATATCATATCTCATCTTCGTCTTTGCCCTTTTAAGTTGCCCTTGAGATTAATTGTTATAGAGGATATTGTGCTATCTGGCTACGAGATTGAGGTTTAAGATGTGAGGGTTGAGATTTGAGATTTGAGATTCTGTGTATAATGGTGGTGAAAAAGTGAATGATCTATATTGTTTGATAGGTAGGTAGCAAGATTTGAGTTTGGAAAGATAGCTTGAGAGTGGAGGTGAGAGTGTGGATTTTGGGGGGGGTGGACTGGGATAGAATGGGATGATGAAAGGGGATTAACGATGATGATGATAACACACGTGTATATCCAGGTCCTTGACGAGAGTAAACAATGGATAACAAATAGAAAGCGGAGGAATTGGTAGTGATTATCAAGCTACAGATTATACTTAGATATAGGCAGAGAGGTCAAATGTAACTAAAGGAGGGATACTTTAATCTCCATATCCTTCCTCTGTAATAGCAAGAAAATGCTAGATTTTTTCTTTGCTATTTCCTTGCGCACTTTGCATGTGTTCGTGGACTTGTTTGATACCAACTCAAAGCTGGGTAGAGTTGGAGTTTATATGCACGGAATTTGGAATTTAGGATAGAGTATGATCCACAACTAAAGACTTCCGACTCGAGTTTCTGATATTGATCTTGAGAGGTGGAGATAGCTGCATTGAACTCACTATGTTTACTTGCACATTTCTTAATCACTCCATATTCTCTAATTTGTAGCTTCTTGTTGCGGAATGGATAAAAATAGAGCAATGGATACTTATAAAAGGTCTCCGTAAGCGTGTGACAATCGAGATCATCACTTCATTTAAAACAGCCCTTAAAAACACCGACAAAAGGAATGTGCAACGCTCTTCGTAGGGATTTCAACGATCGTATCGTTTTTGTTATTTCAGGAGGCTGGAGATGTGGTTATGGTAGGGTTTGAGACTGGTAAGGTTTCGGTTCGGGGATATTTAGCAGATGCGCTGAGAGATGGATGGTGGTTTCTGGAAATGTTGGAGATGACAGTAATAGTGATGATGGGAGTGATGATGACAGTGATAATGCTAATAATGATGACGATTCTGGTGATAATATCGATGAGAGAAATCTGATGACTAAGCGAGGTTAGGACGGGATGGGATGGGATATTATAAGTGTAAAGTCTGGACGAGAATGAAGGGTGTTAAGTTGTGAAAGGACTGTCTCTTCGATTTGCAATATCATTTACATTCGAATAATTACTCTCATGCCTTCCAAACGTCACTTAATCATCTTGATGTCCTGAAAATCGAAGTCATTTTACTCTCATCCTCCTGTGATTCTAGCATATCAACTATAGAATCTATACTATACAATCTATCTCTAAATTATAGGATGTTATCAAGTCTATGCCCCCTAAAGAAATTACTATTGTGTTGTGAGTTTCAACATATATTACTGGAATTGGGACATATAGGAGGTGTGAACCTGTATTGTTCTTGCCTTGGAGAAGTGAAAACTAACTAAGGAATATGACTTTTTATTTCCTTAGGTTCTACTTCATCGTTACTCATTTACAAATATTTTCGTCGCTACATCGTGCAACAAGACCATTTATTCAGCGCCAGAATTTCGGACGAGTAGCTCGGAGTATTCAGTTGAGAACAATTCTAATCTTTTCCGGATCGTTTTGCCTCCAACGGTCTTTAATCACCCGTCCACAGCCTATTCTATGCGCAATTCCATTTTCTCTTCGCACCCAGAGAACGTTATAGAATTCGCGAACTGCATTATCTTCTAGTTGCGCCTCGCACAAGCAATCCTTGCATATACAGTTATCAGCGAGGATGAGTTTCTCTTCATACTCTCCTTCAGTAACGACCTCGTAGTTTTCCTTGCCCTGTATAGACGAGCCCCGCGATACACCAGTCCACCATCCTTCGGAATCATATTCGGCATGGAATGGGCCAGGGTGACAATATTGACTATTTTGGAAAACCTTCTCCTCAAAGCACATCGCCATGTCTTTGAGGCTAGCACTTCCCTCTGAGATAGTCACCAATTCCATGGGCGTACCTCGCTCGCACTCCGCATCTCCTGTGATGCGTAGCAAACCACAGAACATACCTTTCTGGTTTTGCAGAACTATCACGCTTGGTAAACTTGATAGGGGCTTTTCATTCAGAATTGGTTCCGTGAATACGTGCATGATGCCGCGTTTGAGAGGTGGCTGATCGTCCTCAATTCTTAAAATCGCCGAGAGAAGAAAAAATGCACGTTCTGTTAAGCAAGATAAGAATGTTGATTCTATGTCGTTGTACATACTACTATTTGTGGTGAGTTTGCGGTTGGGATCGGTGATATTTTTTTTTCGTTGCACGTCCGGGATTGACGATTGAGAAATATTCGTTGAAATTTGATCAGCTGTCTCTTCGAGCCAATCAGATCCGCGTACAGAGGAGCTGGCTTCCCAAGTGACAAGATTTCGTAATTTCCAGGAACCTGCTTTATCCTTTCGTAGACTATCGTTGCTATCAAGACAGAAGCTAGCCTGAAAACTCCAAGGATCCACGAAACACTCCCATCCACACCATGCCCAGGATGGAAGGTATCGAGCGTTTTCAGATGTGCTAGTTCTTCTATAGCAATCTTTCAATGGCTGCCATAGAAGAGCGTAGTCGAGGAAAAGGGCCGGTAGACCGTGTATGAATCCACCTGGAAAGCTTGGAGCTAGACGATTGAGGATACCCAGGCATGCGGAGAGACCATCTTTGTCATCCGTGAGTTTGCGTCCATTGTATGGACAAATGAGATCCATGTACAGACCAAAATCAGGATATGATGGCACTGAGAACCTTCTCATGAGCGAAAATTCTGACATGGCTGACATAGTCTCGTCAAGATCTTTTCCTGGGGAAAGAAACTTCATATCCCACGTTGCACATTCGCACTGCCAGAAAGCTGTCCTATTGCAGAAAAAGATAACACGTTTGCTGAGAATTGCTTCCTGATATGTCCAAGCTCTCTCTGCCCATTTTGAATCGGCAACTGATGAATAATGAGCACGAATTTCCCATGACTTTCCGTTGAATTTCCCTTTGTTCTGAAGTCCGAGGTCGCTCAGGGTTGCAGTCCGTTTGTTGACAAGCCCAAACCTTGCTGCTGCAACTATAGTCACGTACGCCCCCGCATATACCTGATCCATACGCATAACTTCAGACATTGTTGCAATCTCTTGATCCTGGATGATACAGAGCCGATCCACCCAAAGATACCTCTGACCAAGACGGTTTGTTAGTTCCATGGCGTCGAGAATAACTTTTGGTAACGGCGATTGACTGGTGTTGCGCAACGCACCAGGCTGGGTCAGGATCTTTAAATTATCCTCGAGTAATCGAAAGGGCTCCTGGTTTTCCGATGATGTACTGTCTTGCAACTCTTGCCAGGTGTAGCTGAGAGCGATATAATTGTTTGGATTACTTCCAGGTACGATACAACATTCTACTGTATCGACAAGCCAAGAAGGCCGATCTAGCGTGGGAGCTCTGCATGTGTGTTGTTCATCGCAAGCCGAGAGCCAGCTTTGCATGTGCTGAACAGCGGTCATTTGGGTGTCATCAGACGCCGAGTCATCCATATTGAATGGATATTATGCCCAAATTTTTGGCAGTGCAATTGAGAAACAGGTCGGGGATACGAGTTGGGAGACTTCTATAATCGCACACTTCAAGAACACGACGTTAAGAGGCAGTGTCCTAAACGCTCCACACTGCAAAATATACCCGGTTTTGACTGCGTCCCACAGCTCGCTTACAATCCAATCAGATATTGTGATACTCTATCATCTACCACTTTGTAGCTGCATGCATAAACAAGGATTCCGTCAACTGGTCAGAAACTCTGGGAATATCAAGATATGATATGCTGTGAGATGTGTTTGTTCTCTTCGGCGCGCCCTCATGTCATTGGCAATGGATGATCTTTAGTCGAGAAGTGGGATCAGGCAAATGAATGATAACACGTATGTCGACAGACTAAACGACAGTGGAGTACAGAATCGTAAGAATAGGTGTGGATGGCATGTAATTTTCACAAAAACTATCTACTTCATGTATGAACATTCTTACATTACGGCCTATATGTGAGTCTCTCCAAATTGCTCGCTAGAGCTACTCGATTCGCTCATTCTTAAATGCTGTATTTACTCTCAATTTTCGATAGTGATTACACGAATCTCAAATTCATTACATATGTTCTGATATTCGAGCAACGATGAACAAGATTATCATGCCCACCAAGTGACGTTGAGATCTGTGGATGAGACTAGATAGCAGATCTTAAGGAAACATCAAATTTTTTAGAATATATAGACATCAACTGAATAGTAAGAGCTTTAGCGATCAGTATCTCAATGTTATCAAGTCAACCGATTGCTCTGCACACTTAGGAGAAGGCTTATGAAATGGAACAGTATGGAACATTCACTAGAATATATTTGACATCGTGCAAAGAAAAGCGAATAAGAACAACTCAGGGAAACACACAAAGATGCGATTATATCATAATGGAAGGGGTGAATGCTTTTCAGCATAATTCTCATTCAATCATATGATGGTATATATCATCAGTCTGCACATTTCTTCCCCTTCCTGCACATCATACCTTCCGCTGGCACAGACAGACATTTCTCGACGGCAACTGTACCCCCAAAGATACAGGCACGGGAAGCGGCCTTGCGGGTGTTCATAGGCCTTGAGAGCCACACGCATACTGGGTATGTCTCGGATATCTTGAGACCTAGAGATTCGCCTTGGCTCTTAACCTGCACTGATTATCATTCCGTGGAACACATGATATGCTTCAGCGGCCTAATGGACCCATAACACTTCCAACCATTACCGCTACTTCTCGTTCCCAGCTAGCATCTGCTTTTTTCTCGCCTTTCAAAGCAGTGATTCCAGCTGGTGCTCGGCTCCCTTTCACGACGCATTCTCGAATAGCATCCCTAACACTGTTACGATTGCTTCTTAACGTTCTAGCGCTAACACCACCTTTATTGATAATTTCTTGTACCTTTGTGGTCAAACCGCCAGCTAAAGTCCTCCAGAAATAACTTGGTAATGAACCAGTTTCTAAAGATGTGAGTAAAGGCTGGAGAAAATTGGCTGGTGCCAAGTCATCTGAGGGCAAATTTGGGTGCGCCGGTGGCTGTATAGATGCGAGTAGTGATTCCAGCGCTAAAACATTTTGACATCGAGCGGATACCTCGAGAAGAGTTCGATCGAGTGTAGGAAGCGTAGCAAGAGCACGAGAAAGAGATGCCAATGAGCTAGTGAGAGCAGTCCGGAGATAATCCTGAAGCGATTGAACGAGGAGATTTGGCTCCCATTTTAGTTTCTTCGCGTTCTTGCTGTTAAGTCCTGATGTTGAGGATAGAAGGTATAAAGTTTTCAAAGCCGAATCTGTGCGCTCTTTGGTATCCCTGGTCTGCGCATATGTCGATGTGTTGCTGCTGGATGATAAATTGCTCATCGAAAATTCGCGAATAAGTTGCTGTGATCTGGAAAGTACGACTCGTTCTGCGGGGTTGATAATCGATGTTTGAAGCGTCCGCACAACCTCTATTCTCTCTAAACCGTGACCTTCTTCCCCAGGGTCACTTTTCTGGAAAAGCTCTCGTATATTCAGTAGTGTATTCGAACACCTCACCAAAGCTTTATGATCCTCCTTTGCACCCGGAACCTTGACAGGCGCACCCGTATTCCCGATTTCAGATAGTTGAATCTCAAGTTGTCTCCCCAATTGCAAGCATCGTGCGACTACCCGCCCCAGTCTTACGGTTTCCCACAATCTACTGGCAACAGTTTGGACTTCCTCTGCGGTTTCATATCGTACTAAAACTTCCTTCTCAAGTCGTTTATATCCATCATTGAGACTCGCGACCTGCGAATCTATCTCTTGTACTATCCTCTGACTCGATTCAGTCTGATCTTGGGTATGTGATAGGAGGGGGAGGGCGCTTTTCGTTGTAAGGGTATCAATATGTGTATTTATTTCTTGCGCATCGAATAGCACACGGGAGAGAGGCGTGGAGAGGTCGAGGGGTGTATCGGTAGGGTTGTTTGTCCCCAGAACAAGAGAGTTTGCGAATGATGAAGGGGAGAATGTGGGCGAGAGGAAAGTTTCGTAATCAATATAAGAGTTTTCTTCGTCCGCGGATGTCATTTTGACTGTTCAATTGGGATCTTTTTCCTTTGCACATGTGCTGGTGCGTTGAACGCTCTAATATCTCTGATACCTCTAGGACCCTGAACACCTATGATTTACAGTACATAGTGTGAGTAGTCGTGGAGCTTTTAATGCCGCTGTGGAGATTTTTAAATGCACGGATCACATGAAGAACTTATTATGGTGAAGCTTGAGCTTCGATGCTTCTTATCAACTCCCTCCCTTCACTCCCCTCTTCACTGGAGAAAATATAGTCGATGCAAATTTAATACCTTACCAGCGAGCCGGCGAGGTCTGCAAATTTTATCCAAGATTTGTATTCACGTTAAAACTACCATACGAAGCTGCGACTACCGGTAGAAAGAATATTAACGGAATGTTCGGCACTTCCAGAAGCATTGTCTGCTTGACAGCTTATCAACATTCCATACTGTTGTTATCTTATTAAATACAATACAATTCATACCCTCTGGATATTGTCTATTAATACCATGTGCTTTTGATGATTCTCCTGTTCCACCATCCAGAGGAACTACCGGGCCCATGAATACTGATTCGAAGCAATCTGCCAAAGACTGAATGTTCCTTCGTGATGGCTTCCTTGGGTAGTCGCGATCTTATACCATTTCCACCTGGTGATAATACCAGCGACACTTTCATCGAAGGAGTGCATTTCAATCTTACAACCCTGAAACATTGGAACTATAACTTTTACTCCAATGGCACCTTTTCCAATGGATCCCTCTGCTTCATTCTCTTCCACCCATATACCCCTCATTTACTCCAAAATGGCACATTTCTTAACAGCACATCATGTTATTCACCAATCGAGCCCATGGCGGCGCGGTCCAAAATTGGTCTCGCAATGGGAATCCTATTCCTGATCAGTATTGTGTTCACATTAATTAACCTACGAAAACACGGCCGAACAAGTTTATCTCCCCGAAAACGATTCCGCGCAGTAAGTAGAAGATGGCAATGGTATTGGATGCTTATAATTGGAACTTGTGGAGGTATTAGCGGCATCAGTACTGTCGATGTTGACAGATACTTTTTACCGGAATTGCCGTTCGCTTTAACGAACTTCTTCTGGTTCTTGATGATACCTGCAACGATGGCAGCCGTGTGGGAGAGTGTAAGACATTGGGGTAGCTGGCAAGAGAGACAGATGCTTGATATTCCTGAGAACCGACGCGCACTGAGGGAGGATGATAGACGGACGAAGATTGAACTAGTGATTCCTTTGGTCTTCTATTTTTTCTTCTGGTTGAACTTCCTGTTGGTCATACCAAGATCATGGGGTTCATTCGAAAAGCAACGAGATTTAGATCAGAGCAATGATATTGCCGCACCGGCCGCAACCGATGTCCGGTTCAAGCTCGCAGCCTTTCTTCTTTTTGGAGGATGGTTAACAACAATATACTCCTTACAGCACTCGATATATCACTATATATCCCACGAACAGGGGTCTGGGAACCGCTTGATTGCAGTATTCAAACACACTCCAATGAAATTCGTCATGACTCTTTTGCTTTCTCTAATCATGATCGGATATATCGCAGCGATTTCATTCTATTTCCCGATATCTCCTCTCAACATTCAAACGAAACTGGAAGTCATGTATCCCTTAGGGTGGGGACCAATAGCTCTCATACTGCTCGCCTACGAGATCAGTGGCTACGTGAATCCGAACGAAGATCGTGATTTACTTCGACAGCGACGGATTCGCGATGTAGCAGCGGATGAAGAGATTGGATACACAAAAAAGCCGAGATGGTGGAGTAGGCTACATGGTGATAACAAAATTGCCACGATGCAAGAGAGAATAACCGCCAACGTCACTGAAGTCGGAGGTGGAGCCCCAAGAACAAGGGATTTAGGAAGACAGGTGGAGATGGAAGATCTTCCGTCACCTACTAGGCATGAAAGAGGTATTGAAACCCCTCCGAGAAATGCTGAGGCATTGAGAACGACCGCTGGTATATTATATCCTCCGCATCTGGATACCGAAGGAAGATTTAGAGACAATCCAGTGAGGACGAGAAGTTCTGAAGCTAGCTCGGTGACACAAGTTGAGTCCGAACAAGGTGCAGGCACTAATAGTACTGTTTCTGTGTCGGCTCCCCCACAGCAGGTTAGAAGTATGCTGGGTGTCTAGTTATGATTTGACAAATATGATTAGAGTTTGTAAAGCTTTTGGGTGAACCTGTGCGTGGAAAGTAGCTGAGAGGTTTGAAGTAACACCCCCGGTTTAATTAGAATTCGACAACGAACTACTAGGTACATCTATAAGGTCTTTTTACGCGGTTTCAACGATTCTGTAATCTTTAATGAACATCACATTGATTGAGTAACTGGTATTACGTCATATTTGCTCACCCATTCTCATCATTAAGTGACTTGATAGCATGACACTAGCTTCTCACAACGTTCTTAAAACTATTCTCCACGCTATTCGTTGCATTATTTGATATCAGCCACCACGCGATAATAATTCTGTCTCGTTAGCTATTCCGAGTCATCGAATCTCCTACTTGGATCATAATTGGATTAGTGTTTCGTGGAAGGAGCAAAAGTTTGCAGAAAAAAAGAACTTTGCATTGCGCTCCAACAAATATTTAACTCATACTTCTCCTCATCAAATATCTCTCACATATATTCTTCCCTCAAACGGTCTCAAGTTCAATTCGCCCTCCTTCTCTCCACTCTGCACACCTTCTTCATAGCTTCCAAACAAAAGTTCTCCCATCTCAACCGGAACCTTCCATTTAACATCCCACTCTTTGAAATTGCACGCAACCAGATACTCCTTCTCCTCTCCCTTCCTCAAATACGCATAAATCTCCTGATTCTCCTGATCCACCATTTCGAATCCACCTTTACACAACACCGGATTGTCTTTCCTAAGTTTAATCATCTGTTTCCAGAACTCCAATGTACTCCCCTTAACTCCCTCTTGCGCCGCGACGTTGATTTCCTTGTATTCTTCATTCGTCTTGATCCATGGTTTACCCTTTGTAAAACCGCCGTTGGGAGAGTCATCCCATTGCATACCCATTCTCGAATTATCTCTTCCGTAGCCTTGGATCCCGCGGGAAATATCAGTCATGTCTACTTCTTTCCCATTCGATTCTTTTTCTCTGCGTGCCTTTTCGGCCGCGAAGAAATTGATCTCTTCTACGTCTCTGAACTCTTCATTTGTCCACCACTTGCTGTTTGCCGTTCCGATTTCTTGTCCTTGATAGACAAACAAAGTTCCTCTGCCGGTTGCATGGAATAGCGCTAACATTTTCGCAGCTTGCACTCTCCATTCCGGAGTATCTTTTGCCCAGCGCCCAAGAATACGTGGCTGATCGTGATTTTCTAGGTAGAGAGAGTCCCAGCCATCATTTGCTGCATTGAAGGACATCCACTCCCCAAGATTTCTCTTCATATCGGTAAGATCCCATGAAGGACGAGGAAAGAAGGGTTTCTTTCCGGGTTGGATATCAAAGTACATGTGTTCAAATTGGAAGATCATCTGGAGTGGTTTTCCTCCTTGTACGAGGCCTAATGCGCTCTCAGGTCTCTTGAGTCCTGGGGTTTCTCCCACGGTAAATGCTTCGGGGTAATGACAGAGGACTTCGCGATGCATTTCTTCCAAATATTCCTTGACATGAGGTCCATTGAAATTGCCTCTCACGCCAATCTGAAACTCAAGTCTCGGGTCGGTAACTTCAAAATCGGGAAATCCGGGTTCCTTTGAAATACAATTGATAACATCCATGCGGAATCCATCACATCCTTTATCGAGCCAAAAGCGCATAATATCCCAGACCTCGTTGCGAACAGCTGGATTTGTCCAGTTAAGATCCGGTTGGCTGACATCGTAGACGTGAAGATAGTATTCGTCTGTTTGATGAGAAGGATCTTTCTCCCAGGATGAACCACCAAACATGGCACCCCAGTTATTGGGCTCTTTGCCATTCTTGGGTGGTTGCCAGTAGTAGAAGTCTCTTTTGGGACCGTTAGGACCGCCCGAGACGGATTCTTTGAACCAGGGATGTTCAGAACTGGTGTGATTCACCACGAGGTCCATTACGAGTTTCAAACCCAGTTCATGGGCTCTGGCGCAGAGACCTATGCGTTGTTAATATTTCTGAGAGTCTTGAGAAAGGTATGAAGAGGAGGTGACTCACGTTCCCAGTCTTGCATAGTACCAAACATAGGGTTGATAGCTCGATAATCCGAAATATCATAACCCATGTCATTCATAGGAGATGCATAGATAGGTGAAATCCATACTACATCTACACCAAGGGATCTGATATATGGTAATTTCGAGGTGATACCATTGAGATCACCATCTCCAGATCCGGTAGTGTCGAGATAGGAGGCGGGATAGATTTGATATACAACGGCTTCTTTCCACCATTGATGGGTCGAACCAATGGTTCTTCTGGCTATTGATCCCATATTGAGTTTGTGTGTGGGGGATGGAGTGATAAGATATACAGATAGGTATTGCAGCTGTTTGGGTATACTATATGTTATCTTCAAATCGAGTTTCAAAAGTGTCCTCTGAACGATGTAGTATACTGGGTATCGAAAAGAAATCGAAGAAGTTGGTATAGTTGACAAAAAGACAGGTGACTAGATTCCTAGAATCCTTCTATAAATTTGATTGAGGAAGAGACAGTCTTACATGAATGAGATATATGTAGGAGTAACAGAGTTTATGTGTTGTTCAAAGATACACAAGTAACCTGACAAGTAACACCGCATAAACGGTGAAACGATCGCTAATATTTATACATTTTATGTGTAAAGATTTCATTGTACATGATTCCCAGCAATTCATGCCCGAATCATGAATATCTTGTCGCAACTGAATCTCACTGCATAAAAAGAGGGTAAAAACAAGGGATTCAGGGTCCAATACCCCGCCAAAAGAAAGCAAGGGGTCCGTTTAAAAGCACGTCAAGCACGTTTATTTGCATGTGGAGAAAGAATCAGATGATCCTTCCACATGCCATCGAATAAGAACAGGAATAGAAGGAATTGGTAGGTGTTTTCGATTCATTTTTGGTAGTTCTCATCTCTTTCCTTCTATTTTGATTCATGCACAATCAAAGTCTTCTTGTTCGAAGCCTTGGAAGCATGTCCCGTGCGGAAAAAGAGGCTTCATCGAGATTGTTTCGAAATTGACAGGATGTTATTGTGTTCCAAGAAGATAAAGAAGGGGTTTCCGCGTGATGGGAAGTTGAAAGAGTTTTTAATTCAGGTCGATCACGATGGATGATAAGGTTTCGCACGGTGAGTAGTTGGGAGTCGGGAGTTTGATAAAGAGGGGTTTGAGTCAGGAGGGAGTGGGATGATGGTGGGATGGTGATCGTTTCGGGGATAAGCGGGCTGACTAATATCCGCTGATAGAAAGGCTATGATTGGTTGACTATGAGAGATTCACGTGCTTTGAAGCAGGAACATAATTGTGATGTTTGGGGTCGTGGAGTACATGACTTTGGACGAGCCGAAACTGTGATTGATGCGAGAGATACATTAGTTTCAGAAAGTGCTTCATCCTATCCAGTATTCACGTGCAGCTGTGCAAAACACGTTTATGCATAATCCATAAGCCTCCAGTTCAAATCATGGCATTACTATCATATCTCATGCATTTGAATGCTAATCATACTTATCTCCTGTCAAATCAATTGTCGATATAGGCGTTGGTGTGGAAAGCGTAGAAGCTACTGTAGAAGCCATTTTAGATACTACCCCAGATGCTTCTTTCTTTATAGTATCAGAAGTGATAAACCCCACATGTCTCAGTTTTTCAAGCACATCCGAAAACTGCCATCCCGGATCGCTTCCTCTCAGAAATCTTTCCGTTTGTATCCATTTCTCAACCGTCTCTAATAGTTCCTCGCTTACTTGTCTTCTCTTTGCAGCGTAAGGCAGTGCCATTCTCACTAGTTTCTTTGGCCATGTCGTCCAAATGAAAAATGGACTTTCTTCCACCCACTCGGATGGCTCTTTCAGAATTTCTCGCTTTTGTGGTTTATCGCTTTGAATGAATTCTTCGTAGTCCAATACCATGTTGTAAAGTATGTACGCAAGGCCAACCGTAAGTAAGACATTAGCGAGGAAGAAGAACCATGTGAAGAAGGTTTTTGTTTTGGCGTTGTTTGTATTTTTGTTTTGACTGTAGGGTGAATTAACAATGACGTTGGAAAATGATAGTGGCATAGCTCGAATCTGAGCATTGGATCCAAGCCTATTATCCGTATTGTGAGCTGTTCGGAGAAGCTCATTGTCGATTACCTCTCCATCATCCTCCTCCTCTGAATACTCTCTAGGGTCATCGGCAGGTCTTGGTATCGGAATCGGTTCTTGCATAATCTGCACAACGACATCCGATAGCGATTGGCCCGGGGGAAGTTCGAATTTCTTCCTGACGGGAATGACGTATTCATCCCAATCGTCTTTCAGACGCTCCAGTGCACCCAGCCACTGCTCCCTCATTTGATTTCCATAGTGCGTCGGCATGAGATCCCGAGTGATTTGACTACGTGCAGGGGAAACGAGCTTATAATCCCAGTCTTCAATCTCCATAGCCTCGATAAGGTTGAGTCTAGGCTTACAATTATCATCTAGAATGATGGTTCCTGGTTCCACCATAGTCTGTTTCATATCTTTCAGCACTCGTTCCCGAATTTCTCTTAACTTTTCCCATGGCATGGGCGGAGGAGCAGGAGCAGCTATCAAATCTCTTTCCGCTATTCCATCAGCTGATGGGGGATCATTGAAATAAAAGCTGGATCGAAAGAAAGTGACATTGGTGTCGGGAAGTATTTGATCTTTAATTTCGCCGAGGGCGCCCACTCCAACATTGGGGAAAGCCACAATGATCTTGGCTCGTTGTATAAATCCATCTCTTGCCATTTTCCAATTTCTTTTTAATTCAGTAAAACCAAATTTTCGCGGTCTGCAATGGGCATTCGATGAAGTCCGATATATTGAAGTTGGTGAGATGCCAAAAACCGCGTCCAAACAATTTGATTGAGAGAAGGAGATATCTTACGGTTTTGGATTAAGGAGTCTTTGTTGACATTGGCCAAATAACAAAGCGGATAGCTTCTATCAAGGAGAAGGAGTGGTGATCACCCTCCAGTCTTTGTGGTACGAGACTCGGAATATTTGAGCAAAGGAAAATAATTTAGCGAGTTTGCAAACGGGACTAGTACTATTACAGAGTGGGCATAACAGTCTGAAGCTAAAAGTAATCAGTCCAGCAACCTCGGAGGATTTGTTTTGCTATTACACAAAATCCAAATTTACTCGCAATTGACGCTTTTAGTTGAATGTGCAACGTAAAACTCTACGAATGGACTTGGATGCTTTTGTATCTTGCCAGTGATCAAGATGATGTATCAGTCGGAATTCAGGTCATTAGTGAGCCAAAGTTGATAAACCATTGCTCGATGCTACAAATTTCTGCTTCCCCTTGAACAATCCTCAACACCAGCTGTTTTCTGCTTTACTTCCACTTCGATTTCGATCTTCAATAGCCTGTGTTGTAACCAAACAAGAATGAATCTCGCATCGTGTATCTATTTCGTGCCTTCATCACTCTGCGCTAATGCCTCATCCACGGGCACCTCAATGGCATCAGTTGCATGAAGCTCAGTAGTCTCAACAGACATCTGTTTCTCATGTAGTCCCGGATTTCCACTATCCAAGTACGTAACCTCCTCTGCAGCTTGATCAACAAGACCCTTTTCCATCCCATCCTCATCATTTATAGCTGTCTCTTTTGCTGCCTGGTCCTCAGATGCTACCGCTAATTTATGGACCCAAGTCTGAACGATTCTTGCATCCCATGGAATTCCAACGACTTCGCTAATGATTAAAACTGCAATCAAGCAAATTTGAATATATTCATGCCAACAATTTCTCAAGCTGCAGACTTTGTCAAAAAATCCCAACGCCTGCATCGTATCCACCATTACTCGTCCAAGATGTGATGTACAAATCAGGATAGATGAAGTGATCCATTCTCTTTGCTTTGGAAATGCTTTGTGTCGACATAGCTTGATAGAGACACCAAGCGTGAGAGGAGCCCAGAATGGGTAGATTGGTGATAGGATCACAGTCATCCAGGAGAAAAGTGAATCCAACCCATGAGAAAGGTATGGAATATGAATGATATCCGTCGCGATGAAAACAATGAGTAAAACGAGGGCGAAAAGAAATAAAGATGCGGAAGCGGAGACTACCACGGCGCGTCTGTTTAAGGATGATTCAGACATATTCAGTTTGTGGAGGACAGCCAAAAATGTTGTTATATTGAGATGGATTGAAAGAAAGAGAAGAGAAGATAATTCGGGGTGTCGTCGTGGTTGTGTATCTATCACGGGAGCAGCGGCACGATTACGTCAAATGCGACCTTGGCGATTCTTAGCTAATAATAGCGTGTAATTCAGTGGACCTAGTGTTATGCTGTGAGATTTAAGACCATTAAGCTTCAATTAAAATGGATCTTTAGTATCAAAATTCGAACAATTGAGCGGGTAGATGTCTTAGTCTTGATCATGACTTGCGGGTAATACGATAATTCCACATATTTATGTGGCCTTGATGCTGACTCCCTCTTCGCTCCCTCCAAACAAAACTCCATAGCTCCTACATCTCCTACATACAAGAGAGCTTCTTGATTCGATTTGTATGTTACCCCGGTTCCATTGATGCACACCTTCAACGTTATCGTCCACGGTGACCTCAAACTTTCAAGGCATCTTAATCTCCTAGTCGTGGCGCAATTGAGTGGTCAAGCAATCAAGTCTCTTGGGGTTGTTTGCACTTAAGCGTCTCCATCCCAATTAGCGACCTTTTGAATGATGTCATTGGCACTCAACAGCAATTCCTCCATCACCAGACTCGTTCTCTCCTTGTTCCTCAACCTGTCTTTGCTCGTTTTCATCGTTGGATGTAGCCCACCAATCATCTAGCATCTTATCAATCGATCCTTCATCGATATCCCATTCTGAGCCCCAGATTAAAAGAGCCAAAATGATTAGTCCAGTCTCCGTCCAAACCCTCCATTGTCCAACAAAGTCCCCATTCATGCACCATAATGTCAGTAATACCCGCGGTACTGATCGGCTTAGAAGTTGTAACCGATTTCCCCACTATGTGCACGTCCCTACTACGTGCACGACTTTGGAAATATCAACATTATGGCTTCAAACATCGATGATATGCCTTTAGAGGCTCGTATAGAGCTTGCATTAGATCATTTGAAAGGGGTTCAAGCTCCTAAATACACCCAGACAGCTAATTTCTTCAAAATTGATCGATCCACGCTCTCCCGGCGGCATAGAGGTAAAACCACCTCGAGAAAACAGTTCCTCTCCGATACGAAACAAGCGCTTTCTAGTGATCAGGAGGAGGTTTTAATTGATCAAATCAACAAGCTGACACAGAGATCTATCCCTCCTACAAGCCGCATAGTCAGAAACCTTGCAGAAGAGATCCTAGGCAGAGAGGTGGGAAAGAACTGGACTAGCAATTTTGTCAAGAGGCATTCAACACGTCTTAAAAGTCGGTATCTCCGTTGCATTGATAATTTGCGTGTGAAAGCCGATAATGTTGCTATATTTGATTACTTTTATGATCTGGTTTGAGCTATTTTCTATTGTTGTTGATCTTTATTACCTAAAACGCTCTTGCTAATACCCCTCTTTTTTTAATTTAGTTGATAAAAGTGACCATAAAATACGATATACGGCCGAGAGATATATACAATTGGGACGAGAAGGGCTTTATGATCGGTATGGGGAGGACTATGAAGAGGATAATGAGTGCTAGCGCCTATAATAGAGGCAGAGTGACAAAAGCTAGGCAAGATGGATCAAGAGAGTTTATTACTCTACTGGCAGCTATATGTGCTGATGGGACAGCTCTCCCTCCCGCTCTTATTTATAAAGGAGACTCAGGGGATCTACAAAATACATGGGTTCAGGATGTAGGGGAGAAGGATAAAGCCTATTTTGGAGCCTCAAGCAATGGGTGGTCGTCGAATGCTTTTGGCCTATATTGGCTTATAAACGTATTCGACCCTGCTACACGTCGAAAAGCAGGTGGAAGATATCGTCTACTTATTGTCGATGGTCACTCTAGTCATGTCAATATGGAATTCCTTTCAAAATGCGATGAATTAAAGATTATTGTCTTAATTCTCCCCCCTCATTCTACACATCGACTACAGCCTCTCGACGTTGGAACCTTCGGTGCCCTTTCAACGAATTACAGTACATTATTGAATGATTTGATGCACAATAGCGGGGGAATTGTTGGTATGACAAAGCGCATGTTTTGGGGCATATTTAAAAAGGCTTGGGAGCTCACTTGTACGAGGCATAATATCTTACGATCCTTCGAAAAAACGGGCATATATCCTATGAATAGGAGTCTTACGATCGACTGTATTGCTCCGGAAGCTCCTTCTACGCCACCTACATCATTTAAAACTCGCAGGGATGCTCTTGCTACACCGTATACGTCAAAAGCGATGCGTAGAATGAAATTAGAATTTCGTCGCGCTCCCACCCATGAGATCACTTTAAAGCTTTTTAAGGCTGCAACTACATTAGGAGCTGAAGCTTCTATACAGGGGCATAGATCTAAAGGTTTAGAAGAGGCTCTAAAGCTTGAAAAAAGGAAAAGAGCTCGTTCAAAGCGTTTAAATCTCATTGGAGAGGAGGGGAATGGTGCGTTTTTATGGTCACCCTCTGCTATTATTAAAGCTAGAGCGTATCAAGAAGATAAAGCACTTAAAGAGGAGCAAGAGAAGGAAGCTAAGCTTCAAATAAAAGCTGAAAAGAAAGCTGAGAAGGAACGGAAGGAGATTGAGACGAAAGAGAGAGTATTGCAGAGGGAGGTTGATCGTCAGATTGCACGTGATGCGAAAGAGGAGGTTAAAAAGACTCTAAAATCAACGAAATCTCCAATCAAAAGAGATAAAAAGTTCCCCAAAGCTTCTTCTACTATAGATCTAACATCAACAAAGACTATAGAGCTCTCTGATGCTGTAGAGGCTAATAATTCGAAGGAGAAGGAGGAGGAGGTCATATTGCGATCTAGTAGAGGGCGAGCACTACGAGTTCCATCGAAATTCAAAATCTGAAGATTTTATTATGTTTTTAGATAGTATTATATCTTGTCATTTATCAATTAAATTGCTAGCTCTTTATCTTATAAATTGGAATTGTTATTAATTTTTAAAGTGATTCAAAATGGGTGATCAAGATCGTGCATATAGCAGGGACGTGCACGTAGTAGGGAAATCGGTTACCATATTTGCTGCGTTTACGAATTTGCTAGCTGTACTCGTTTTCCATTTTTGGTGACATAAGAAGCGTAGGTTGATGTAGAAGTTGATGGGTACAAGAAAGGGTATAAATGGCCCGATGAGCGTGTGAAGGATTTCATAGATTTGACTGAGTTGAGTAGCCATGTAGTCTAGTGGATTGAATTTTGGACTTTTTGGACTTAACTTTCATCGTGACAGCAACTGCAACTATATCTGAGAATGTTCAGAAAGCGACTAGGTATGTGTACCGGTTTTTTGATGTTTGTCGTGACGACCTCATCCATGGATGCTCATAAATGCGGGGTGGCTTGAGTGCTGCGCCACAGAGGACTCCCTACCTTGAGAAACATAGTGAAAATATTATCAGATGACTTGATACTCAAGATAATTAGGATAATCTCTCTCGTATACCAGTGATGGATCAGAATATCAATCAAAAGCCTGCAAGCTAGGTACATAGATATAGATTCTGCTTATTAGCTAGCGACATCAGAGCCAAAATGGCAATGTTGAATGCAGATTGATTCTACAAACGAAAGTGCCAGCAAGCCTGATACGTGGAGGAAAAACAGTATCGAAACGATATTCTATCCCTGTGAGATGCGAACTAGATGCGTCATGCCAGAAGTGCTTGACTATAGTGGAACAGTAAAGATTCCAATCATGAAGTTATGGCTCGTTTGGGAAAAACATTAAGATCATAAGAACCATTACCCTTCTGCAATCCCCGCTTCCAAGCAGGCCTATCGTAAACTCTCTTCAACCACTCATCCAATCTAGGGAATTCCTTTTCTAGATCAACCCAGCTCCTATGCTTCACGAAGCTCATGGGAAACTCCATCATAATATCGGCTCTACCAGGATTCTTCCCCATGAAATACCCACCTTCCGGTGCATTTTTTAATTCTCCGTCCAAGATAGTTAGAATCGCCCTCAACTCGGGACCATCAAAGCAATTTACAACTCCATTCCTTATGAAATCTAAATCAATGAAAAGGACAAAGTAAACTGATCGCACAAATGTCGTAAGATTGAAACAATTAAGGATCTCATCTTTGACCCAATCACCGCTATTCAAGCCAAACTTATCCTCGGTGTCAAATTTGCGAAGAAGATATGTGCATATAGCATCGCTTTCGGGAATATATCGTTTGCCATCCGCGGCACCAGTTGTCAGAACTGGGGCCTTTCCATATGGGCCGAGGGCTATGAGGGATTCAGGAGCGCGGAAAGGGGCAATAGGATCATCGGCGGGTTTGCGGAAGTGGTGGGCGATATTGTATTCAACACCTAGCTCCTCAAGAAGCCAGAGGATACGTTGAGATTGGGAGTGCTAGTCTCGTTAGTTAGTTATCAATAGATCTGGAGGTGCGATCTTACATCTAAGTGATGGACAGTTGGCTTATTGTCTGCCATCTTGTTTGACCGAGGGGTAGGTAAATTAAGCTGAGGTTAATCGAAGATGCTGCTCACCAAGTATTGCAGGAATGAGGAATTGGAAGGATATATAAGAAATCTACAGATTGACTTATGCAACTGATACGCCATCAAAGTATAACAAACGGAATGATTAACGCAATAAGAAAGCCATGAGATGCTTTGCGCAAGCACATCCCGCTCGCGCCTCTTCAATATCAGTAACCTACATTTCTTTTAGCTATGTATCCATACGGACTCCGTCTTGAACTTGTGTCAGAACTCAAGGAACTCGAAGTCTAGAGTCGCAACATAACCCTCATGTAACGTGAGTATTATCGCATTCTTGTTCATTGATGTGATTGTCGATTCATGGGGGGCATGATTGTCATGAAGGGGGAAGTCATGGATTTTGAAGATAGGCGGTGGTGGCCCGGGCTGAAGCATGTGGAACTTCACGGATCTTCTCACCATCACATCCGAATTCCTATTTCAAAATTTGTACTCCTCACATACACACACACAGCATTTGTGGTCCGTAAAACAGCGACACCGTTTATCTACATGCACAAGCCTGAAGAAGAGTATTATTGATCAAACTTCTAGAATACTTAGAACATTAGTATTGCTTTCCAAATCTCAGCTACACTCACGCCTTTCACAAAACTCGAGTAGCTTTCTTCGACGTCCAATTTCAAAAACTTGCTTCTTCTCCGATGTCTGACCGAATCGGAACTCTTATTACTTGAGGAACTATTATAACTCTTTGCCAGTGTGTTATTTGGGTCATACTTTGGGCCCATGTCTGTCCTGCCCAAATATTCTCCCTGTCAGGCCCTATCAAGCTCTGATGAGATATCGTCATCAAGTTTCTTCTTTCACAGGGCCAAATCTCGGGTGTGTTAGTTGACTGATACTTATTAGCCTTATCAAATTCAATGTCGAATGTCTCTAAAATCAATAGCGGCGTTTGTAGCGGCGAAAATATTCTTACCAGGTATCCAGAATTCCACGGCTTGTATGTTGGATAAAAATGAATTTAGCATTAATAATGTACTTCCATCGGAACACGACCAGCTATATTCCTTGATAATACCATCATTTTGCTACCTATCTAGTTCTGGCTGTCTAGCTAAGTCACGTATTGACAAGTATCCATTCTTAATTGACCTTTCAATATTCCGACAAGCACGATCTTACCTTGCTCGAGCGAGAATTAACACATTCACACAGTTCGCATAGAGACACGGATGAATCATTTCCGACTTTGCTTACAACACAAAAGACCAAGTCGCTTGTGCATATCGCCTATTCTTCCAGACCCCTACAGCCTCCGAGCATATCAACCCGCGGAGTGTTCAATTTCGCTCGGCACTCAATGAATCTTTCAAGGACGTCTTTTACCTACTTCCCGATCTTTCAAAGTCTTTCGGTCACAGATTGTCCCACCACGGTGGTTATGAAAGGTACATGATGTAAAGTGCCATACGGCTGTGAGGACTACCGGTCCTTCATGTAACATTTCCCTGAGAGCAACAGAGTCCTCCTCCAGGCCATCGATGCGTTTCTCCATGTCCCAGTACCGTGGCCAAAGCGCTGGATGACAACGATCTAGGTCATAATTGAAGCTATAGCAGGCTAGCCTTAAGCCACAATTCTTTGGGGTATGCTTATAGATACCAGCGATGTCTTCCTTCGTCAATAGGCCTCGGTTTGACTCCAGGGCTCTCACGACATGATCTGTTATGAGATTCATCAAATCTGTCGCACACAATCTGCTCGCCAGCAAATACAGGCCACCCCAATTGAACCCCGTTTCGACGCAAACGACTGGACAATCATGCTGCATGCGTTCACTCATTTGTTTTCCATCAGGATAAATCAACCAGGGAGGCAAGTGCCTATTAGATGCCCACCACATCAAATCGTGGAAAGCCTCGAAATCACCACTGAGGAATGTAATGGAATTTGACGCTGCTTCTTGGGATGTTCCATTGAAGAAGTTTTTGAAGTATTGAATTTTTTCGCAGAGAATCTTCTTGTAAACTAGGATCACATATCTTTCCGGGCCGATATAGATCTTGACAATTTCTTTTTCTGGGCTCCCATCTTCCTGTTCATCAAGTGGGCAATGAAGTGGTGTGTAATTGTCCCGCTGCTCGTCTTCCTTATGTTCAACAGGGCAGTGGAGAACTAAGCCAGCTTTCTCTGATGGCGTCTCGAAATCGCAGATAACTGCAGCCATTTGCTTACTCTCCTTCGAGCGCGTTTGGGTATTTCCAAGGTTCAGCACGTTCGTCCCATACAACACCAATTAAACCTTCATCTCAGAGATCATCTCTCCATCGTTCAAGTTGAGACCGCCAGTGCTCTAACCCGATGGTTACTGATTGCTTTTTGTAGATGAACTTGACAAGCTTTGACAATATCGGCTCCTTTCGTGTCCGCGTTGTAGTGCTGCTTGCTGATTCCTTGTATTGGTTTTTGACATTCTCTTCGGTGATCACGTATGCCATTTGATGACTGACTTCTGTAATTCTATTTGCCGGTGTCTGCGTTTCTTCGATATCATCATCTGTCTCTTCGTATTCTTCAAAATCCTTGAAGTAACTCCCATGCTGGCACATTGGATCTTCCTGGGTCCTGGGAATCTTCTCCGTTGCAGCGAGCTTATCATCTCCATGCGCTTCGGTTTCAGATTCTTTCTCCGCATCTTTTGCCATAATTCTTTCTGAAAGTTGACTGTTTGGCGCAAGTCCTCTCTTCGTTTCCTTCGATGGTGCCATTATAAATATCTAATTGCGTCAGAATTCATGGAAGACAGAATATAACCTTCTCTCCAGACAGGCGCATTCTATATAAGGACCAGAGAAATTTGAATTTCCTGAGGATTTGCTTTCGTATGATGATTATGGAAACGATTGCGACATACCTGTTCATGTCTCCTGAGTATCTTGACAGGGCAGAAACCAGGATAGATCTTGGGAAGTAGTTCTTTCCTGCAAAAGCTAGCAGCTGCAGGTTTATCTTTGGAAGAAGAGGTTCAATTTGATATTGAAACTGGGTGCCAAGTAACGTAGCTCCAAGTTTTCGTTGCAAAAAAGGATTGATTCTAACTTGATAATGGGAGTAGAGTGCCAAAGTTCCAGTTTGTTTTGATTCAAGTATTGAGATTGGTACTTGAAGTCGCATCCGACTCTTTAGTAAGGTTGGTGATATGATAAAAACAAATTTCCTTGATCTTTGATGGTGGGTTGTGTTATAGATTGAGTCGTGAGTCGGGACCTCGGGCAGTAAAGGGACAGGCCACATTCGGCTAGTGTGATATATTGTTAGATTGATAATGACCATGGTGACCTCGGGAGTCTCTTATCCTGATGAATACAGGTTCTTGAATTTATATTACAGAAAGTTGTAACTATGGACATTTACTGTTAATAAGTCAATACATAATATAGTGATTACATTGTAGTGATTAAGGCTCAGGTTCTACTGCAGGCTGACTTCTTCTTTCCACTCTTATTTTAGTTTCACTGAGTGAAATATAGCAACAGAGACAAACAGAGGTGATTCACCAGTAGACACAACGACTTGGATCGATCAAGTGTCAGCATGCTTGTCTATCACTGGCGTCATCTTGCTTTGGCAATTGATACCGGGGTAGTTAATTTGCTCCAAGGCAATACAGAAGTCACTGTTCTTTATTGTTTGCTTAATAAAATAGAAATTGCACAGATAATCAAGAGAGATATTGATTGTGTGTTCAAGTTTTTTTTTGAACAGGGAAAAAAGCTTCTATTGCCTGAGATCTAATGATGACTACTTTTTAATTGAGTGGCCTTACAAGCACAGGTATGGCTAAGAATAACCTTTCGACTTGCCATAGCTACAACAAATATACTTTGAAGCTTCCCAAGTTCAATTTTTTTTTCACATCCCTTTCTTCTCTTCCTAAATCACACCTAAGTCTTCACACAAAGTGCCTGTCCCACACTCAAATTGGCACAACCAGCATCAATCTCGGTATTCAATTTTCTCAAAGTATCCAACGTGATCCCGTTCTTCGCATCGACAATATCGCATGTATCTCCCATTGAGACAATGAAAAATGTAGTGCAATTTGCAGCGGTTCCGGGGAATACGGTACCGGTGGTGTTGGTGGTTGGATCGGTTACAGTAGCGGTTATCGTGGTGGTGTTGGCTGAACTGGTGGTGTTTGCTTGGGGGGTATCGGTGATAGAGAAGGAGGTTAGATCACGGGCCTCGGTAGCGGGCGCGGTGGTGTTTGTCGCGCTACCAGGGGCTGGAGGAGCTGGACCACCAGCTGGGGGAGCGGGGGGAGCTGGCTTTGTGGTGTTGGCTGCATCAGCAGGCGGCGCTGGACCACCGGCAGGAGGTGCAGGTGGGGCTGGCATTGTGCCATTGACTTTTGCATCAGGAGCTGGAGGAGCTGGACCACCGGCTGGACCACCGGCTGGAGGAGCTGGGGGTGCAGGCATCGTAACATTGGCTGCGCCAGCGGATGCGGGAGGAGCAGGAGCACCGGATGGTGGCGCGGGAGGAGCGACCATGGTAGTATTGGCTGCGTTAGGATCGGCAATTGCCATTATACTATTTACAATATTAATTCCATTTTCGATGATGTAAACTCAAGGTATGGGTAGGTAATGAATGCTTACTCTCTCGTCTCCAACTGAATAGGAGAGGCGTGGATGACCGTTGCCAAGACGGCGAGTGTGAGGGCGGTGAATGAATATTGCATTTTGAAGTTATGGATTGAGTATGGTTGAGTATATGGGATGAATTAATCTTGTTGATATGAGGAGAAGAAACACCAGTAAGTCTAAGGAATGAATATGAAATATCAAATTTCAGTTTAATTTTATTAAGGAAAGTAATTCAGCAGGACTAGCCGCGAAAAAGAGGAGTAATTAGTAAGGAGTGTATTAGAAAGTTTGATTCGAGTTTATATAAATATCAGATGTGGTTTGTGAGAAGTTTATATACATATGTAGGAGAGACGTTGTTTAAGTGTAGATTCTCAAACAGTACCAGAGATATAGAGATGTTTGAAGGTTTGAAGGTTTGATATAGGCTTCACGATCAGTGCTCAGCCACGCTAAATCATGCCGTGATTGTATGAGATGATATTTTTACCGGAGAAATAATAGAGGGATATACTTCAGACGCTTCTGAAATCGGCTAAGGAATTTGTGCACAAGTCATGGTAGGGCAAATGAGGTAGATTGTGGTGAGGTGAGGTAGAGATGGTTTGGAGTAGTAGTCGCACTGCCTTCATTCTAGCGTTGAGAGCTGATAGTTGGAAAGCTTGTTTGGAAAGAGGAGCTAACGAGTTCTTTCATAAATGCACAGACTGGAGGGGAAGCTAAAGCTTTGAATTCAATGTACAGAAGGAGATCTAGACGATGCGGAGGGAGAGCTGCGTAGGGCATATGTGAGGAGTTCCAATAAGGACGCCCCTCTTGTATGATCGTCAAAGTGAGTAAATGTTAGCACAATCTATCACCGTTATCACCATACCCAAGGATCCCGTTCATGAACTTTCTTGTTGTCAGGTCCTCTTTTTCTACCTCTGTTTCAACCCATCTTTCCAATTCGGAACATCAGCAAAAATACAAATATAATTACATCAGAACATCAGGTCTACAAGGTCCGAAGATCTGACGGCACATGATGGCATGTATCAAAGATGCTTAAATTTAGCTCTGCTTCAAATCTCCCGCCAAGGTCCACTCAGAGTGTGGTTTCATCTTCTTGATAGAGATTATGCTATGTGAAACATGTGATAAGACTCATTCTTGCTGTGATTGTTTGAGATAGGCAAAGTTTGATAGGTTGGTATGATTTATTGAAGAATCGAATAGCTTGGAGAAGATTGGAGGGGAACATTGTATGCTAATTGCTGTGTCTCAACTTTGTAGTCAGAATGAGGTGATGTTGTTGTGGTTGTTGGATCGTGATAGGTTGATTGGGTCATGTGATATGGATCTAGATTTTCGAGGTCTTAGAGTTCCATCCATGTACGGCGTGGCAACAAAAAAAGAAATAAAACCATGTGTGGGGGGGGGGGGATCTTCAAACGAATGCATCTAGAATGCAAGAGCATCTGTTCCGGTTCTCCCGTACAGAGTTTATTCCAACACCATGCAAACCAATAAATGACACCGTTGTCATATCTCGTTCTGCCGAGTCTTCGCCGTTTAAAAGTCGGCTGGAAGATATGATAGAAAGCTTAACAAAGCGTATGGCCGGAGTCGTCTCGCTGCATCCGACAGTTGTTCAGACAATTTCTTGGAGTGACATTGTTTTAGTGATTATTACGTGGTAGGATACGACCTACATATGAATATGAGACAATTGATGCTCAGCGCCCTCGAACCATCAGCACCCTCAAGCCACCGGTTCGAAGTACAGGTTGAAACCTAGCATTCAGCGACGAGTAACCGTTTTTTTCTTTCATAAAGGGAAGTTTCCGAGCTTTACGAGGGTTCATCGCTAGTCGGAAGATGGCACGAGTAGGTAGACATGGATCAAAGATGTACGCCCCAAACAATTTATATCGATGTCAATATACCAAAATATGTAGTGTAACTACCAGGTATGATTTCCCATTCCAGTTTCCTCCAGGCTTCGCGTCGGTTTTGGTGTATTTGTATGATTGGACGGCCAGTCTTGTGTCCTGACAGGCAATCGCACAATATGAATCAATAGGAAGCTCGAAATGTTGTGTTTCCAACAGAACCAAACTCGCGGGTCTAAACAGCCTTATTGACTCCTATCAAGGTTCAAGATGCTAGCACGGCAAATGCCCTTGTAGATCAGGGCCTATAGAAAATGAGTTCTTCAATAAGATACTATCTCCACTCTGAAAGAACCTTAAAGGGGTAGATCGACGGATACGGTATGAAACTTCGGGGAAATTTTGAAAGAGGGGGTCCGTAAAAGGGAGCTTCACCGCCACTAACTTGATCAGATAGAACAGAACAGAGCTTTTCGAGTGTGGATAAACATCGCATACGCGTTTGCAGTTCGAATCGTCTTGTCAAATTTTCGATCGTATATCCAAATGTAAAGGCAATACGTCGTCTCAAATTACAGATGCTAGTAAATCTCAACGGCAAACGGAAGTTAGTTTCCAGTCCCGGGCCGGGGCCGAAATATAACCCGAAAAAAAAAGACAGGTCGGTCGATACTACCTAGGTAATCATGTATGGATATTTGAGCCTAAAAAGTATCTACCTAGTAGCTATTCCAATTTCATCTATCATAAGCACGCATCAAAACCTTGAAATTATCGTCAATCAGCAATCTACAGTCCAACTTAGAGCCCAGTAGTACTGGATCAGGACTGGATCAGGACTGCGGAATATCCCCATAGTACTAACGATACTACCAACCAAATAACTTGGTTTCAAAGCGGCACAAAACTATCATATCAGACCAAAATCTACTACTATCGGAGACCCCGCATTCGATTCGATAACTTCTCTTCTTCAACTCATACAATAGAAATGTTATCGATTCAGCGTGAGACAACCATACCTGAAAAAGAAAGGCCGTTGCGATTGCGATTGCCGCACCCCACTTCTCACTGATCCCTGTATGTGTGTGTATATTTTTTCTGTCACTTAGTCTTCGTACACGTTATTCCAATTTGCGCGACATCATCTACATCATCTGGATTCTGATCTCATCTCATTTGTCTATTCGTTTAGAAAGTTTCCACTATTGGGCTGAAACTAGCGACAATTGATAAACATATTTACGAACCATTTTTGTTGGCATAAAGTTCATGCCCTAATGCAGGCCCAAGACGCATGAATTGGAAATAGAAGCAGGTCCTAGGTTTCCTGACCAGGCTTATTGAGAGCCTTGTTGGTGGTGGCGGCATATTCTTTCGTTTAATTGCTCTCTCTGGAGGGTATATTTGACAGGGGAATAGGTAAGGTTATCCGGGGTCGAATTTGGGGTGGGAAGACCCAGCGTGTTCGTGGCCTTACCGCTTCTGTTGTGCGTCATATTAAGTCTTTGCGGCAAGAGATACTGCTTGCTGTTTTTGTTCGGACTTAAAAGTAAGTTCGTTCCTTGCATTTCTTGTATCCGTTAGCCCATGCGCAAGTGTATATATTCCGTTGCGAACCCACATGAGTATGTGACTTTGCATAAGCTATTCAGATATCTGCATTCGACATTATATCTGAAATCTATCAAATATGGATCAGAAAAATGATCTTGGGGTCATTGAGACTTCCGTGACTGACACATCGCAAAGTCTGAAAAAGAGTAGCAACATGGCTACCATCGAGAACGATGATGAGAGATTGTTGAACAGAATTGGTTATACTCAAGTTAGCCTTCTTCGCCACCCCCGCAATCAATGTGATGCCCACTAACAATAGCTAAGGATCTACGTCGACATTTTTCCAAATGGTCTACATTATCCTATGCGGTCTCCGTTCTTGGTGTCCTAGGATCTGTTCCTGCTACTTTTGGAAGCCCATTGAGTCTAGGTGGACCAGCGGCATCAGTATGGGCATGGTTTTTCGGTTCTATAATGGCATCAATCATATCAAGTTCAGGTTAGAATTGTTCGCTTTCGAATGGTAACTTGTACTGACTGATATACTTAAAGTATCTGAATTGGTCTCTGCATATCCAACGGCAGGTGGCATGTACTTCGTTACGAAGAATGTTGTCCCACCTGAACATGCGGCGATATGGAGCTGGATTATTGGATGGTGTAATCTACTTGGTCAAACTGCAGGTGTTGCCAGTGTGGGATATACCGTTTCTCAGCTTGTTCTAGCAGCTGCAAGTATGAACTCTGATTTTGATGAGGTCACCGGGACATATGCCTATTCACCGTAAGTTATTCAACAATGTCTGAAATTTGGTGTACTCATGGTCTGATAGAACTGCACTGCAAACCACTCTACTCTCATGGTTGATCCTTATAATAATGGGAGTGATCTCTTCCTTAACAACAAGACGTCTTCATCAAATCGTAACTTGGTTCATGCCAATCAACGTCCTAGCTTCAATCGCCATATGCATCGCTCTACTCATATTGACTCCTAACAAACAATCTGCAACATGGGTCTTTACACATTTCACCAATGGATCTGGATGGGGAACACCGTTTTCATTCTTTCTCTCATTCTTATCAGTAGCATGGACCATGACTGATTACGACGGCACAACTCACATGTCAGAAGAGACTCACGATGCAGCAGTTCGTGGACCCATGGCTATTCGATGGGCCGTTACCATTTCTGGAGTCGTAGGCTGGATGCTCACCGTTACTCTTTGTTTTTGTGCAACAGATCTTGAGGCTATCATTCATTCGCCCACAGGAATGCCAGCAGCGCAAATCTTCTTAAATGCGGCGGGCAAGAACGGTGCAACTGCAATGTGGTTTTTTGTCATTCTTGTTCAATTTTTTACGGGATGTTCGGCTATGCTTGCTGATACTAGAATGGCATATGCTTTTGCGAGAGATGGAGCTCTTCCCTTTTCAAAGTAAGTTCTCAAGTCTCTGGATTTCCAAATATGCCATTTACTCGTTGCATCACGCGTTTTATACCAAAAAATACTAACAGCCAACCTCATAGGTTCTGGTCCAAAGTGAATCCCTACACCCACACTCCCCTCCACTCTGTCTGGCTCATTGTCCTTCTAACATGCGCACTCAACACCATCGCCATCGGCAGCACCGCTACCATCGTCGCAATTTTCAATATCACAGCTCCTGCTCTTGACATGTCATATGCGGCAGTTATTCTGGCACGCAATATATACGCCTCGCGCGTGAAATTCATTCCCGGCCCATACACACTTGGAATATGGCAAAAGCCGATCAATGCGATAGCATGTACCTGGGTGTTATTCATAAGTATAGTTCTGATGTTCCCAACGGTGAGACCAGTTACGATGGAGAATATGAATTATGCGGTGGCAGTAGGCGCGGCTATTGCGGTGTTTAGTTTGGGGTGGTGGTGGGCTGGAGCGAGAAGGTATGTTTCTCTTTCTTCATCTTTCATCTACACCAGATTTTGAGATGATACTAATAGAAACTCTAGGACATACACGGGACCGAAAACAAAAGATCTCATACAATCTATCGCATCAGAAGAAGGAAATTATGAATCGGATCAGAGACCTAACTATGGGAGTATTAATGATCCTTGAAATGATATTGAGAATTAGATTTTGATAAAGGCGTTTTGATTTCGGGTCAAGGAGTTGGTGGTTTACAAAAGGGTTTCTTTACCGGATTGAATTGAATGTAGAAGAAATATCCATCTTTGCGCATTGGGGAAGAAGGTATATAGATCTAGATAGATAGATAAATATATAGATATACATTGCATTTTTCAATATTCATGGGATCGGGATAATAATTTTTAAATCGATTAGACTAAAGACATAAAAATAAATAGCTCAATCAATACACGATACAATTGACAAATCGATAAAGCAGAAAGAAAAGCTCCCGGCAAATTACAAACATGCCATTTTCCGCGCGGTCGAATTCCGGTCTTTCCTTCACCCCTCCCGACTCTCAGACCTGACCCCCACGCGGACTCCAACAGCGAATAACCAATCACACGTTCCCTCTAACATGGTCTCTTGAGTGACCCCGACACATAATTTGTCATTAAAATATATTGCACAATAATTCTCCCTACTATAACGAAATCATCATACGGCTCTTGTAACTCAGTGGTAGAGTGGGCGATTGCAGTAACACTTTGATAAAAGTCGTTATCAGACACGTTATCGCCAAGTCGCTTGTTCGAACCAGGCCGGGAGCTTTGCTTTTACATTTTTTTTGTATTTTTGGTGATGTCGTGGATGGATGGGTGTGCTTTCTTTGGGAAGGGGAGGGTGGGTGGAGTGATGGACGATGGATGTGCGGGGTGGAGTTTTTTGGGGAACGTGTATGTGCCCAGGTGGGTGGTTGGGAAATCTGGTGTATGTATATATGTATGTATGAATGAATGTTTTGTTTTTGGATTTACTCATCTTTTACTGACTTACTACTTCTTACTTACTTACCACTTATTTGCAGTATAATTAATTCTTTGATTCTTTGATCGAATAGTAAGTAATTAGTACTTGATCACACTCTCCCTGCGATTTGAACGGCGATAGTTCATCGAAATGCGGAGTGCCATTGAGTAGGTATCCTGCACGAAGATTTTCACAAAATTTATAGACCTACCTACTGTAACCTTAATTAGAGATATGTATGTATATCTATCCATCCACTGCGCCAAATCGCTTTCCCACTCTCAATATCAAGCGTAAATACAGATACAGATATTCTTCTTTCATCTATTTATCTCTCTCTCTCTCTCTCTCTCTCTCTCTCTCTCTCTCTCTCTCTCTCTCTCTCTCAGCACTAACAATACTACGCATTTTTCTTACCGTCTTCGAATTGACTCGCATCCGCATCGCCTTGATCTGCTGCGTACTAGGTATGTATGTAGTGATGAATTTTCGATTTTGGGACTATATTTCTTCTCTTACTCTTACCCCTTTTTGTGAAATCGTAAGGGGGATGTGTGAAGATGTGTAGATAGGTATGTATGTATGTAGGTATCACCTAAGCGTCGGTTACTTTGCGACTTCCTTATTCCTAGTCCAAGAATCCAAGGTTCTCAATTTTTTCCGCTGCAACCTATTCTCATCCCCTTCCGCATGATTCCCTTGTTCTCGAATTTGATGGTTGGGTGTTGATTCGCTTGATATTCATATATATATCTGAATGCTTGAATATTCTTCTCTTTCTTTTGAATGCTACGTTTCGCTTATGTTATAGATTGTTTATTTATCGTGTGTATCTTCTCATGTGTCTGGGACCCTTGAAGTCATGATAATAAAATTCTTTACCCGAGTGGTCGAGTGCTTTATTTCTTGTGAATGATTCGCTCTGGCGAGCTGAGTTATGGATATGCTATCTGAAAGGATAATATTGGGTCTGACTGACTGCTGATTGCTTATTGTAAGGTAGAGTCAGAGATTCATTTGATATCTGAGTAGTGCTCATCGTAATGACGCCCGTGAAAGTCAAATTTACCTGGGGGAAATATGAGATGAGTTTAGGAATAATCTAGGAAAGGAACTTGATATATATAGGTCTCGTAGCTTGCCACATTGTGCGAAGAGGTAATTTATTGATGATTCCAAAATGGGGTACAATCTACGAGTGTGAGAAATCACATGTTGGTATCTGGGGAAACTTAAGGTAAAGGAAACGGAAATATGAGAATCAAAAAACGTCAAAAAGATGATGAATTAGATTTTGTATTCTGGATCAAATCAATAAATTTTGGATTTGTGTGCGAGGGCTACTGGATTTTTGAACTGAGCATCGAAAACAGGAATCCATTCTTCCATTTGCTGGCTCTCCATTCTGTCATGTTTAGCCCACTGATGAATGTGAGATCTTAGAAATCGAGTAGGTTTGATTCTACTTGTTTAATATCTTGAGTTCTGAGTCTGGCTACTAAAAGTTGGGAGTCCATATCCTCACCCCTTTTTCCCTCATCATTTTTCAGAAATTGAACCCGAACATCTCAATACCTAACGCACATGAGCGTTCTGACGACAAAGACCCATAGCACAACTATTATCCGACCATCCCAAACGAAGATCATCCATCCACCAAAGTTTCGGTTTGCCAGCCACCGTCACATTCATGAAAAAATACGTTAAATCCTTAAAACTAGAGTCTAAATCAACATTTGTCAGAACGCAATTGGCAAGTTCAGGACAAGCGGGAACATCGATAACTTGTTGGGTTACGAGAGAGGTCTCCTTAGAAGTTACGTCGTACTTGTATCCAGTGAACGTGAAATCACATGAAGGACCCGTGGAGTCGCAACCGAGTGATGCTCCGTACAGATTGAGATTAAAACATCCGGTGTGTCCTTCGTCGCCACTTCCTATCTGGCCCGAGAAGCCATGATCTGCGGCATTTGGACCTGTTTTTCTGTTTGAGGAATTGGCTTCGAAGTTGGGTATGAATTCGAGGAGGAGTGGTTTCGAAGATGGGAGGAAGGGAAGACGTTTTGGTGGTGGAACGACGGCGAAACCATCCGAGAAGAGGAATTGGTGGTATGGATTGAATAACGGTTCGGGCTGGACGTCAGTATCGCTTGCGTTGGAGACGGATAGCGGTGGGATGTCATCGAACTGTTTGGATGTTTGATTAGTTGCTGGGTATCACACTTAGTGAAGATAGACTTACAGTCAAGACGAAGTCTCCACGCTCTCCGCAGTTTGTGGGTGTGGCTGAGGGTATGATGCTAGTGGATGTAGAGGATGTTGAGTTGGGGAAAGTGACGGAACTTGGTCCTTTAATCACCGAAATAAAACTGGATATTGGCGCGACTGTAGACAATGAACTTGATTGAGGTGTTGAAGTAGCATTGGATACTGGAGTCAAGATTGAGGCTGGAGTAGACTTCGATAAGGAAGAGGTGGAGAATGTTGCATTAAAGCTGGAAACCGAAGTAAAACTAGGCATTGTAGTGGAGCTAGAAGTTGAAGTATCTGTAGAAAACGAAGTATCCTTAGACAACGAAATCGACTTGTAAATTGACGTCGGCATTATCAATGAGAATTCCGAAGTAGTCAAAGTGGCAGAAACAGAATGGGAAGTTTGAGCAGCAGCTTGAGAACCTTCCACTCCAGTCAAAGTAGTCAGAGACTTAATTGTGTCAAAATTAGATGTATTGAATGCCGATTTCGATGCTGTTTGAGACGTTGAGTTCCATCCACCTGCATTGGAGGCAATGCCGGTGAATATTCTACCTGAAGCTGATTGAGAAACCACAGATATTGGAGAAGGGACGGTAAGAGTGGCCAATGACGAAGCCGACTTGAAACGGGTATTGGCAGTCAATGATGGTGAGAGCTCAACGGCACTTGGTAGGATGGTTGATGGAACTGAGGCCACTGGCTTGATACTGCTATCAGAGATTTCAGGTTTAGATAGGATTAGGATTGAGACAGAAGATAAACTCGAAAGTGGGTTTGCATTAGTAGAAAGATTGCTTCCCATGGATGAGAGATTGAAAGAAATTGTAGAGGTAGAAACAACTGTATTTTGAGGAGTTACCGATGCAGATGTGGAAGTGCTGGAGATAATCGTTCCATTGAAAGATGCGTAATTTGTACTGGACTGTGAAGAAATAATTGCGCCGGTTGATGTAAATGTAGGTTTGCTACTAGCAGTTGTCGTTGGAAGTGGAGTTGAGAAAGGAACAAAGGTTGTTTTTGTGGTGGTTAAAGTAAATACCACATTGCTGACAGATTCTGGTTGACTTGAAACTGATGAAGACGATTGGGAAGTGGATGATACAGGAGTATTCGTTACTGATGACATGACCACAGGCTCACTGGTAGATACCGATTTGGTCGTAATTGTCATTGATGAGGATTGAGACGACGGCAGAGTTGACAGGGGAATAACCATCTCTGTTGATATAATCACGGGCTCACTACCGGAGGATTTCGCAGAAGAATATGGAGACGATAGAGTTGGAGATGGAACAGTTGAAAGATGTATACCGGTTTCTGTGGATATAACCACAACTTCACTGCTGGAAGTCGACGTAGATACAGACGGAGGTGGAATCGATAAAGGAACCACTGTTATAGCACTCGTAATGACAACGAAAGATTGACTTGGAGCGCTCGTTGGCGTTTGGCCACTCAACCAGCTAGTTGTACCTTTGACGACTATGAAAGAAAAGACGTCATTGGATGACTGGGGGATTTGTATTACTCCAGCGGCAGTCTCGAGTGATCCAGCAAGTTTTGATGATGGAGAAGCTCCGATAGCCCAGGTCGATTTCGAAAATCCTACTGGCGAATAGTTGAGAATGGTAGGTGTGACATTAACAGGTAGAGACGTATCTGCAGAAACTTGTGCCATACGATTGCTTGCTACAGCAGTCGGAAATGGAGCAAGAACTTCAGAACAGGGAGCGTAAACAGTGACGGTAGACTCGATGGAACCATACTGAGGGACTGCGCCAGCAGTTCCACATATGGCCCATATTGAGACGAGGAAGTTCAAATTCATGTTGTAATGTTTTCTGATTACACTGCGATTCTGATTGTGTTGAGACTAAATGAGCGACGAAAAGAAAGTTTTTGTTTTCGAAGAAAGTTTGAGGGAGAGAAATTGAAATTATCTCTTGATTTGTTGGTTCGCTGTCGCAGTGAATTTCAGGCACGACGGTATATCCCGCTAGATAACAAATCTTGATCAAGCCAATAAGACTTATTAAGCTCATCATGCATGTCAAACTTTCTTAATCTCTCGAACAATCAAAGTTGGATTCGGTCTCATCCAACAAGACTAACAATGGTGATAGGCCCAAGTAGGTACATAGTATGTCTGCTCTTTATCATTCATACATACATCACTTCAAGCCCACTGAAGATCAAAACTTAAAGAGCACATTTGATCTTCAACTCACAATACGAGAGAAGCAGAAGTACACCCTTCAGATCTCACGCCAGCTTTCAGTTTCAGTCAGCGAAATACTAGACATTCAAGTCCCAAGACTCCAAAATCCGTATTTCTCCCCATCGAAGATATTTACACTAGAATGCGTGAGTCAGCGACAACACTCAAGCTTATCAAGAATTAGAAGTCAAATATGCAACAAAATGGTGAGACCAGTACATGATGTGTATATCTTAGCGCGCAGCACTGATGGCTTCCAGTGAATGATACGGGGAAATGAGAACACATTCTTGTAGTGTATAGCTTCTTATGGCAGAATTTGAAACTCTCGAGCATGATTGTAATAGAAAATACTAGTCCCTCAATTCGGAACTACATGTCCATAAGGGGAGTAGAAGGTAGCAGCTCCGAGGATGTAGCCCGCTGGTTATCTTCAAAAACAAGTCTTTGTGATAACTTCAGGAGACAAAAGATTGCGATCCGAGACTCCACGCGACAAGAACTCAAGAAGTCAAAACCAGAAGACTTTTCCCCATCTCAACAAACCCTCTCTTGCAAGAACAAGAGCACAAGTTCCTCTAATATCCATATAGGAACACCTTATTGAAAACCATCAAGAAGGAAGTTCAACTACAACACACATTCCACATCCCATCAGCAGGCCAACCCAAGCTCCCAAATTAGCAAAAACTCATCCATGAATATCCCCAAAGACCAAAGATGCCGATCCTCAATCTCCCACTCACTTCGGGAGTCCCCCATTGACTGCTTCCTCCTGCTCTGGTGGCCATGTATCGAATTAGATCTAAATCTTTACCTTTACCTTACACATCCATCTCCCCTAATCCCAAAAATCCGCTTCCTTCAATCTATAGTTTCCACAAACATGTATTAGTAAAACATGCACTACCAGACTTAAATGCTAGGTACCTTGGTCGCTTTCTCTTCGAGATCACTAATTCAGACCTCAACCTCACAGCAATCAATTATCCCATGATTTTTCATTCCACTTGCTCATTCATCACCACTGAGGTATCCCTCAATTCCCACTCTCCTCCTCCCCTTCTTTCCCCTCCCTTTCTTTCCTCTTCCCTCTTCCATTCACTCCCATCTTCCCTCCATCCATCCCAATCCCCCAAACCCCACATCCTCCCACCCCAGCCCCCAGCCACACCACCACACCGCCACACCACTCCTCCCCCTCTTGAAACCCCAAACTCACCCCAAACACCACCCGTTTCAAGCGATCCTATAAAAAACCCCCTTACCTCCAGCACCCCCCTCTTTTTAACATAACACATACACACACACACACACACACACACACACACACACACACACACACACATATATATATATATGCACAACATATGCGACGCAGCTAAGCGCCGCCATCTGATCTACCGTCTGAGGAATGTAGTACCGACGCGTAGGATGTTTGATCGTGCCTGGGTAGCAAGGTTACCTAGGTAGTGCATATTGTGAGATAGGATGACAGGTAAGGTCTTTGATTTTGTGTGGAAGAAGAGTTCAGATTATTTTTTCGTTTGAAATATTCGGATGAAGTTATGGGAAGGGAAGTGATCGACAATTGCTTGTGAATTTTCTTTTTGGTATTACATTCGTGACATCCAGCGTCCAACTACACTACAATACAATAAACAAATAGGATATCTATTATGTGTGACATTCGTAAAAAATTCCTCGACCCATCTTATCGCATCAAATATATGATGTATTTACCATCAAGTTGTAGATCATTCATCCGCTCACTCATTCATTCCAGGGTACCAATACCCAATGCATCTGCCCGTGAAAGAAAATCATGTGGGAAAAGAGAAGAAGGAAATAAAACACCTTTCCTTTCTACCCAGTCCCTAAGCCCATGCTTTACCTTACCTATATTACTGATTGCGACTCATACTCGAGTATCTTGAACCTCTTTTCTCCTGTCCATAAGACCCCGAATATCTTGTACCTCCCGGATCGAACAAGAAATCTATGCAATAAATTCAAGTCTCGAGCGACGTCTCTTTCCATTATTACCTCCTCTCCCTCCTTGTGCATTGGTACCGCCATTCTTTCCACCTTGTCCCTTATTGCCTCCCTGTGCATTCCCTGTATTAGCTGCCTTTGCCGAAGTACTCGCCGTACTAGCTGCATTAGCATTTCCTTTGGCAGCTGAACCCTTCGAACTCGCAGCAGCAGCTGAGCTTGCCACCGAGTTGTTAGGCCCAGCAGCCACTGCACTTGCCGCTAAAGCAGCAGCAGCTTGACCACCAGATCCATCATTTGAAGCTGCATTCGCAGTGGTACCTGAGCCGGTAACTACAAATTTAGTGCAGTCATCTGCGGTACCGCGCTGAGCGACAGGCATGATAACTGGTTGATGATTGGATGAAGAAGCCATTGTGCATACACGGTAATTTCCAGCCGGGAGACCGCCGGTAACGACAGCGGAAAGAAGACCATTACCATTGCCTGCATCGTTGATACCTTTGAAGAAGGCAAACTGGGTAGCGTCGAGAGCTTTCGTAGGGTTCAAAGAACTACCAAGATCTTGGACAGTGACGTGAGTGTGGCCAATTACTTTACCGCCGGAGAGATCTTGGGGTGCAGCGAAGTAGGTAGAATCAGCATTGGTGAAGGAACCGGCGACAATATTTGACATTTGAACTGTGATGTTGAAGGTGGTGTCTGATGGGATGCCTTTTCCGCCTGTTGGAGGATTAATGATGGTTGAAGAGACCATGGCGGTCTTGGCGGGAAGCTTCCCCATTGCTATTTATGATTAGATTCGCATCGACTAAATATAGTTCACAGATAACTTACGGATACCGTTACATGATCCTGTAGTAACTTGTAGACCATTTGTCAAAGTTGAACCCGAGCAAAAGTTGATAAAGTTATTCTTCGATGTTGCTGATTTCGCTTGTCCAACTTCCGCCGCACCAATTTCTCCTGAACCATCGGCGAATGAACCGCTCTGAATAGCATCTGATGCTAATGTAAGGGACGCATCGTTTCCACTGGCAGCTGTAGCAGCGTCTTTTGTCCCTTTTTGTGGTGATGGAATTGCCGCTACAACACTTATCAATGCAGCTACACTTGCGATTTTGCTGATATACATCGTTTTGATTTAAAGCTTGGAGCTATAAGTGTGAATGATATTTTAGTATAAATGAATGAAGACCGTCGAGGTGTGGGAGATCGTGAAGATTAGATGCACGGTCAACGTGATCTACTTGACTGGCAAGATAGAATAGAAGTAAATTAAAAGAGAGAAACTGTAAAAGAGAGGAACCCGCCAAATAACTTTGAACAGAGAGAGAAGAAGAGATTGCTGGTAACGAGGTTGAAAGAAAAGAAGAAGACGAAGCGTCTATACTTATTCTTATTTCTTGGCATTGCGGCATCTGTGAATGTAGTGTAACTTCAAGTGGATCAAGGAAAGGATAGACAGAAGTGAACATAATTCTGCTCGTATATTGGCAATGGAGATCCCGTTGTTGCATAAGAAGCTATGAAACTAGACATGAGATCGAAGTTGTCGCAGCGCCTGGAGTACCTGTCATCTGAAAAACGAGAAGGGAGTATGTAGAAACATCAGACGAAGATTATAATCTGGGACTATATTGATCTCAACTAAGTCGTGAACATGGGCTAGCTTGCTTGAAGTGGGACGAAATGGGATGAAATGGGAGAGATGTGAATACGAAGGTTGGCTGTATTAGGGCTGATTGGAAACCGTTGACGTCTGAAGTGCAAGGGTGATAAAACTCGCCAACTTTCCGATAACCATGAACATTCCCGCCTACCAAAACTCCGGTTGACGTCTAATCGGATTATCGAGACCATGAGGAATAAAAAGATTTTATGACGTATTGAATTGAACAAGGGCAACGATATCTATGATATATGATATATAGGATATGAGAATTAAGACGTTTGAAATTGTGGTGCTGATGATGGCGGTGATTTGGAATCTGATGTCGTTGAAAGAAGAGATGAAGAGATGAAGAGATGAAGAGTGAAAGACTAGGTACCTAGATACTATAATTGGAGTACCTGGCCTGGGCAATTCAAGTTTGGATCAAACAAGAAATGCAAGTACACCCGTGGACTTGAACACAACATAACATCTACAGCATTTACAAGCCCAAATAGCTTTTTACATAACCTCTCAATCAATAGAATTCACCGTCGCGAAGATTCTTTTGTATCACTTGATGATAATTCAATCATGATTACCTTTGCATCAATCACCGAAAGAAAGCCTTCTCAATCTTGGACTAAGACTCCGCAAAGTACGATATCAGATGAAGCTACCAACCGAACTATGCTGGGGGACTGAGTCCTCTTGACAGTTTACATCCGAGCATCTTGCGGTTTGAAGGTTCAGACACTGAGGATCATATTGATAAGATATCGGAGTATTGATCGGAATCAAGGTTACAGCTTTACTCTATGGCCGCTAATAAAAGTTGTGTCAACGAGCCGCCATATTACTTGCAAGACATTGGATCTTAGCATCAGAATCAGACAGCAGGGGAATGAGTCAAATCAACTTAGTCAAGACAGTAAATCACACACCATGCACCAAGTCAGAAAATATATCCCTCAGTCACAGTCAATTCCGTGCAAGACATTATTGGATACTCTATTGATCCATATTTCAATACCATCTGGAGCAAAGACAACGCCGAGTTACTACGGGCCTTTGTTGCTCATTAAAAGAGTCATTCTCATGCTCATGTGTGCACCTCTTCCACTCTCCAATATCATATCTATTGCATTGACTATTACCGTTCAAAACGGTAGAATAGTGGCAGCTGTCATCCGAGTTAGCAAATCTTCGGTTTGCCGTCGTCTCAGGTCGTGTTACAGAGATTCGATAAGGCTCGTTGATTTCCAGGATGCTTATGCACTGACCCCGGACCAAGCATTTTCACCGTTGTTCCCCGTCGGGTTTCAAGCATTTTATGACAACCTAATCCTTAGCATCAGTTTGTCTTGGATCGATTCTCATCATATGTTCTGTGAGCGGAGATATGGTAGAATGAGTTCGGATTAGGGAACCGTGAGTTTGAAACATCTTCAGATCGAAATATACACTCGATGGGTAAACAATCTTGGAATGATTACCATCTGCTGAATATTGATTTTCAATCAGACCGATTTGAAGCCCCATCTCTCCACCCTTTACCCTCCTTTCATACATCATCAGTGACAGTTGCACTTTTATCTTCGACATGAGAACAATTGACCGAATGCAATCATCAAGTCTACAAAGCGCATTCTCAACATTCTCACAATGTTCTTCACAAAACAAAACGAAAGATAGGCCGCAATAACTATAAATCTCTTGGAACTTTAACTGACAGTACACTTCCCTTGGCGTGGTCCTATCGAAAAATGCAATATTCCGGCCATTAAATAAGTTGATCTCGATAGAACAAGGATTGAAGCTTGGCTATATAAAGTTCAGTTACTCCCATATTATGTGTTGAACGAAGGGATGCTGTCAAAAGCAAGTCGACATTCATGATATGTTTTTGATACAAAGCCGAGTCGAAAATGTACCATGGTGAACTCGATTGACCTGCGTGTCTTTAAACTTCCGCTGAGGCGTGGTTCCGCACACCCATTGCACGGAATACAGTTGCCATCGATTCAAAGAAGAAACATCAAATTGCGGTGAAAGCTTACGGAATTGCCTTGATCCTATTTTTCTTTATCGATGAACAAGACATGGGATGGCTGTTATGGTGGGGTCGGGCGGAAGTTCTACGGCAAAGGCAGGTAGCACAGTAGGATATGGGGGATTGAGAAAGATGCCATTGCCAAGTCCAAACCCATCATTTTATCGCGGATTCCACAGCGTAAGCACACGAGCTATCCCTCTGACACCCGAAGGGGTTCCGGTGGTTGTACAACTGGCTGAAGATGACCCGAGACATTGGAATGATGAGCATTGACAAAGTCCCCGAAGTCGTTTTTTTTTTTTGTTTTTTTTTTTGTTTTTTTTTTGAGATCATCGTGGGGCGGAAGTGATGCAATCAGGGTTGGTGCCTTGCATATTAACGTGTGGTGCACTGGTGCGTGCTGTATTCAGTCTGTGCTAATACTGCTTCCACCATGGTAGTAATGGAAACCTACTTATAGAATCCAGAGTTAATAACGCACCTTGAGTTCACACAATCAGGACTCCGAATATGGTGGAACTGAGTGGAGGATATCTATGATAAGAAAGTAGTATCACTACCACTACGCTTCCGCCGAAATTTGTCCACGATACAATCTCATCTCATCTTGCTGAGGCTCAATGTGAGGGGCATGCCTGTCGCGTGCTACCGATTTTTCAATGGCCTTGCTCTACCAAGACTTGGCTCGTGCAACGATGACCCCTTCGTACCCGTCACCGCATGCAAGTCATGATAAAATACAACATGAAAGAGTCTGTATACAGTCTTCAGAACAATGTGAAGGGAATGTGAAGGATATACAAAGGAGAGAACTTTGTCCGATGTTTATGGTATTACATTGTTCAAAATTCCCTTTGGTTTAACAGGCTCAATACGTGCATATGATACCAGCGCTAGGTCCCATAACTCAGTGAACTTGTGGCACAGCAACTGACTGACTGATGTTTTCAAGATGATGGATGACCTTTTTCCACTCGTAACTTTTAACTTCTATCCTTCGACCTTTTTCCACTCGTAACTTTTAACTTCTATCCTTCGACCCTTTCCCTCAAAACTCACTCTCATACATACATACGCACATCCACCCACCCACCCACACACCCACACACTCTGACACTCACACATTCATCCCACTTTTGCCGTCAAAATATAAATTTATTTTCTAGAATCTGTTCACGAGCGAGCCAACCAACCTTCTGTATCACAACAATTGTACAATAAATTCGATCCTCGATTCCTCTTCCGAAGATTTTGTTGGCATATATATTTACTTTCTTTTACCAGAAGTAATACATCCATTGACACCATTCTCTCCATCCACCTGTTGTGAAGGATTATCAATAGCAAACCAATCGACTTTTAGACCACCAAATCAAAAGCACCCAATATTAGTATGCGAGCACCTCACAATTCCGTTATACCTGCATTGAAACCTTTATTAATGAAACCGCAAATAGGTATTATGTCTTCTCCAGAACCAAGAGTCGTAAAGCGACCAAGTAAGATTCTTTTTTCTTCCTCAAAGTTTGTTCTCTTATCTTCAATCGCGTCCTCTTGAAATTTTACATAGGCAATTTCCTTCCCGCACCAATTCAGCGGGTCGCGCCGCTCTAATGCCAAAGGGAACAAAAAATATTTTCAATCAATTATTGAACTTCACCACACTTGCTTATATTATTCCCGTTAACTCGCACAATTATCTAACTCCTTCACCAATCCATCGATACAGAGATACAACGATACATCTTTTTCTTACAATTCAAAACTCTCTTTTGGAAGCATTCAACATTACTTCTGCCATCCCATCCACTGACATTTATTCGCAATGGCAGGAACTCAGTCTGAACCCCCTCCAAGTCTTCCTCAAGTCATCGCAGAACAGCATGTTCCTATACCTTCAACCGACAAAGATTCGCAAAGATTGATTGTCGTTCTCTCTAATGCCAGTCTCGAAACCTATAAACAATCTTCGGGTGGTGGAAGACCTGGCGCTCGTGCCGCAGAGGAAAAATACTCTCTTCTCAACAGTGATGAGCACATTGGTATTATGCGCAAGATGAATCGAGACATCAGTGATGCCCGACCTGATATTACACATCAGGTTCGTATATAATCAAGAAAATGATCAGTCATTTCAATACTGACCTATCGCAGTGTCTTCTCACCCTCCTCGACTCGCCGATCAACAAAGCCGGCCGACTCCAAATCTACATTCATACCGCCAAGGGAGTTCTCATTGAGGTCAGCCCAACGGTCCGAATTCCACGTACCTTTAAGCGTTTTGCCGGTCTGATGGTCCAACTCTTACATCGCCTCTCTATCCGATCTGTCAACTCTCAAGAAAAACTCCTCAAGGTTATTACGAACCCGATCACCGACCACCTACCTCCCAATTGCCGAAAAGTTACATTGAGTTTCGAATCACAATTGGTCCGTGTTCGGGATTATGTGGAGACATTGGAGCCGAAGGAGAGCATTTGTGTATTTGTTGGTGCCATGGCAAAGGGAACAGACAACTTTGCAGATGATCTAGTGGATGAGAAGATCTCCATTAGTAACTACAGTCTTTCTGCAAGTGTGGCATGCAGCAAATTCTGCCACGCTGCAGAGGATGCATGGGATATTATTTAGACTATTCCGCTGTTTTTCTCATCCCACAAATATTACCGACGAACACATTCGACAATATACGAATGGAGGAACGGAGCACAAAAGACCGCAGGGCTGTGAATGGTATGAGATGATGGGCATTGGAGGTTTGGTCGATATGAAAAGGTGAAAGCGGGACCATTGAGCAGATTCAACGATAACAACATCGTTCGATATGCTTGTGGTCGCCGGGCTTGGGTATCTGTGTGCTCTGTCTCTGTTTTTACAACCAAAACATAAGGCGTTCAACATTAGATCCAAGACGCTTTAGTCGTCTTTGTGGAATACTTCAACTTGATCCACATCTCTTTTGTCTTTTCTAGTATCATTTTGCATCCACTTTAAAGCTTAGTAGCTACTGCACGCCGGATGACGATAAGTATTTCCCCTTTTCAGCATACATAACATACCTTTGGCGTAGAATTTTGCATTCAGCTTCCTCCCTCGAGCTAGCTAAACTGCAAGCAGTCAAATTGGCATGGGAAATTGGTTCATGCTGCTAGGTGGCAGACACTACCGCGAGTCATTCGGTGACAGCGGATAGCTTCATGTACAAAAATACTATACTGGTCAATGAAAGGGAAATTCTCCAAAATTTGAACAAATCACAATGCGTGAAGTTAATCCATCTGTCGCATGCCCCATTCTTCTTGCTCATTAGCTTGCAACTTAACAAGAACGGTTTTCGCGTGATCAAGAATGGGATAACGGTTAACCCGCCTTGGTTTTCAAAGTACAACAAAACATTTATACTTTTTCCATGCAGGTTCTAGATTCAGGTCTGCGCAATCGAGATGGAAAATGGAACCGGAACTGAAAACTTATAGATCTTGAATTAGTCCGCGCATAGTTCGTTGGGTATTCTCCTGTCGCCTTGAATTGACATATCAGAAAATCGTAATAGCAAATCGAGTCTTTCAAGCTCGGAAGTGAAGCAGCTGCTCGTTTCCATCAAATTATGGGGATGCAAGACTCGAGTATGGTTCAGATTGTCCTATTTGCTAATCATTGCAGCATCGCATGATCTCGAAACCAATCGCTTTTATTTGAGGCGATGCAATACCGGTAATCCTGGTCTAGAGCGGTCGCATAAATTGGTAGGATGTTGGTAATACTTGGTACGAGACGAACAGGATTTTGTATGGATGGACGGGAGATCTTCGTAGGAGGCCGGAGACGTGGCATGCGGAGAGGGGAGAGGGGAGATGGATGGTGCAGCGTGCAAGTCTTCTTTATGGTTACGATGCGGGTTATGAACGGTAGGAACGGTAGGCATGGTATAGGTACAGGTACAGGTACAGGCACAGGATCCTGCATCGGGATGGTGATTACTTTTAAGTTAGTTTGGTAGATTATAGACTTGTAGACGATGATGCAGTAGAAGAAGTGGTATATGATGGAGACTGATGCAGTAGAAGAAGTGATATATGATGGAGACGGATTTTAACACAAGTCAATTGGGCCAACTTTACATGTCAATCAAATCACAGTCCTCGTTTTGAAATTCTATATCAATTCAATTGATTGAGATTTCGGAATCGAAAATTATAGGAATCTTTTTGAACCTGCTTCTAAATTTACTGATAGTTCAGATTCTCGACTGCAACACTACACTACTTTTGATTGATGCTGTTTATCGCTTCGTGGTATTGAGGGATAGAGATATGACCTTGGGATATGTATGATATGGACGCTTTTCAATCGGGTTTGCAATTGGGTGTGTTTTGTATCTTGTGTGCAGTTTTATCCGTCTACCCTAACATTACCAGCCAGCCAGGTATGATCTATGGTTGGGCTCATTTTCTTGCCAGGCTCGCCAGGCCAGGCACAAAGAATCGGCCACGATTACCCATAAGAATCTAGGTGAGTGAGTGGCTCGAAACGCGAGACTCAAGAGTGGTCAAAAATGCTTGGACAGGATTGATTGAATCGATGGAGTTCAAAGTTCTTTGACATGATCAAATCACAACAAAAACTTGTTCGCTACGCCTGGCTCGCTGGCTGAAAAAGAAAAAAAAGTTGTGGGGATGTGCTGTAGTGTCGAACGAGTATACATGGGTTTGATTTGATTGATTTGTATCGGTCTATTGATCCATTCATTCGAGGGATTAGTATGAGGCGACAACTGTCAAAACTAGATAATGTTCTCCATTCTCTTGCAGTATGCATATATACTATTTACTCCGGACTCAAAAGTTCAACACCACATACCGATGCATAAACTTAATGCTTCGACAATACTTCTCTTTTGATATCCTCTTTGCTTCTTCCTCTTAATGTTTATTCATCAATTCAGAGTTTAAGATAAAGCTACAAATAATACTTATATACATTCATGTATCAATTGAATTTTTGATTTTCTTTGGAAACGTTTGGGAGATCCTTTTAACGAGGAATTCGGTGCACAGTACGAATTTTGATATCTCGTTAAAGAAGTCAGTTCACCTATTACACATATGCATTTATTTACATTTACATATCGATCTCCATTTGCAGAATTCCTTATTAAATTCGTTTCATAATTCCCAAGGACCCATTTTTTCATCTCATAATTCAATTCCTATCGCGGCAGATTTTCGTTTGGTACAGAGAAATAGCTAGCACCTACAGATATTACTTGTCAAGTGTTCCTCCCTCCTGCCTGCTTCTTTACCGCATTTTCCCAACCTCCGAAACTTATCAAACGCCAACACTGCCTTCTTGCGAATCTTGCATCACCACGCAACCCATCTTCAGCTATTTTCATCAACAATCAATCCTTTTGTCTCACTCTCTAACCTCCGGAGGGTTTGTTTGTGCTTCCCGGCGTGGATCTTTTCTGCATCATCAGAGTAATACGACTTAATTCAACGATCGACCTTAATCCATCGATCTAACGACAAAAACGATTGACAAGTTAAATCGTTAACAATCATTGCCTGTGTGTTTCATATTCTGGGACTTGCTGAATGAAGTAAATGTGCATGCACACACGAGTTCACCTCATCTCATCTGACCGCTGACCGCCTTTATATCCACAACTACATAGGTAGTTAGCAGATCAAGCGGAGCAACTAGGAACAACCAAGACCAAACCGGAGTCACATTTTTTTAGAACTTATCAGGGTCGTCATTCCATCTTCATCGGATGTTCCTTCTTCTCGGCACAATTTTGGGCATTATTTGAAATACATACATTCACCGTTCCCCTCTCACCGTTAACACATTACACCGTTCACGCCACCTCGATTCGAATCATTCATCTTTATTTCAGTTTGGGAACATACATACACACATACATACGCAACCATTCGACATTTCACAAGTATAAGAAAATACATTGCATATTAGATTTCGAAATCAGCACAATTATCTTGAACAACAAACAACATCAAGACCGAAACATAAATTCAAATTATACACTAGAAGCCATAACCGAACATGGCTTCCCGCGGTCGAGAATCCTCCCGTCCCCCAACCATAGTCACAGCTGCTACTGAAAAAGAAGCTCGTCGTGTTCTTCAATGGCAAGAAGAAGTTGCCAGAAGTACAGCTGGTAGTTCCACTTCTCCTACTTCAGACGAAGCATACCGTGCTGTAGCTCCAAGTCACGTTTCCAGAGCACCTGCCCGAACACAAGTTTCCCATGCTCCTCAATCTCAAGCTCCAGAACACCCACCTTTTCGAAGAGCAGAAACTTTCCCCAGAGTCATGAGGAGAGAAACTTATGCAGGTCATGGGCATCCCAGTACACAAGTTAGTATCCGCAGAGACATGAGTCATGATGAGGAGCAAACTGTCTACGTAGACGAGGTAGAACGAGCCGAGCAAGAAAAAGAAAAAGAGAAGAATGGTGGGCTCTTCGGCATGACCAATAAAGCTCTCGTGGGTACTTTTCTTGGCGCGGCTGCAGGCGCTGCATTCGCATATGCAATGGTCAAAAGCGAAGACCCCGAATACGAATTAGAGCCAGAGCGTAAACCAATGCCGGGTCTAAGGAGAAGCTATACCACCGGTCATGCGGAAACCATCGCAAGTAGCACGAAAGGCTCTTCAGCCGGAGGACCAGAACGCAGATATAGAGTTATTGAAGCCCCGCATGCTCCTATGCCTCCCCCTGCCTCTAGCTACTCGCGCATTCAACGTGATCGCGAACGTGAGAGAGAGGGTGTGTTAAGTCCAATTGAGGAACGCAGTTACTACAGCTCTGCTGCGCCTTCAAACACAGGCACGAAAATCCGTCGTAGTGCAGCGGATCAAGGAGAAGGTTCAAATGCCGGAACCGCAAGACCACCCACCGCAATCAACATCAGAGACAAAGCCCAGAGCATCGCACCGACCAAAGTAAGCGAGCGGACCAGCACCGTCAAAGCAGTCAGTCGTGCTCCAACACAAGTCTCGCGCGCCCCCAAAAGCCAAGTCAGCGTGCGCGAATCCGAATACGAGTACGGACCTGCTCCGACTCAAGTTTCTGCAGCTCCAACCCGGTATTCACAGGTGCCGAGAGGCGATGATGCAAAAAGTAAGATCAGTCATACACATACTACGATTAAATTCTCACCGTCAAAAGTAGGCGCGAGCTCGCGAGAACGCATTCCCCGATCGGAAGCGACGTGGGAGCGAGACGATGTATCGGTTAGCGCGGTGAGCGAACGTAGTCGCGCGAGAGATGTCCCGCTTCCGGCATCGACGGTGGTGAGTGCGAGGTATGGTGGTGGTTATAGGGAACAGGGAAGTGGATACACGCATGCGGGTGATCGAGAGAGAGATGCGGAGAGGAGGGGCGAGAGGGATGGGAATGATAGAAAGAGTTGTTTTGATAGGGGGGTGGATGAGGATGGCAAGAGCTATTTTAACCCCAGGGGTGCGATGAGCGTCGCGCCTTCGGATAGTGTTAGTAGTGTGGGGAGTAAGAGGGAGAGAATTGAGAGGTTGAGAGGGAGACTGGAGAGGGATTTGAGGGTTTAGTTTGCGGATGGGTAATACTGGTATCTTTCTCGTCTTTTGAGACTCATCTCTCTCTCCCCCCCCTCTCTCTCTATATGAAGATATACTCGGGTCCGGCTGTTTCAACTCATTTACCTTTTTACTATTTATATTTCTTCACATTGTTTATCTTGTCTATCTGTTTTTTCTACATAAGTTGGTCATTGGTCCTGTTCTGATATTTTTATCGTCTGTTTGTTGTTTTTCGCGTCGTCTTCGTTCGCTTGCTTGCGTTCTCGCTATTTTTTGCTTTTTTTGCTTTTTTGTATGGATCAATAAATGAAGGATACGTTTGGAGTGGGGATTTAATTGTTTGTGAATGGAAAAATTGGATGGATGGATGGTGGGATGAATGGTGGGATGGTGTGATGGTGTGATGATGCGATGAATGAATATATGCATATATGAATACATAAATGAATGAATGAAAAATTGTTACGGGATGTTTTTCTTTATTTACTGGTGGGATTTGTTTGTAATTTTCTGTGCTGTTCTGTGTGTGAGAGGTGAATGTGTTTGGGGAGGAAGAGATGCGGGCTGGATATGAGGATTCTTGAGATTTGATGGGGATTCTTATGAGAGGGGGTAATTTATCTCGGGATTGATCTGAGAAGGGGGTATTTATGGGTATGTATAGGTATGTATGGGTATGTATGGGTATGTATGGAGATGTTGATAGGAGTGTGGTTATTTTAATCATGCGATTCTGATGTGTGGGAAGTGAGATATTGAGGTTTGTAATGAATGGTACATATCAATCTGTATGGTTTTATTTGTTTCTCGATGTTGTACCTGTCACTTGTATAGAAGATCTGAGGGGAGGGGGGGAGGAGCGGAGGTTATCTTCCTCATATTTGGGATATTGTTACTATGTTGATAATGTTGTCAATATTATGAAAGTGTCTTGGGGGTGGCAGCATAGGATTTGTTTCGCAGTGACTGGTGGAGCTGGGATACTAGATGGATGGTTGTACGTATTTGGATGAGCAAACAGTAAAGCAAGTACGCAGCAGTTGGGAATGTTTCGCCGGCTTGTGAATATCGATACAGAGAACTCTTTCCTTGAGGATTTTGTCTAGGTGGAGCGAATTAGGGAATGGGATGTGGTGAGCAGGAGTGTGGGGGTGGTGTGAGAATTAGTGGGTTGGGTGGGCTTGGTATGTAGTTAGCTTACCTCTTGATGATTTCTCAGGTGTCGGTGTTCTTGATCTTTCGAAATTCAGTGATTGCGGTCTTGTGGAAGTGTGGTCTTTATATCTTGAAGAATTATATCGTGAGCGGGGTTTGAGCGAGCTTGAAGTTTAGAGTGGAGCTGATTTGGAGATGGTATGTTTCTTCTTTATCTTAAATTATATGCTCGGGAGTCTTTGTAAGTATAGTGGGTTAAATATATAGTATTACAATACTCATTAGATCAATTGTTCATTTCTGAAGCTATTCAGAGATTGTAATTGAATCAGCCTTCTGTGTTTTTATATGGAGCTTTCGATGCTGAGTATAGCTTCCCCCCCAGAAACTACTCCGTTTTGGGGTCAGTGTAGCCCATATAGTCTGTCGAGTTCGACAGCGGCTTGTGTCTGAGACCACTTTCCTGTGCCATATGAAATTTGTCATCTCCTTTTAATTTGCCATCGCTTTCAGTTCCGAGTCCCTCAGGTTCCGAAGGTGTTATTTATCTTTTGGGAATTCGTTTCAACGCTTCATGTTATTGCCTGTATCTATATTTCGTAAGATATAAACGTCGTTCCCCCGCAGAGCTTACCCCCGTCTCGATTTTTATTGGACTTTGATATGCTTGCTTACCTTGTAAACATGATCGACCTCTCAATCCATCACCTGTCAAAAATAGATATATTATTTCACGACATTCCACCAGATACCCCCAACTTTCCTCCCTCAAGACGCTCAACATGCTCTGCAAAGTGTGTGATCGCTTGAATGTAACCGACCTGCTCAAGCAGGCGAAGGCGATTAGTGATAGGAACTTTCTTTCCGACGACTACTTTTATTTTGAGCATCACAAAAGATACGATGATCTCGTGACTGCAGCCTTGTCCGGATGTGAGCTTTGTCTACTTCTTCAACGGCAATGCGAGGACGAGAAGATCGAAGTATACGATCAAGACTCATTAGTTACACTGGAACAAAAGTTTCGAATATTGGAGGCGAATAATAGGCCTATGGACTTGCGAGTAGATATTAAGGCTTCGCATCTAAATGGTGTTCAACCGTTCGAAAAAGGAAAGGTTTTTGACCATTTGACTTTCCAACATTGGGAGAGTGATAATATTGATTTTTCTCTTCGTATAGTCTTTATTCTGCAGACGTCAAAAGGTATTGTGAATTTGAATATGTAGCTCTGTTGAGCAAAGTGCATTGCCCTGTCACTGGCTACTGATATTGAATAGATCAACCGAAATTCATTGACGATACTCGAATAGGTCAATTTATCATTGACGAGGATTTGGCATCAGACGCAAACTTCGATATTGCAAGAGGCTGGATGAACAATTGCATTGTTGAACACTCTGAATCGAACTGGCCTTCGTTTGAAGACAAAGTCTTACCTTCTAGAGTGATTGATGTTGGTTCGGAAGACACAAATCCATCTCTTTTTGCGACAAACGGTCATAGAGGCAAATGGATCGCACTGAGTCATTGTTGGGGAGGCCGAATTGAGACCATTTTAATAACATCGAATCTGCAATCATTCCAGAAAGAGATAAAAATGACAAGCTTACCAGCTAATTTTAGAGACGCAGTTTTGATCACTCGAGCGCTCGGCTTTCAATATTTGTGGATCGATTGCTTATGTATCATTCAAGACTCCAAATATGATTGGGGAATTGAATCAAAAAAGATGGGAGAGATTTATCGGAACGCCGTCCTGACTATCGCAGCAGCAGCCGCACATAAAGCCGCCGATGGTATACTTCACACCCAATCGCAAACATCTCGCGATATGAAGCCCAAACTCAAGTTATCAAAGGACAGTGGATCTGATGACGTTGTAGAAATTGCCAGCTCGATCTTCTGGCATGAAAATCTCAACAACCTGTTTCGATCTGGCCCTCTACAATCTCGAGCTTGGGCATTCCAAGAGAGAATACTTTCACCTCGAATATTGTGGTATGGTCGCAGACAAATCTACTGGCAATGCCTATGTGAATTTCAATCTGCCGACGGTACGCCATCAGATTGTGAAAGTCTTCCCTGGTTCAGAGACCGCATCCATCCTGTAATCATTCAAGGACTTATTTTTAAGCAGAATCATAATGATGGGTCCACGACATTTTCCGAAGAAGAACTTTCGGAGATAAACTTCGAGTATCAAACCATGGTAAAAGACTACTGCACCCGAACTATGAGCTACCCAAATGATAAACTCCCAGCTTTTTCCGGCGTTGCAGCACTACTCCACGAAGGAATTGGAGGACATTATCTGGTCGGAATTTGGAGTAAATTTTTCCGGGAAAACTTGCTATGGCAAACGCCGATGGGTAATGCACCTCGTACAGTGCAGTACCGAGCACCATCATGGTCCTGGGCTGTTATGGATGGAAGTAGCGGTATATACTACGATGAGTCAAGTCGCTTAGTATCAGCTCCTCATGATCCTATTCTTTTATCACATCACATCGCATTTTCTAGCGAGAATCCTTAAGGTACTGTCAAATACGCCCATATTGTTGTTGAAACGCTCACGTTGAAGTTAATTCACCTGGGTCAATACAGGAATCCCTCCAACAAAACCGATTTTTTCTTAAGAGATTGGGTTGAGTCTACGGGACTCAGTTCGTTATCTCCCCATATTCCTCCCAAGCATTACCCCTCCGAAATTCCTCGCGGGAAAGAGAGCGAGATAGCCTCTATCAATATCGAAACCAGCTATAGACATGCCAAGCTGCGAACTCATTACCGTCTCAACTGGGATGAAAAGACCCCTAATTGGTTGGCTATTTCTCCGCTTAAGTATAAAGTCATGCTCGTAGGATTGGATCAGCGATCGAAGAAGTACAGAGATAGCACGTCTGTGCTGGTTTCATTATCGTGTTTAAAATGCCTGATCTTGCAAGAGGATCCCGAAGATGCAAAGGTGTGTAGACGTGTGGGACAAGCGGACCTGAGTTTCTTATGCAGAGAGGCGGAGAAGCCGGATTTGGCTGGATGGTTGGCTTCAGATTGGTGGGAAAGAGAGACGCTAAAGTTGATTTGAACTGGAACTTGGCAGAGGAAGTCATGTGGTATTCTAGCAGTAGTACTGAATTTCTGAGCAAAGGTTTGTCTACGTCTGGTAGACAGATCAGACTTTCCTTAGCAATGCCAATGCATCGCAATAAAACTTCGTTTATTATATGAGCTATGAGTGGTTAGCGCGGAAAGGAGGAGGGGGGGGGAGGGTGCTTCTACGAAGTCTTCAAACTCGGAGTACTATAGCTGTATTGAAGTTGTGAGATACTAGTTTTTAAGATCTTGAAAGCATTTGTATTTTCTATGAAATATTTAAACAATAAGTATTATTAAACGGAAACAAAAGCAACTCCCAGGAGACTATTACCATCCTCATTTCCAGCACACACCCTCCAAGTTTAGATTACATCCCCGCCGACAACCCCCCAGGAAATCCTAGATCTAAGCAGAATCTCAATATCCACATCTTGAATTTGGATGGCGGCATTCTAACTTAACTTTCTATCAAGTTTACGCGTCCGCAAGCTCAAAATCTCAAGTAAGTAAGAAAGTAAATGCACCACCCACAAACAAGCCCACCCATCTACCACTTTCCAAACAAGATACCCACAAGCAAACCAGCCACACCCTCCAAAGCACCCCCAACCAAAGCACCCGCAAGCATAAGCACATCCCCCACAATCGCATCCAACGTACCCAACACCAAACCAAGAGCACCAACCAACCCACCAATAAGTCCACCAGTATACACTCCTCCGAATGTATTTTGCACAAGACCCAGAGTTCCGGCAATCGAAGTGATGGCGTTGGCGGAAGTACCGCTGATGATTTGTTGATCTAGAGACGAGTAGGTCCGAGCTTCGAGATCACGCTTGCTAGTTTTGAGAGCGGTGTTGGCGGTGGTGGCTGCGGTGATGATGTTTGTTACTGCTTGGGAGATGGCGGCTTGAGCGGTGCTGTTTTGGGCGGAGCTGGAGTCGGAGTTGATGCCGTTGAGGGTTGAGTCTGATATGTGTTAAAGAGGATTCAAGGGGGGTAAATTGGAGAGCAGAACTTACTGATGGTTCCGGTGTGGGTTTGGACTTGGGTGTAGAAATCGTTCATGATATCGGTTGCGTTTGCGGTAGCACGGGACTCGACTCCAACGAGTGTTGGGGCGGCGAGAGAAGTTCCGAAAAGACCAGTGATGGCGAGGAGGGAGATGAATGAGGTTCTCATTTTGGATATTGGAAGGGTGGATGATACGAGGTGATCAATGAAGGAATTGAAGATAAGTAAAAGATGAAATCTTTGATGGAAAATTTAACGAGTGTCTTTGAAAGAGAGTTGGATTAATCGAATATATTATGGTAAAGTAGAGAAAGAAAGAATGAGCTGGATCGATGAAGATTGATATAGTTGTCGAGAGAATCCAACATCTTTATATACCCATCCTGTCGCCCTGAACACTCGTCCAGACCTCTCGCGCAAGAAAATTCTACAAACATCGCATACAAAATTTCCCCTGTGATTGAACCATCGTGAGTTAACTAAAAATACCGAGATATCTCTCCTGAGCAAAGCATCAAAATCAATGCGCATACGAGTGCATTGACCGACCAACAATTTTCTTCAAAACCCATCTTGCAGTTGATATTCGACAGCGTATTTCGATATCGTGATAATATCCTCAAACGAAACAACGCACAGACGATAAACCATCGCAGGAATTCGGTACAAAGACAGCTTTGACATCCACGTGGAAAGTGCCGATCAAATGTAAGCTATCTCGGACGCTAAGGTGATGAGCTACATGGATATATGTATATATCTCGTACAATACGAGAGAATGGTGCTATGAATAACTTCATTTTGTTTGGCTTGGTCCGAGGTCCGCGGTAGTTGGATTTTAGAGCTTGGTTGTATTTTCGGGGGAGAAGGTCAAGCCTATTCTTTCTGTATGGAAAGGATGGTTGTGGGTGGGAGGAAGGAATACCCTGTCTATCAGGATTGGATAACTTTTAGCAGGTTCTGAGCAAACGGCAGTGGGAGCTGCATGTTCGCTATGAGGACTTCAATAGGTATCGCATGGGAGTGGTGGAACGCGGACTCCGCTCTCTTTGATTTATTGTCATTGTCGAGTAGGAAAAGAGATGGCTCTTGTGCTATGATAAGAGAGAATCACGCATGGTGATGGGGAGTAATGAACATTGGTGTTCCGATTGGGCGAGACTATTAGAGGAGAATTCCCATATCTCGTAACAATGCGATGGGATAAACGATGAAGCAGAGTCTGAGAGTTCGATATTCTTCTGGCCAGCGGAAAATTAATGAATACGGTGGAAAGATTGCAGGATGTCAAACCGCGATTCGCGATGTGTTGATTTACTACGGATTACCTGGTGATGAGATGCAATTCTTTCGCGGAGTAGTGGTGCTTCTGAATCCCTGCAGTATTGAAAGGCCAAAGGAGAAAGGCAAAGCTCTTGCGGTGCGTCTCAGTCTCTTGGAATTTTTCCGAGTTATTGAGATTTCGGCCATCCAGTGGAATAATGCTAGCAGTGTACCATTTTCAAGCTCGTCATGCACCAGTCGAGAATGCCCTAAGCTTTTAGTTGGTCGTCCAAACATCTCTTGAGGATATTGTTTCATCAGCTGACTGGCATCCAGGTAATTATTCGTCGAACAGGCTCAAGAGATAGATTGGACCATATCTACTTCCCGCTTACAACTGAGAAGAAGTTCAGATCATATTTTGAAACCGCAAGAGAATACAATTTCAAGGGGCTAAGATATCAATCCGAAATTGAGGGGCATCAGAAGAGGCCAAGAGACAAAGCTGTGATGGGTAGCTTGAAATCAGGTAAGAATATCATCGACTTCTAACCCACTTCAGTCTTCAGGTTGTACTACAACCACTAGTGGGTGCACGGACTGACGGGACACGCGCTTTTTTGAAAATACCCTCAAAATAAACAATTCAAATTATAAATAATCAATTCAATTTCGAAATACTATTAAATATATAATTAATTAAATATGAGATTATTTTTATTAATAGAGAATTATATAAAGAATATAATTCACTAATAAAATCAGTATTTTATAAAGAATTCAATTAATATTATATTAAAAAAAGTATATATTTTAATTTAATTTAATTAGATATATCAAAATCTATAATTTATTAATAATTTCAAAAAAGAGATTTATTAAAAAGAAATATATATAAATAGATTTGCAAATTATTAAAAAATCTAGGGGAATTTATATTAATTAATAAAAACATTTGTAAAATACTTATTTCATTTTTTCAAAACAAATTATAAATCGAAACTTATAAAATGATAATTAAATATTTTTAATTAGAAATAAAACAATATTCTTTATAAAAAAATTTAAAGAGATTTATAAATCAAAGTTAATATTACAAAACTATTTATTCAGAAAAGTTTTTTATTAATATAAATCATAAAAAACGTATCATTTTTAATAATATTTATAAATATAATATTATAAATGGATTTTAGAGATATATTATATATATAAACAAAATATATATGGATTCTATTAAAAGATTGGGTGGAAGAGGCCTCTGTATTAACTATATTATTACGCGTGTAAGTATATTAATCCTCTCATAATATTATATAAGAGGATCAATATATCTATCTATAATTCATTTAATTTAGTTTGTTTAGATAACTATATTACTAATTATTATATATACTTAGTACTAATAACTTTTATTTCTTTTAATACTCCTTTATAAAAGTTACCATCTTTAATCTCCCTAATCTTTCATACTTCTATAATCTCAATTCTAATATATCCTTAAATCTTTTGAATACTATTCTTATTAAAGATTTAATTATTTTATTTATTATTATATTTAATATATTAATATAATTAATTACTATCTTTTATTTTTTAATAAGATTTTTAATAAAATAATAATATATATCAATATATTTTGATTATTTATATAAATACAAATTCTTGGTTAAAGTTATTACTTTTTGATTGTTATCTAGTAGTTGAATAATATCTCCATATATAAATATATATTTTATTTTTTCAAGATTTTTAAATATTTAAATTAATTATTTCTTTTATTTAAAGAATATTACTATTAATATATATTCGGATTCAATATTTAATATTGTTATTAAATTCTATTTCTTATTAGTTTATAATATCAATTCTTTATAGAATATAGTAATTCCTCTAAAAATACTTTTTTAATTATATTAATTATTTGCTTAATTTGTATTAATAAAATTTTTTATAATATTTGCTAATAGATTATATTCCTTTACAATTTAGTATTATACTCTTTTAGATTTATATTTGAATTTCTAAATAATTATAGCTCTTAGATATTATGTTAAATTCTTTATTCCTATTTTATAATATTTCGCTAGTTTTGCCATATATTATGATAGTCAGCCTAACACAAAGGAGATATCTGATCTTATATATACTATTAGATGAATAAGGCTATCTATAACTTATTGATATTTAATAATATCAATTAGTTTATCATTTTCTATAACTGATTATAAATATGAGTAATCAGTAGTGGGTATCTTCTTAATATGATATTGAGTATATGAGATTTTGAATTTTGTAAGCATAACTTTCAGATATTCTTTTTAATTTAATATAAATGATTTGTTTACTCAATCTCTTATAACCCTAATACCTAGAATCTTACTAATCTTCCTTAGGTTCTTAATATTGAAACATAAAGAAAATATTATAAAGAATCAATTAAATTGATTTTTTGAGATTGAAAAAGTGATTATATTATTAATATAAATTAATAAATTGAATTATTGAGTAATATATATATATAAATATGGATTAACGAGATTTTAAATAAAGCCCCAATTGATTAATTTAGATTTTAAAAGTTGATTTTAATCTTATCCAACTTACTTAAAGCTATACAAATTTTGTAATATACATAAAATGTATCCATCTAATATATTAATTCCTTAAGATAATACAAGATATATTTCCTTTTTAAAATAAGATTCTGTA